ATACAAAATGGAAAAATCCTTCAAGTCAGCGATGCCTCTGGTTGGCCACTTTCTCAAATTAACTTTTGACTTTAGTGTACAGCTTTCACATGGTTATTTGTTGAAGGTTGAACTGTTAGGAACTTTAAATGAATTACAAATGTTAAGCCAAAATATCTGCATTACTAAATAATCCATTAGGGTTTTAATCACAAAAAAATAAATCAAAAAGTCACATTGATTTGACAAACCAACTTAATCATTTTGTAACGTTGGATGTTAGTTCACCACAATCCTCGTATAGTCTTTATTTAAATATGTTGGTTAATTTTTATGTATAACTTCACTTCTATTCAATATAAATAAGTATCTCAATTTACTTATCCACCATTAATACATTTGCAATTTATAATTTTATAATTTTTTTATTTCTATAGCCTTCAACAAAAAGTATATATTTGTTTCCTACCCAAAAGACTTTTTAAAATATAATTTTAATATTCTCAGATTGTATTGATTGTACGGATGCACTGAAATGAAAATTCTGGTCCGAAACCGAAAATTCAGGATACCCTGGCTGAAAACCAAAACCAAAAATGACTTTTTTCCCCCAAATGATTTTAAAAAAGTTTTTTCCTAAATGTTTATTAATATTAGACTTTTTAATGAATTGAATTAATAATATGAAAAACTTCCATTCTCCCTTCTCTTTTAGTGGTCCCCCCCTGCTTAATGTTCCTCTCCCCTCTCTCTTTTTTAGTGTTCTTTCCTCCCTCCTCCCCAGTCCCATAGTGTTCTTCACCCCCTCCCATTGTGTTCTTTTCTCCCCTCTCCTCTCCCCATCCCATAATGTTCTTTTCTCCCCTCCCCGTCCCATAGTGTTCTTCCTCCCCTCCCCTCCCCGTCCCATAGTGTTCTTTTCTCCCCTCTCCTCTCCCCATCCCATAGTGTTCTTTTCTCCCCTCCCCGTCCCATAGTGTTCTTCCTCCCCTCCCCTCCCCGTCCCATAGTGTTCTTTTCTCCCCTCCCCATCCCATAGTGTTCTTCCTCCCCTCACCTGTCCCAAGTGCGGTATTCTTGACTTTTTTTATGTTATCATTACTATCTTTCATCGTGATATATAATTATCTGAATTGTTAATGCAATGTATGTTAAACTATACACTACAAATGTTTTTTGTTTTTTTTTAATTTAGGCACATTTGAGCCGTTTTCGGCCGAAACAGGATTGGCCTATTTTCGGCCGAAAATTTCGGTGCATCCCTAATTGATCGTATTGTACACACTTACCTTTTAATATCTAAATTAATAACCTGAAATCAGTTTCTTACACATTCTTGCAAACACACCACAACTCAAACTATAAGCATGATATTTTTTATACTAAAAAAAGAATTTAAACTGTACAGACTGAGTTATGATAAAGGACAATTTTCAAAAAGTATTATCATTCCAGTTATAGATTTAAATGTCCATCAAAAGCAAAATTATTGCATTTGTGCAAAGTATAGGATTTTCATTTTATTGCTTATTTTTCTGATTGTTATTCAAGACATTATGCATTTTCAAAATATCTATTGTAAAAAAAATACATATAAAAACTAAAAACTTATGGGTTTAGCAAAGGTGGATACATTTTCGTATATTTTCTTTCCTTGTTTAAGTCAGTGTCAAATTGAATATGTCCTTCCTATCTAAATATTATGATCTGAATAAATAATATTAACATAGAAATTTATTTTTAAAAATCCTTTCTTATAGAAAATGTTATTCAAAAAGCGTGTTATTTGCTTGGGCTTATGAGAAAGCCATCTATTATAGAATTCCGGAGATGTGTTTGTTGATTTGTTTTTATTTGAACATTTTAAGGTTCAAACATGTTTGTCGACGTCAAAGCTAAAATCTTGAATTAAAGAGAATATTTATTTTCTGGATCTTTTGATTCGACTACAGAAACAAACTTTGTAAATTAAGTTACACATAAAATCTGTTTACTTGAGTTACTTTACAAAAACTATTCTTCTATTTGACAGACACCATGGTAATACCTACTTTGCTCCCCATCTCGGTGCTAAAAGCACTTTATTTTCTATCCTCTCTCCTCTTTATGACTGATTCTGACTCCGTTGTAGTGTTTTGCTCTGTTCTGCTAGGATGCCTGTTATTAGAAGTGATGTTGGATGTCCTACATCCATTTGAACACAGGTAATGTTTAATTTTGCATTGCTAAGCAATAAAAACTAAAACACACTTACCTTCCCCTTCTTTCTGGAACTTCTGTTCATCAGAGGGATCATGCATATATGTGCTGGGAATCCAGTCATTGCCTCTGCCATTCATATTCTTTGCCTCAAATGTAAAGTGCTGCAGTCTAGCAGGTACATTGCAGGGCTGATGTGTAGGTTGCAATAGCAGGCTCCAATGTCCTATTAAATGCAGATAGTCAGGTAGCTATATCTTATTTGATATCATTGTGTGTGAAATTGCTACTATTTTAGCTAAGTGGGAGACATAACTAACTTCAAGATGTTGTAGTGCATCTTAAACTTTAGCTCTGGTGAGTGTAGGTGCACTACATTATCCTTTATTGATAGGTTGGAGCTGAACTTTAGCTCTGGTGAGTGTAAGTGCACTACCTTATCCTGTATTTAGAGGATGGAGCTAAAATGAGTGTAAATGCTAATTTTTATCCTTTATTCTCCATTCACATGATCACACTTCACTATTATACCTGCTGTATTGTTCTAATTCATGTCATTTTATATACTACAATTAAGGACTGGGAGGTGCGACCTCTTCCATTTCAATTTCCATTGGGGGTTGCTGTGTTCCCTGACTATTCTACAGACAGCAGTTAGACTTTCTGTTTCGCTCATTGGCAGCAGCCTGATATGCAGTGCTTAGAGAACACTGACAGCAGCCTGATATGCAGTGCTTAGAGGAGAACACTGACAGCAGCCTGATATGCAGTGCTTAGAGGAGAACACTGACAGCAGCCTGATATGCAGTGCTTAGAGGAGAACACTGACAGCAGCCTGATATGCAGTGCTTAGAGGAGAACACTGACAGCAGCCTGATATGCAGTGCTTAGAGGAGAACACTGACAGCAGCCTGATATGCAGTGCTTAGAGGAGAACACGGACAGCAGCCTGATATGCAGTGCTTAGAGGAGGACACTGACAGCAGCCTGATATGCAGTACTTAGCGGAGAACACTGATAGCAGCCTGATATGCACTGTTTAGAGGAGAACACCGACAGCAGCCTGATATGCACTGCTTAGAGGAGGACACTGACAACAGCCTGATATGCAGTGCTTAGAGAAGAACACTGACAGCAGCCTGATATGCAGTGCTTAGAGGAGAACACTGACAGCAGTCTGATATGCAGTGCTTAGAGGAGGACACTGACAGCAGCCTGATATGCAGTGCTTAGAGGAGAACCCTGACAGCAGCCTAATATGCAGTGCTTAGAGGAGAACACTGACAGCAGCCTGATATGCACTGCTTAGAGGAGAACACTGACAGCAGTCTGATATGCAGTGCTTAAAGGAGAACACTGACAGCAGCCTGATATGCACATCTTAGTGGAGGACACTGACAGCAGCCTGATATGCAGTGCTTAGAGGAGAACACTGACAGCAGCCTGATATGCAGTGCTTAGAGGAGGACACTGACAACAGTCTGATATGCACTGCTTAGAGGAGAACACTGACAGAAACCTGGTATGCAGTGTTTCAAAGAGGAGAACACTGACAGCAGCCTGATATGAAGTGCTTGGAGGAGAACACTGACAGCAGCCTGATATGCACTGCCTAGAGGAGAACACTGACAGCAGCCTGATATGCAGTGCTTGGAGGAGAACACTGACAGCAGCCTGATATGCACTGCCTAGAGGAGAACACTGACAGCAGCCTGATATGCAGTGCTTAGAGGAGAACACTGACAGCAGCCTGATATGCACTGCTTAGAGGAGAACACTGACAGAAACCTGGTATGCAGTGTTTCAAAGAGGAGAACACTGACAGCAGCCTGATATGCAGTGCTTGGAGGAGAACACTGACAGCAGCCTGATATGCACTGCCTAGAGGAGAACACTGACAGCAGCCTGATATGCAGTGCTTAGAGGAGAACACTGACAGCAGCCTGATATGCACTGCTTAGAGGAGAACACTGACAGAAACCTGGTATGCAGTGTTTCAAAGAGGAGAACACTGACAGCAGCCTGATATGCAGTGTTTCAAAGAGAACACTGACAGCAGCCTGATATGCAATGCTTAGAGGAGAACACTGACAGCAGCCTGATATGCAATGCTTAGAGGAGAAACTGACAGCAGCCTGATATGCAGTGCCTAGAGGAGAACACTGACAGCAGTCTGATATGCAGTGCCTAGAGGAGAACACTGACAGCAGTCTGATATGCAGTGCTTGGAGGAGAACACTGACAGCAGTCTGATATGCACAGCTTAGAGGAGAACACTGACAGCAGCCTGATATGCACTGCTTAGAGGAGAAGACTGATAGCAGCCTGATATGCAGTGCTTAGAGGAGAACACTGACAGCAGCCTGATATGCAGTGCTTAGAGGAGAACACTGACAGCAGCCTGATATGCAGTGCTTAGAGGAGAACACTGACAGAAGTCTGATATGCAGTGCTTAGAGGAGAACACTGACAGCAGCCTGATATGCAGTGCTTAGAGGAGAACACTGACAGCAGCCTGATATGCAGTGCTTCGAGGAGAACACTGACAGCAGCCTGATATGCAGTGCTTACAGGAGAACACTGGGAGGTATGCACTATCTGCTAGATTGTCCACAGGTTCTATAACTCAAGGGGTTAATATTCCATTCTATGTTACATTGTAAGGCCACATAATACGCATCATTTGCTGTAAGATATTGTTCCACATCAGCCAATGTATTAAGTAAATGAATATATTTCATTCCAGACCTGGCAGATTATTCAATAAAGCAAAAGCTTGTGAAAAATAAATGGAAATACAATTACTGCCAAAAGCTATTATCCTATCCAAATCTTATTAATTGTGCTCAGTGGTCCATGAAAAAAAAGTCCTTTTATCTCCTTGTTATTGAAAGAAAAAGGCAAGAAAATATCAAATATAAAACAGATATATTTATTTTAAGATTTGTCTTTGTTTCATTAAATATGCATTCACTTGTACAAATATTTATTGAAAATGACTTTTATTTTGTGTTCCCATCTTTTACTTGTCGTGAGGTTTCTGTTATATTTTTTCTCCCCACTTGAATAAATGTAACAAAACCCATATCCCAAATCATTTAGTTTTGTGAACAGATTATTTTACGATTTTTCATGTCTTTTTTTTCCCCCTGAAATAAAACAATGTTCTAGCCATACTAGCTCCTGTGATACTGGCATCTGAACAGAATTCCCGTTATCGTCTGCTCTTTTTAACAAAGTGATTGATTATCTTGAGATCCTACTTCTGACACCACACTGCTTCAGTCAGAGACCCTTGTTCAACAAAAACTGACTTTACCTACTTCTAGAAAAAAAAATCACCCTCTTTTAAAATTAGATTACAAGTGTGTACAAAAAAATTATTTTAGTTTTCTATATACAACAGAGTATTTTGGTTGTGTCTGGAGCACGCTTAAAACAGTAGACTTCAAAAGTGTGTGAATGCATTACTTCTAAAACCTCTGCGTAAGTTTCCTGTTCGTATTGATAGACACTATTTTCCCCAAACAGTTAAGAAATCGCATATCTACATCAGGTACAGGCGCAATGATTGTTAATCAACCTGCAGATTAACATAAAATAATCAAATATCCCCTATAATCTGAAAGGGTTACAAATCCTTTGTGGGAGAAATCCTAATTGTTATTTTAATTAAAAAAATTTAGATCTCATTTGGAACTGACCATGATGCTTATAATGTTAATACTGTTTCATCTGTTTGTTCCTGAATTTAGATGTTTATCTTCTGTAAGTAAATATCAGTTAGTGTGCTCAGTACTGTCATCCCGACAGACTTCGTGGTGGGTTGTTGTTTTTTTTGTTGTATTTAAAATAATAAAAAAATTTGGGGGGAAAAGTTGTTTAATAGTTGTTTAATAGTTAACAAAAGGCCATAATTTAACGATATTCCTAATTAAACACAGGTACATAAACCAAAGAAGCAGTTAAATGGATTGCCTTTAGAATTGCCAGAATCACCATTTCTTGAACAAACATCACTTCTTCAGTCTTTTGGGCTGTGCATAAAGAGTACTGCCTGCAAAATTCACATGATACAAGAAGGAAAACAATTAATGAATCAAAGCAGTTTCTTTGAGATCCCTCCCTGATTGATTAACTAATTGATTTTGCACTTGTGCAGTATGTGAATGCTATGTAGTATAGGACAATACGTTTCATGTGATGCCCAACAAAATGTGCTTTGTGATATTTCTCCTGGACAGAATATCGGATTGGTCAATGATGATTGTGTATAAACAGGAATACATATCATATTCTGTAAAATTGTTTTTGCCAACTGATGAGGAATGCAAATGAAATACAATAGAATACATTTTAAAAAATAAATATATAAATACAAAACAAACTACAAGGTCTTTGGACATTCTAGGGCAGGGGTTCCCAACCCAGTCCTCAAGTACACCCTAACAGTCCAGGATTTAGGGATTAAACCAGTTGTGTCTAAGATGTTTTTAGAAAGAAAAATCCCAAAACACTTTAGACATAACAGGGTAATCCTTAAATCCTGGACTGATAGGGGGTACTTAAGGTTTGGGTTGGTAACCCCTGTTCTAGAGGTTCAGTCAGTTAGATATGATGTGTTTAAAGAGGAATGAACCAGGGCAAACTGTGCCAAAACTGTTGTCTGATGTAAATTAACAGCATATGAATAAAGGTACGGGGAATGTAAAAGTATGGATATGTCTTCAGTTGGTTGATGATGCCCCACGGAACACTGACTTTTAGAGAATTCTACACTATTTAAGCCAAAAATGTTCTAAGGCTTTTTAACTAAATACTCAGTGTTTTTCACTAAATTGAGAATTGGCAGGAAATGTACATTTTTTGTAAACTGGAGCTTAATAAAGGTGAGTTTGAAAATTAGTTTGAGTCCCGATACAGCTTGCTGTGAAATGAAAACCCTATTTTACATTTTAGGCCAAATTAGTCAGATTGAAAAAAATAATCAAATCAGCAATTTTTTCTGTCTGGCTATTTTGATCAAAATTCTGCAATTTGCTTTTCAATTTACTATAGCTACCTGTGCAGCAAATAAACTGCTGTGTGTATTAAACAAATACTATAGTCACCAGAACAACTACAGCTTATTGTATTTATTCTGGTGAGTAGAATCATTACCTGGAGGATTTTTACTGTAAACACTGTCTTTTCCGAGAAAATGCAGTGTTTACATTACAGCCTAGTGATACCTCCACTGGCCACTCCTCATATGGCTACTAGAGGTGCTTCCTGGGGCAGTGCTGCACAGTGTTACTGATATTCAGTTCATTCAATGGATCTCTATGAGGCGATGCTGATTGGCCAGGGCTGTGTTTGGCTTGTGCTGGCTCTGCCCCTAATCTGCCTTATTGACAAGCTCAGACAATCCAATGCTTTCCTATTAGAAAGCATTGTGATTGGCTATGATCACCACTTCTGAACATGTCAGCCAAAAGGAAGATCAGTGGCAGAGCCAGCAGCAGCAGACTGGGATAAAGGTATTATTTTACTATAATTAGGGGGACTAGATGTTGGTTTTAATACTATAGGGTCAGGAATATATGTTTCTGTTCCTGACCCTATAGTGTTCCTTAGGTAATGTTTTTAATAAAGTCTACAGGGACATTCACTGACAAGCACTTGTAACTTTTAAGCCAAAAGAGACAAACTGGAAAACAATCTTTTTGTTCAAATTCACCCAAACTTTTTTCCAATTTGTCTACTTTGTCCTATTTTTTTAAACTAGTGTTTAATTTAGCTATTTATTGAATGTGTCCACATATAAAAGTGTTGCTGTGGATAACTTGACAACATATGCATTGATACGTTTAACAAACCAGACACGTGTGACTTAGTGCCATTTTGTGGTCTGCTATTTCAGTAATTTTGCAGTCTGCTATTTCAGTAATTTTGTGGTCTACTATTTCAGGATTTGTGCACATCAGGTAATGCAAACCAGTGCACAGTGGCAAAGCACAGAGGGACAACCAGATCTGCCCTTCCGAATAGGCTCATGTTGATTTCCATAGGCAGGGCATGAAAATAGATGTGGTTTGTAAAACTCAAAAACTGCAGAAAGGAAGTCAATTCATCAATCAAGGTAGAATCCCAAATGAAATGCCTTCATTAATGAATGCATTTCCCTTCAGCGGCATATGAATGGTTAATATGTCAGGAATCACTTTTCATGTATTGTCCATCAGCATGAAGGAGTGATATGTTAATATTGTAAAGCGCTACGGAATATGCTGGCGCTATATAAATACCAGTAATAATAATGTGTTCATCTAAAACGCTCTAGTCATAGGCCATATTAGTTTAAAGAAACGCTCCAAGCCCCTAAAACATTTCAGCTGAAGTAATTTAGGGATTAACAGAGTGTCCCCCCTCACTTGTACTTTATAAAAGTGCAGATTTTAAGACAAATCAGCATTTTTAACAAGCTCCAAGGTTGCATTCTCCCTCCTATCAATTTGCTTTTATACACACTTAATACACACAAATCACAAAGCAAAGATACAATGTTAAAAAAAAAAAAAAAAAATCCTGCATAATTTTAACAAGTTTTTTTTTTTTTTTAAATGTTGTTAAAAAGGAAGACGGCCTTTAAAGGACCACTATAGTGCCAGGAAAACAAACTCGTTTTCCTGGCACTATGTAGTCCTTAGGTGCCCCCACCAACATGGCCCCCCTCCCGTTGGGCTGAAGGGGATAAACCCCTTCAGCCATGTACCTTTATCCAGCGCCGGGCTTTCTCTGCACCGGTGACCTCTTCTCCCCCTCCGACATTGGCTCCCGAGCCGCGCGTGCCTTATAAACGCCCATAGAAAAGCATTACTCAATGCTTTCCTATGGACGTCAGCTTCTTCTCACTATGATTTATTTTCACAATGAGAATCGCGAAAGGCCTCTAGTGGCTGTCAGTGAGACAGCCACTAGAGGCTGGATTAACTAGTGTAAACATAGCAGTTTCTTTGAAACTGCTATGTTTACAGCTGCAGGGTTAAAACTAGAGGGACCTGGCACCCAGACCACTTCATTGAGCTGAAGTGGTCTGGGTGCCTATAGTGGTCATTTAAATGGAAACTATGAATTCCCAGATTTTTAACATTTGTTTTTTTGTTATGCTCAAAATATAACAAATTTGTGTTTAAAATTATGAAAAATAGAATTAAATGTATTAATCCCCATGGCTGTATTTAACTCTATCCTGAAACTGGACGCCTCCATCTTGGCTCCTTGTCAATCAGTATAAGCTCCGCCTTTTTCTGTCACATTAGAGGAGGAGAACCACAAGCATCCCAATGCAATATGTGCCTTGGCTGTGCTAGGAATAAACAGGACTGTGTTGTTGCTAAATATAAATTTATATGAAATAGAGTATCAAATGAAAATATAATAATAATAATAAGGTTAACACAAATTATTGGTGATTTCAATGTTTTATTTCATGGTGTTATTTCCAGAGAAGTGATAAGTCTCATTTAATGAGTCTTAGACTATTTAAAATAACATTCTATGACTTATCAGCGTGAACTCATATTATATTGCCTTGGATTCTTCAGATTCTCCATGTTTCCCTATGCCAGGGATAGACAACCTTCAGCACTCCCGATGTTGTAGACTACATCTCCCATGATGCTTTGAAGAGCATTATGGGACATGTAGTGCACAACCCGTGGCGTGCTGAAGGTTTCCTACCCCTGCCCTTGGCACAATTACTGCTACGTGATGAATGGCTTCCTGTGTAAAGTGCTCCAACAAAATGAGGGTATATTTCTACCTTAAAGGCACAACCTTTCATGGACTGCCCTACAGCATGATGAAACAATACATGTCAAAGACAATGCAGTGGATCCAGCAACCCTAAATACCCCTTGTTTAATGTCACAATGCTAAAAATCACTGACAGGAATGGGGTGAAAAAGCAGAGAGCTGTTACTATGTATCAAACACATTCACACAGTACTCAGTATATCTACGATGGTACAAATCTTTACAGATTAGATGCACATTTTAGTTATAAAGCTCCTTTTGCTGTTGTTTGTTTGTGTTTAATTAATATTCAAAAATAATTATAAATTGGGTTCAATTAAATTAATGAGCATCACAACGCGAGTTATAACAGTTTGAAAAAAGAAAAAAACTCTACTAGTGAGATGTGTCCTTTCACATGGCTCCAACACAGAGTGTATATATTATTGGCTTTATTGTGATTTATAGATCCCACATGTACACTATGTGCTTAGTAAATATCACAACTTTCCCCATAAAACAAATTATGAGCAGCAACTTCTAAACAATTTTGCCTTGATCCCAACACCTTTCATTATTAATGTTGACCTCATTTGTGTGCATTCAAAGCATTATTCCCACCAAATTTATATGGTCCACATAAGGCTTTGATGGGTTATATTTTATTTTTTTCGATGGAACATGTGCTTCTGATGGCAATAAGGCACTGAAGGGTGGTGGCACCCTTATATAAGGGCTAAAGATACAGAGGAGTCACCAGATACATTGCCAACATTCCCAGAAACGTTTAGCTGCTTCTAGACTTTCTGATAAAATCTTCAAGAGATCCAGAAGTCAAATGTCCTGAGTGTGGACCCTAAAAGGAAGCTTTAAAACCTGAAACCTAAAGCAAAGTTTGTCTGGTCCGCATTGATTCAGTATGTCAGGAGATCACAGCTTTTCTGTCGGTTTATGTTTTAATTGTCAACCCAGAATCTAGGGATTAATAAAACATTCTATTGTTATATTTTCCTTGTCTTATATACACACACTGTCAAATATCCATTTATTGTTACAGTGATTTACAAAGATTCCTACACCATTCTATTGCACCATAAAGCCACATTTGCCACCTTACCATACAGAAACCATTAAAGCAACAGTGTACTGCCCAGGGGATGAAGTGATTTAAATGCAGCCCTGCACTACACATGTTCCATACTTTCCCCCTGTGGGTCAAAATTAGCCAAACCTCAGGCCATTATTTACTTAAAGGACATCTGTCAAAAAAAGTCTAAATTTTTGTTTTGTACAAGTATATTACATTTAATGAAACGTAATGATTGTTTATTTAATAATGTATGGTGATTTTTATGAGATTTTTTTTCTTTTTTAAACTAACTGAGCAGCCATGTTTTGTTAGATGCTGCAACCGTTTCGCAGCAGCAACAAGTTAGTTTGAGCAGCAGGTGATGAGATAATAGTAGATAGAATTTGACTCAACATGGCGGCTCAAACAGATAAAGAGTGACATTTTCTCTAAAAAACTAAACAAAATACAAAAAAACACGAATTTTCATTTAATGTAAGAATCTAAAAAAAAAAAAAAAAAAACAAAACAATCAGTGAAATTTTGATTACAGTTATCCTTTGAATGCCTTAAATAAACGCCACAGACAATTGGCTATTTTGATTTCAATCTGAATTTTAGTGAATGCGGTGAGTAACGTGAGGTGAGTGAATGAATAACTTACAAATAAAAAAGATACATTTCTTAAAACCAGGGACTGAGTGGGACTGCCAGTCTTGAGATACCCATGAACTATAAATCCATGTCTGCAGAGATTGTTACCAATAATTACCTTATAACAGACAGATAGCCCTGCGCTATTCACAACACTGATCCTTATAGAAGAACTTTAATGCATTTCACCATTTATCCCTATCTGGGAAGCCAGTTGCACCAAAGATTCTGACTACGATAGCCAAAAAGCTATAGCACCAAAACGTTTCTTTTACCTCATCCCTGTAGCGGGCATGACATTTCCCAACTAATGAACCAGTAAAACCAAAATCAGAGAATAAATCCCAGATCAGTCGCTTGATACAAAAATAAAACATACTTTATACTTATCTATATATAGACCTCTCTCTTTTTCACTATATATATATGTCTGTGTATATATATATATATTTTTTATATATATTTATTTCGTCTTAAATATCTGCACATAAACCGCTATAACAAGCACACCTCCTTGCCTTCAGAAAAATAACAAAATGTATGATGAACCATAAATAGAAGTATATACAACATGGATCCTATTTAATGTGATCCTGTAGCCTAAAATCACCCATAAGGCCAAATAACTACCCTAACAGGAAAACGCCACACAGCAAAATATCTGACCTTTGTTAAAACTCTCTATCAATATTATTATAATTGCAATTGATTTTTTTTATTTTTATTTTTTTATTAAATTAGAAAAAGGCTAGCTACAATGTGCTACATGATACCCATCTTTACAGATTTCATTCTATTCCATTTTTGTCCACTTTCAATGTCCATGTAATAGTCCAAGATTTAAAGGGAAACTATAGTGCTAGGAGTACAACGTTGTATTCCTAGCACTATAGCTCCCCAGCAGTGTAAGGGTTAAACCCTTACTATACCAACCCGATTCCAGTGCCGATGTCCCTTGGTGCTCAGTCTGCACTCTGCCCCCTCCGACGTATCCAACGGGGGAAACGATAATGCGCATGCACTGTAAATGCTGCAAGCATATTAGGCCCTTTCGGCAATGCTTTTCTATGAGGGTTTTGACTGATGCTCGATGTTCTCATGCAGAGCATGAGGATGTCCAGCGTCAGTTAGGCAACCAGAAGTCACCTAACCACCAGTAAGTGCCTCTAGTGGCTGTCTGATTAACAGCCACTAGAGGAAGTCTTAACCCTGCAAGGTAATTATTGAAATTTCTCAGAATTAACATTGCAGGATTACGGGGACAGGGTCACTGCACCCAGCGCACTTTAATGAACTGAACTGGTCAGGGTGCCTATAGTGTACCTTTATGGATTACCAAATTTTGGAAAAATTGAAATGTTCAGAATAAATGGATCATTGGTGGCCGTGTCCACTGGTCCAACAACCGCTGATGAAATTGTCTCAGCCTTCCACTTACTAAGCAGTTCTTACAAGCCAACAGTTAATTCATAAACCAACTAAATACCTGCTGCTACTAGAAATCTCACCTATAAGACTTACCCCAAGTGTTGAAAAGTTTTAAATATAAATGTAAAGCTGATAATTAGATATATGATTAAATCTGAGTGAGCAGAACACATGACACAGGGAGTAATATTACCTCTTGCTGCTGTTATTAGAGGCACTTTAAAAAAAAAACATTATTACTAAATATAATTGAAAATAATTACTTTTTTATACTTTCCAGCATTTCATGTGCCAAAAAGAGACTCTTCGCTCTGAATTATGTAGCCAGCGGCGGGGTTATAACAGGACCTTTTAGGTGATGTCATAACCTACTGATTAATGGAACCTAAAATGTAACGTAAAACAAGAACAATGTGTCTTATTTCCACAGACTGGTTTCTAAACACATTTATTGTAGTTTAAAGACACATTACTGGGAGTATTATTGCTGTGGAGCTTCGTTATACACTCACACACTAACAATACGAAGCTACTAGAAAAGAGGGACATTAGGATAGAAAAAAGGGATAGATGATATTTGGGGATAAAGTAGGAACTGTCCCTCCTAAAGAAAGACTTGGGAGGTATGGTAATTCAGTAACTAAGTGAAATGAAGACTGTATTAATCACTTAATTTTGCCTCCAATAAAACTTTGAAATATGCATCGGAGAGGGTTAAAGGACACATTCTTTGTGCAAGTGCCCCAATAAAATAAGAGATACAACATAACTTAAAATCAATCTAGATTGCAGTGGTCATTTGTTTGCTAATAAATTGGTAATGAAGAAGTTAATGAGCCAGTAAGCTGCTAATTTCACAAGAAATTGAGAATACCTGTTATTTTCTACCCACGTGTGACTAGACATGAGCATTTTAAAGTACTTATACTGATATCCAACACATCTCGAGATAACTTGCCTGTTTATTTTCTCATTTATTTAATTAAGACCTTACACTGTCTATAACCAAATCCGTAACGAATATAATGACAGTTTAATGTGTGTCGGATGTAAACACTGCGATAAACAGATTTCTCTTCAGCAGCATGTGGACGTTACATACTGTAAGCGAGAACTTTTCATGTACAGCCCAACAGCAAGACATCAAGCCTGTAAGCCTTCCAGTAAAAACATGGCAGACCCAGCAACAAATAATTAATTAAAGTTCAACTTCTCACACCTGCAAAGTTATTCACTAAAGTGTGATTATAGCTGAAAACTGAAAATATAGCTAACTTGGAGAATATTTCCAGTTTGACTAGTGTGGTCTGAAATGTAAAATTTGCTTTAAATTCCCAGCAGGTGATAGTCTAGTAAAAACAGTAACTGATCAAACACGCAAAAAAAGGAACTTTTAAAATAGACAGGAAAACGAAAAGTAATTTTTAATAAGTTAATTGAAATTATAAGCTTCATATTGTTTGACCAAAACGTCCTTGTCATCAAGAAGATTGTTTGTAAGTGCTTGGGGCTGGATTCATGTTAATTAGAGAGCTGGTAGATAAACAGACTTTCTGGGACACGTGTCTCTCATACATGTTGTTGGGCAGTACATGAAGAGTGCTAACCTATTGTCTGTAATACTTATCCTGATGGAATCTAAAAAGAACTGCCTTGATTAATCTCCCTCCTGCTGTAGCATATGAATGCTACATATTACAGTCAATTTGTTTTATGTATTGCTTGTCAGTTAGAATAAGAGTTATATGGCCAGGAAAACATGGTGGATCACGAGACGCAATATTGTGTGGCTGCAGAAAATCTCACCAAATAATCAGGACCCAAACTCCCACTTTTTTTTTGATTAATACTGCCTCACTGCAGAAGCTGCAAAGCCTGTTGATTTGAAGCAAATGCAGTAATGTCATCTTTAGGTTTTCTATTTTTAAAAAAATTTATTTTGTATTTATATATATTTTAAATGCATTATCAATATAAAGCATTACAAAAAATGTATTGTGTACTGCCTAGAGTGTCCCTTTAAGTAAGGGTATCGGGGGGTATCCAGTCTTGGCCCTCCGGCTGTGAATGGATGGATATTCATTTCCATGAAGATCTGACACTGAACTCTCATCAAGAGACAATAGTTCATAACCCAATTTGCTCTGTAGTATCCTCTGTTTCTTTGGCTGGCTGAGAGTAACTAGGATTGCAGTTGGGCAGTAGCTGTAAGACCATAGCCTGTCTAACCCTTACATAGACCTTTATCACGTATTCACTAAAGTGAGTCTAGCCAAGAATTCCCAGTGAGTTCAAAGTGAATTTCCAGATCAAACTAACCAAACTGGAAACATTCTCCAAGTCAGGAATTCTTCCAGTTCAATTACTTTGAAACTCACTTTGAATTCCCAACAACTCTCACTTTAGTGAATAACCCTGTATAGGTTACATTTCCCGATTTTGGGGTAAAACAGCCAAACTGGAAACATTTTGTAAACCAGCTGTGTTTTCAGGTCGACTAACTTTGATTTCACTTTGAATCCCTTGCAATTCACACCTTAGTGAATAACCTTGCTGTTAAAGGTAATAACTCAGAAAGCAGGATGCCCTGAGCACATATATTTATTTGTAATGCCAGGGATTTTGGGATTTGTCGATCAGCATGGCAATATGGAACGTGTCCCTAGGTGTGGCACAAGCTAAAATGATTGCTGGTACATGATTTGCCTGATGCCGGCTAATACTATTCAGTAAGTGAGGGCTGACCCGTGTACATAAGCTGTGATGTACATTAGCATTTTTACTTCATTCCTCGTCACTGAAAACACATATATAAAAAGCACCATAGAATGGAGGACATCATTCTCCACCTGCCATTACTGAACAATTAGCCCTAAATATCAGCACCATTAATATATACAACCCAACTGCTTATTTCAAAGACTGCTCTGCACCATTAAAATGCCCCTTTCTTGGAGAATGTGCCAGTAACTTAAATCCCAGGATAAGAAAAATAGCTAAACTTTATCGCACCTTAATCAGAGCTCAAATATACACATGCCCACTAGCCATTGGTGAGTGAAAATTCAGCTATGGCCAGTAGAAAATTCTTGGTTAGTGTGCCATAGACCCTCCAGGCTTGCAGAGGCAAGTAACTTTTAAGCTTGGCTAGTAGCATAGAGACTTAAATGTTCATCATCTCTATAGTGTTCACTCAGAGGGATAAAAGCAACTTTTTAAATATTGATTTTTTTATATGTATTAACAATATCCAGCTATAAATGGATCCAGGTCATAAATAAAGAGATTTAACTCCTAATTGTAAAATGTAGGTCAAAATAAGATAAACTGGAAAAATTCTTAGACGCAACTGATTTGGAGATATTTTTTTCCCCAATATGACTACTTTGGCCAAGTTTTGCAAGGCAGATGTCTACTCCCCACAACATACAAGGAGGTGTTACACAAATAAAAAAAGTTCTTAAATCATCACAAAATAGTCATAGGAGTATATTTACTACAATGAGAATTCAAAGTGAATTTCATATTTCATTATGTGAATGTCCATGGGATTAAAGGCTAATTCTGGTTTTAAACTGATAGGAATTAACATTTCCATAGACTGCAACAAGAATCATTTGTACGGAGTATAATCTCTATGTATTTAAATTAAAACATTGAATTATCTTAAAATCTTTGATTAATAATGACTTGGAGGTAAAGATTAAACTGAAACCGACATTTATCTAGCGATATTTGAAATATAGATCTGTTGTGTTCCATCTCAATGCGTTACGATCAATAAACTTAGCAAGTTACCATTAAATCTTTATCAGTGATTAAGTCATGGCCTATAGGGGTTGTAAGGTTTGCCAATATCTGGCTACTCAATTTATATTGAAAGAAATGACAGCATAAATCATAAAGCAAAATTTATGGAGGGATGCTCTTGTTCATTTATGCTTGCGATAGTTGGAATTATAATGTCAAACCAGTGATACAATCTTGCACTAGACCACAACAATACAGTACTCTTCAGTTAATTAAGGGGTTATTCAGTAAACGTTGCATTTTGAAATTAAGGCTAAAGTAACTGATTTAGAAAAATTCTAAGATTCAGCTATAAACACAAATTGGCTACTATAGCCTGAATTGTGCCATTTAGTTTTCTATTCAGAACAATTCAGTGCTTAGTAAATAGTACCCCAATTTTTTGACACACGTTAATCGAGAACGACTGTTGTTACAGTTTAACTCCCAGAATTCCATTTAATAAAGCTATCTGTAGCTCTCTTTTGACTCTCTGGGAATATTTTCAGATGTATGAAGACCATGGTTTAAGCTTTCCAAATGATTTTCATTCTACTACAATCCAAAGTGGATTTCAAATGTCATTTCAAAATAGCCAAACTGGAAAAGTTCTCTAAACCAACTATGATTTTAATTAGACTAATCTGGATTTAAAGTTAAAATTCACTTTGAATTGTCACGTTGGTAAATAACCCCGTTTGTATCTGTTTAGGTTTTTACTGTGGGCTCTTTAAAAGACTGATTGTTCCCCGTTTTATTTTATTTTCTAAATCACCCCAATGTCAAAAAAAACTTTATTGAGGATAATTTCTGCTATTTGATGAAAGTTAACAAGAATTGTATCAATGACAGCCAAATAAGTAAATTTAGAAACTACATTTCAATCCCTCCCCCCTCGACATTATTTCCTGCTCATTTCGATATATATTGTAGATTTTCTTAATATGGTCATGAAATACACTTAGTGGAGGATTGCAAGAAGAACTGAAATGGGCCAATTTTTGTAATTCTCCCCATTTCGATGAGTTTTTCCCTGTTCCCTGACCATGATGAAAACTCTTTTTAGAACAACATACAAAACAACCTTTAATCCTATTTCCACAGTGAAAATTATCTGTAATTTTACTGCCTTTAATACCATTCAACCTCTACATTAAATTCTAGAAACTGCTTTGGAAAATACGTTGGTCGCAGTCATTGGGTAGACAAAAAAAAAAAAACAACCCTAAAAAAAACCACATATCTAATTATGGGTAACACAGTCTAAAGAAATGAATAAGTTCTATAAAGCACCGTTGAAATAAGGTCAATGCATTCAAAGATTTCTTAAAATCACATCCAGGCTCAGTATGGGTTACAATACCTTCGCCATTTACACAATACTCCAATTAACCAGTAGGAGGCAGAAACCTCTTGTTGTAAGAATACAAGTTATAATAAGCAGTATTAAATATTCACAGATCAGTGTTCCTAATGTACGCGGATGATGAAATTATCCCTGCGTTGTATATAATCGGTGACACACAGAGGTTTAGCTCCTCTCGTGTATCATTGGCACAAATAAAGGGTTAGAGGGTTAGAAATTCAGCATAGCATCCTTCCCCTGTGATCTTGTGGAAGTTAAATGCCATTTTATCTAGTGTTTAAAACCCACCACAATGGGTTTATGGACACGTCTGCCAGCTGAGTCATGGTAATAAGGCGCTCAGCCACTTTCTAATGCTAGACATCTGTTATGTTACCCCGGTATAATCCGACAAGCCAGCACCACAATGCAGTATTACAACAGCATAAACAATGTTAAGACTTTATAAGATGAACATATATCTGCTTGGGAAGGAGCACTGAGCAAAAAGAACTATTATTATACCTTCAGCAGTATATCAGATCATGAAAATTATTGCTTACACACCCTCTAACAAAATGGCTCTCCGTACGGCACCACTTTACATTCACAGCAATAAGGTATTGTACTCCTATATCTAGGAGATAAATAAATAGGATGATCTAATGCTGGGAGTGTTAATGTAATATAATAAATGCCTTGAACAAGGGGTAACAACCGTCATTCATATGGAAAATGTTTGAGGAAGTCAACGCAAGGCAGTAGTGGTTTTACAGGCCATCAGGGGCTATTTGGTTGCACCTTTTTCTTCGATTAAATACGAGAACTGTCTCAAAAGGGAAAAAGACACATGAACCAGCAAAGTCAATAACTGAAGATCTACCTTCTACTACCTACTCATGTCAACCATGTCTTGAGGTCCTAGCAGGCCCATACAGCCATATTTTGTACTGGCTGCATATAAAATATATTCTACTTAAAATGGGTTTAACCTGTGGACATGCAAGATCAATGGGAAGAACTAGAAATTACCAATCAATTTTGTAAGTCAATTTGAGGACTCCAAGACAGCCAATTAGGACTTATTTCCAACTGTTGTTACCGGTAATAGCTGCACCCATTTACAAAGTAAGTCATGGCCACAATCATTTTTCTTTAGTTTTTTTGCCAGGAGTAAACTATTAGGCATATTTAGCTGTAAATTATGTCATAATTGCACACATGTTCACTAATCTATGTCCTTCAGTGATTAAAGGAGAGCTGCTAAATCTTAGGCTAAAATAGAAGACAATCTAAAAGTCAACTGACAAGGAGACATTTTCCAGCTTGAACATGGTGGCCCAAGTATGGCCAGCTCACCAGTAGCCATCTGTCAACACTCCACATGCCACTGTTTGTTATCTAAACCGCTTAGACATGGTGTCTCTGTATGGACATGGTTAGGTAGTGAGAAGGAGCCAACAAAAAAACTCTTCAGAGCTTTGGTGTTTGCTTCCCTTTAAACAACTGACCGATTTCATCATCCAATTTAGGCCACCAATGCATTGAGATACCTTCCAAATTTGACTGTGGGAGAATTTACATAAAATACATACATACACTATGCATACACACGGCAAGTGCTGTGTCCGTAAGAGCTATGGACCTTGCCTCTAGTGGAATTAAGGGTTTGAACACCATACACATAGATGAGCGGTGAGACATGGTGTCTTCTCAGAGCTCCTATACTGTGCTATAGTCACACTATACATAGTGCTGATCTGTGACCTATGAATGTATCCTCAGTTTGCAGTCTTAACACTGTACATTGCTCCGAGATGGGAGGCACGGGCGTATCCTCAGCACACACACAGGGTTGGTGAGGTAGGCATTGAATGCACGATTCCTGCTCACGGTTTTGTGTACAGGTCTTGTTTTATAGAGAGGAACGGGGGGTGTAAGCACCAAGAGACAGAAAGAGCCTAGGAGCCAGGCCTCTCTCCAGGGATGGTCACAGAAGGGTGGCATGGCCGCTGGAGTCATCAGGTTCGGTGCTGGTCAGAATGGCGGCCCGATCATCCGACAGTGCTCGGTGACAAAGCTCGTCCCTCAGAGCTGAGAGGCGAGAGAGGGGGTCGTGTCCAGCTGCACGTTTCTTCCTACGGATGCAACGAGTGTCTGTGTACATTGATGGGGGCAGCTGGTGAACCTGCGAGTTGGATCCATCTGGTAAGGATGAAAAAAAAGAACTGAGTAAACCACCTTAAAGTAGGCTTCCAAAAGAAGAAATTTAAGAATTTTTTTTTTTTTAAATCTAGTCGTCAGTGTCATTATTCACTCGTCTTTTACACAATGACAAACACTAAACTACTTAGAACCCGTGAAGTAATTAAACAAAATCAAGACATTCTCAGTCATTGTGGTTACCAAGGCCTCTATCCTTGAGATAATGGTTTAAAAGGGCTAAATGCAACATGAGCAAAGGGGCATCAGGACTCTCGAAGAGTTTGGGACCCACTCCAGTTTGGTTCCTCTGGGTCTTGCCAGTGCTCCATGTTGCAGACCAGCTAAAAGAAATGTGTCTCAAACTGACTGTCAGTTGTGTTGCCATAGCTTTCTGCCAATATCAAGGCACATCTGCTTGATAATGTCGTCTTCAAGCTGCCCTACTATAAAGTCACGCTGACATCACTATAAGCCCAAAGAAACCTTCCCACCCAGAACTTTTGAAGTGAAGATTAGCCTATCATCACATATTGTTTTTTGAAGAGTTTTTCACTATAATAAATAGGACAGAGTATGAAAGAAAGAATTTGGAAATAGGGTTGCGGGATAGGTTAGCTAAAATTGAAGAGGGGTGTGGACAGGGAACTGGGATGAGACATAAAGTGTTGGGAGAGGGAAAACAAAAATGGAAATGGAAGAGGCAGGGAAGTGAGGTGGATAAAGAAAGTGGGACTTCGAGGGCAGATGACAAAGAACTGAATGATACAAAAAGGTAATAAGGAGACAGTAAGAAGAATTATTTCATTTTGATATCTTGCCATCTTGGAGCGACTGCACAGTATTGGGAGCATTTTATCATTATTCACTGTCAAACTTTATTACAATATTTATTTCTTGTGTTTTCACAAACATATACAACTCATTACATGGTTTCTAAAAATTTCCTAAACTTCATGTCAATTACTGCAATGAAAAATTAAAAATAAAATGTAACAAATTGTGCTTGGATACTACAGCAATGCCCCTGCAGACTGGTCAACATAGAGAACATACCCAGAAGAATGGCTGTGCCACACGGTATTGAGCTGTAGATCCTGCTTGCTTTGCACTTAAAAACCAATTCTGTGCATTAGCTGGTATATAAGCACGCCTGGAAGATATGTCCCCATTACAGCTGTGTGTTTTATTTTTTATGCTAGTTGCAACACTGGTACACCCATTCACCCCTCCTGTGCCTTCCTTCTCCGAATTTCAGATCTTTAAAAACGGGTAGATTTACCCTCATGCATATGTTTTCCATTATTACAGAATTTCAGGGACAATTTAAGAACTGCCCATTTTCCTTTTCAAAGCTGCAGTTGTTACATCTGCCTAATTGTATGTAATTGTAACATATACAATGCATGTGAATTAAATGTATTACAGTATGCATGTAATTCTAACATATAAAGTGCATGTGAATTTAATGTATCACAGTATGTATCTAATTGTAACATATAAAGTGCATGTGAATTTAATGTATTACAGTATGTATCTAATTGTAACATATAAAGTGCATGTGAATTTAATGTATTACAGTATGCATGTAATTCTAACATATAAAGCGCATGTGAATTTAATATATTACAGTATGTATGTAATTCTAACATATAAAGCGCATGTGAATTTAATGTATTACAGTATGCATGTAATTGTAACATATAAAGTGCATGTGAATTTAATGTATTACACTATGCATGTAATTGTAACATATAAAGCGCATGTGAATTTAATGTATTACAGTATGTAATTGTAACATATAAAGCGCATGTGAATTTAATGTATTACAGTATGTATGTAATTCTAACATATAAAGTGCATGTGAATTTCATGTATTACAGTATGTAATTCTAACATATAAAGTGCATGTGAATTTAATGTATTACAGTATGTAATTGTAACATATAAAATGCATGTGAATTTAATGTATTACAGTAATTCTAACATATAAAGTGCATGTGAATTTCATGTATTACAGTATGTAATTCTAACATATAAAATGCATGTGAATTTAATGTATTACAGTATGCATGTAATTCTAACATATAAAATGCATGTGAATTTAATGTATTACAGTATGCATGTAATTCTAACATATAAAGTGCATGTGAATTTAATGTATTACAGTATCCAAGTAATTCTAACATATAAAGCGCATGTGAATTTAATGTATTACAGTATGCATGTAATTCTAACATATAAAGTGCATGTGAATTTAATGTATTACAGTATGCATGTAATTCTAACATATAAAGTGCATGTGAATTTAATGTATTACACTATGCATGTAATTCTAACATATAAAGTGCATGTGAATTTAATGTATTACAGTATGCATGTAACATATACATGTGAATTTAATGTATGCATGTAATTCTAACATATTCATGTGAATTTAATGTATTACAGTATGCATGTAAGTAACATATAAAGTGCATGTGAATTTAATGTATTACAGTATGCATGTAATTCTAACATATAAAGTGCATGTGAATTTAATGTATTACATATGCATGTAATTCTAACATATAAAGTGCATGTGAATTTAATGTATTACAGTATGCATGTAATTGTAACATATAAAATGCATGTGAATTTAATGTATTACAGTATGCATGTAATTCTAACATATAAAGCGCATGAGAATTTAATGTATTACAGTATGCATGTAATTGTAACATATAAAGCGCATGTGAATTTAATGTATTACAGTATGCATGTAATTGTAACATATAACGCGCATGTGAATTTAATGTATTACAGTATGTATGTAATTCTAACATATAAAGCGCATGTGAATTTCATGTATTACAGTATGTAATTCTAACATATAAAGTGCATGTGAATTTAATGTATTACAGTATGTAATTGTAACATATAAAGTGCATGTGAATTTAATGTATTACAGTATGCATGTAATTGTAACATAAAGTGCATGTGAATTTAATGTATTACAGTATGCATGTAATTGTAACATATAAAGTGCATGTGAATTAAATGTATTACGGTATGCATGTAATTCTAACATATAAAGTGCATGTGAATTTAATGTATTATAGTATGCATGTAATTCTAACATATAAAGTACATGTGAATTTAATGTATTACAGTATGCATGTAATTCTAACATATAAAGCGCATGTGAATTTAATGTATTACAGTATGCATGTAATTCTAACATATAAAGCGCATGTGAATTTAATATATTACAGTATGTATGTAATTCTAACATATAAAGCGCATGTGAATTTAATGTATTACAGTATGCATGTAATTGTAACATATAAAGTGCATGTGAATTTAATGTATTACACTATGCATGTAATTGTAACATATAAAGCGCATGTGAATTTAATGTATTACAGTATGTAATTGTAACATATAAAGCGCATGTGAATTTAATGTATTACAGTATGTATGTAATTCTAACATATAAAGTGCATGTGAATTTCATGTATTACAGTATGTAATTCTAACATATAAAGTGCATGTGAATTTAATGTATTACAGTATGTAATTGTAACATATAAAATGCATGTGAATTTAATGTATTACAGTAATTCTAACATATAAAGTGCATGTGAATTTCATGTATTACAGTATGTAATTCTAACATATAAAATGCATGTGAATTTAATGTATTACAGTATGCATGTAATTCTAACATATAAAATGCATGTGAATTTAATGTATTACAGTATGCATGTAATTCTAACATATAAAGTGCATGTGAATTTAATGTATTACAGTATCCAAGTAATTCTAACATATAAAGCGCATGTGAATTTAATGTATTACAGTATGCATGTAATTCTAACATATAAAGTGCATGTGAATTTAATGTATTACAGTATGCATGTAATTCTAACATATAAAGTGCATGTGAATTTAATGTATTACACTATGCATGTAATTCTAACATATAAAGTGCATGTGAATTTAATGTATTACAGTATGCATGTAATTCTAACATATAAAGTGCATGTGAATTTAATGTATTACACTATGCATGTAATTCTAACATATAAAGTGCATGTGAATTTAATGTATTACAGTATGCATGTAATTGTAACATATAAAATGCATGTGAATTTAATGTATTACAGTATGCATGTAATTCTAACATATAAAGCGCATGTGAATTTAATGTATTACAGTATGCATGTAATTGTAACATATAAAGTGCATGTGAATTTAATGTATTACAGTATGTAATTCTAACATATAAAGCGCATGTGAATTTAATGTATTACAGTATGCATGTAATTCTAACATATAAAGTGCATGTGAATTTAATGTATTACAGTATGCATGTAATTCTAACATATAAAGCGCATGTGAATTTAATGTATTACAGTATGTAATTGTAACATATAAAGTGCATGTGAATTTAATGTATTACAGTATGCATGTAATTCTCACATATAAAGCGCATGTGAATTTAATGTATTACAGTATGCATGTAATTCTAACATATAAAGCGCATGTGAATTTAATGTATTACGGTATGCATGTAATTCTAACATATAAAGCGCATGTGAATTTAATGTATTATGGTATGCATGTAATTCTAACATATAAAGCGCATGTGAATTTAATGTATTATGGTATTACAGTGATATTTAATGGGAGATTTATTATGTTTGGGCGGGTTGTCACAATATGTGGTTTTTAGTTTTTTTATGCAATTTTAGTTGTTTTTATTTGTTATTTGCTTTACTCTGCCATTTCTCTGCCATTTCTTTTTTGTAAGAATGGGACGTTTGTTTGTTATAATATTTATAAAATGTTATTGATTGTTGCCTTGTGTTATTTTTGCTTTAACACACATGGAATGTTCACTCTGTTGCATTAGTTACTTTTTACTTTGAACTACAGGAGTTTTTCTTTCTGAATGTATTCCAGACAAGACAATATGATTTGCATGATTATTAAACATATAATATCTACTGAAATCATTCCGGTTTGCTCCAGGTGGGGGCACATTGACAAAATAAATTCACTTTTTTTTTTTTTTTTTAAATAAAATTTGCTTACTGGCAGCACAAGCAGGTAAAACAAAATAAATGAAATTCTATGCCATATTCCTTCACACTATATCGGGTGATGTAAGGGTTAATGATAAGACAGACACTTTTTTTAAACCTCTTCACTAATTATATCAAATTATTTTTTCTAATTTCAAGTTTAATGATTTTTCATTGTTTAGTTGTGAATTTCAAGTAGTATGCAAGTAGTAGAAGCATTGTGTCCTTGTGTAAGGTAGAACTACAACTCCTATGATGTTTTGCATGCCTTTAGAATGTCAAAGGATCATGGAAGATGTAGATTTAAAACATCTAGGGGTCTACTTTTTTGGCACCTTGGTGTAATATGTATCTGTGACGAGACCAATCTCGCCACTGTGCATTGGAGCAGCCTGGTTGCCCGCCTGCTGCCTTTAGACTATGGCCCCATGTTGAAACGCTTGATTTTCCCCTGCGGAGACACGAAAGCCGGGTCATTCGGTGCTGGCCCTGTTTGAGTGGTGATACCCCAGATAGCTATGCCATGGAGCCCATTCGTATAATGAAAGACTATGGGAAAGACTTTGGCTCCATGGCAATTGAACTGTTTGTGTGTGCTCTGAGCGCCATTCAGTAATAATGTGCGCTCAGATCTGAGCTATCTGGGTATATGTTGAATGTACCTGTTTTGTTCAATGGCTGCACAGTTATATGTTTTTATGTGTTTTATTGTCTTTTGCTGCCATGTGTTCAATGGAGTTTTGCCTCTGTCCTTGGAGATAATTGGATTACTTCCCAATTATCTCCAGGATAGAAGACACTGTGGAACTGGTTTTGGGCAGAAAAGCCATGCTTCCTTTGGTCACAAAGGACTACGCTTTATCTTTTGAACCAATGGACCAATTTGGATGATTTTGACATATGTTTGTATTTGGAGTATGCTGATTCGGTTTTATGTGAATGTGATGCATACTTTATAAGTTATGAATAATGTGGAAAAAATGTATTTCTCTGCTAGTGATAATTATATTACCCATTGTGTAAGGTAATTGTATCACAGGCAGAGGGGAGGATTTTGTGTGGGAGTATCTGAGTGTATTGTATGTGTTTATTGGTTGTGTTCCAAAACCCTGTGGGTGGTACTAATGTGTATATAAGAACAATAAACCCACAGCTCTGTCTGTTCACTGCTTGACCCTCAAAACAGAGCCTTGTCTCATTCTTGGGGGGATTTATTGTATGCTGTTCCAGTTTGACTGCTAGGAGTGTAAACCTATTCGCATGGTTTTACCTATTCGGCTGTTCACGGCATTCATATGGTTTCCTGTTCGGCGGATTGGTGTTCTGCAGTAGCTGTGCCCGTGTCTCTGGAATGGAAGATCTACTAAATGGCGGTTTAACCCTTTTATGCCTGGGGGTGCCGTAACAGTATCAGTTTACTGTAGTGTAGGATTGTTACGTTTGTTCTATCATATAATTGTTCGTCTGTTGCAGAATAAGGTTCATTGTTTCATGTAGTATAAGACGTGTCAGTTTATAGTAATATTGTTACAGTATAGGAGTGTTATATTGTTACAGTATAGGATTGTTATATTGCTGCAGTATATGGTTCATAGTTTGACGTAGTATAAGACAGTCAGTTTATTGTAATATAGGATTGTAAGGTTGGTACAGTATAGGGTTGTCAGTTTGTTGCAGTATTGGGTAGATAGCTTGTCACAGTACAAAATGTAGATTTATTTTATCATAGGATTTTTACATTGTTACAGAATAAGATTGTTAGTTTGATAGTTTGTTGTAGTATGTGCTGTAGAACAGGGGTTCCCAACCCATGGTATGCATACCCCCAGGGGTACGCAAAATAATTTCTGTAATGGCGGCCACACGGGTTGGGAACCCGGTTTGCCGCAATGGCCATGGGCCGACAGGGGAGATCACAGGATCTCCCCTGCTGGCCCATGCAGAGCCAGCGCTATATTAGTGCTGGCTCTGCTGTGGGCCTTCATGGGCCGGTAGGGAGATCAAAGTCTCCCTACCGGAGACAGACTGCAGGCAGCCTGCGGGGGAGAGAGGGGTAAGGAGGAACAGGGAGGCGGAAAGGTCCTCCTGCGAGTTCGGCAACACTCAGAGGAGCTCGCGGGAGGACTGAACTCTGCCTGCAGTCTGTCACATATTCATCCGCTTATAAAAATGTGGTTAATGGCATTTACTGTCCACAAAGGAAAAGTTGTGCCGAGCAGCAACCAAATCCACAGAATGGTTAATGCTGGGCAGCAATTATGCAAATTGAAACCTGGTAACTGCCTTTGGGGTAAAAGGCCGGCTACAGCCTATCAGATCTAGAGGAGGGGTATTTAGGTCCAGTTCTCATCCTGCTCAGTGCCCTGTCGTGGTTTCCCTTGTGGTTGTCCGAGAGCGCGTTACTAATTTTGGTTATTCTGGTTATTTGATTTTGGCATTGTTTTTGACTTCCCTGTTTTCTGGCATCCCTGACACCTGGCTTTTCCTTATCGTTGTGTCTCTTTCTGCATCCCTTGACCTCGGCTATTCCTGACTATTCTTTGGTACGTTAGTCTGGCCATTCTATGGTCCGGTATACGTTACCTATCAGTTCTCTGTGTTACACAATTCTATGTGCTGGATCATACTGTAATCCTGACATTACGACAGGGCCATATATCCTGTAGAATTGTGTAAGCACATAGCTGCTTGTGAAAGGAAACTGGAGGATAATGATCACCGCATGGATCAATTTGCCCAGGCCTTCAGAACGCTTCTTACCCGAACAGCGCATCTGCAACCTGCGGCCTCACCTCCACCTTGTGTACCTCCAGCTATAGTACACAAGGCACCTACTATCTCCCTATCTCCTCCCCTACATTTTGATGGTAATATTATTGTATCTATGTGTCTTTGTATCTGCATGTGTGTCAATGTGTGTATCTGTTTCTCAGGGTGTGTATCTGTGTGTCAGGTTACGTATCTGTGCATGATGATGTATGTCAGTGTCTGTATCTGTATGTGTGTCAAGGTATGTTTCCTTAAAGGGAAACTCCAGTGCCAGGAAAACAATCCGTTTTCCTGACACTGCAGGTCCCCTCTCCCTCCCACCACCCAATCCCTTGTTGCTGAAGGGGTGAAAACCCCTTCAGTTACTTACCAGAGGCAGCGACATGTCCCACATCGCTGCTTCTTCCCCGCCGCCGCTCCTCCCAGTGATTACGTCTGCCAGTGGGCGAGACTGATCCCGCCCACCGGCCGGGGAGACCTAATGCCGCGCATGCGCATTAGAGCTCCCCATAGGAAAACATTGAAAATGCTTTTCAATGTTTTCCTATGGGGAAATGAGCGACGCTGGAGGTCCTCACACAGTGTGAGGACGTCCAGCGACGCTCTAGCATAGGTTTTCTGTGCTACGAAGCAAGAAGTGTCCTCTAGTGGCTGTCTAGTAGACAGCCACTTGAGGTGGAGTTAACCCTGCAAGGTAATTACACTTGTAGGATTAAGAGTAGAGGGAGGTGGCACCCAGACCACTCCAATGGGCAGAAGTGGTCTGGGTGCCTGGAGTGTCCCTTTAAGTGTATGTATATATATATATATATATATATATATATATATGTGTCTGGGTATCTGTGTGTCAGATACATACACTGACAAGCTTAAAGATGCACACCCTGACACACATACAGATACAAAGATACATAGATGAATACATCTATGTTTCTATGTATCTGTCTGTGTGTCAGAGTATGAATCCTTAAGTATGTCAGAGCATGTGTATATGTGTCTGTGTATCTGCATGTGTGTCAGAGTGTGTATGATACATACCCTGAAACACAGACACACAGATACATACCCTGACTCACATGCAGATACACTGACACAGATACACACCCTGATACACAGACACATAGATACATACCCTGACACACATACAGACACAGATACCCACACCGACAATGACACATGCAGACACAGATACATACCCTGACACACATATATTGTCTGTATCTGCATGTGTGTCAGTGTGGGTATCTGTGTCTGTATGTGTGACAGAGTATGTATCTGTGTGTCATTGTGTGTATATGTGTGTGTCAGTGTGGGTATCTATGTGTCTGTGTATCTGCATGTGTGTTTGTATCCGTATGTTTTTGTGTGTCTGTGTATGTATGTCAGTGTTTTTATCTGTATGTTTGTGCATCATTGTGTCTGTACATTTGTTAATGGGGTACAATTTATGGAAATGGGCTGCCCAGGGGTACTCAAGTGAAAAAAGGTTGTGAACCACTGCTATAGAACATTCATAACATGGAACTGGAAAAGCCAGCAGCCCAAACTGTAATTTATTAATGAGAGAGAACAACGCTTACCAGAGTGTTTTCTGGATTTAGTAGAACCCTTGTTGGATTTCTTGGGCTTGTGAACACGCTGATCTCTCACAATTTCCAGTCTCTCAGGTACAGCAGCAATCCCAACTCTGCAAGGTACAAAGAGGATTTTCAGGGATCATTAAACAACACAAGATGCTTACTGGTTTCCCATTCATAGTTAGATTAGAGACAGCTGTCACAATGTCTTAACAAGACCTGGGATTAAACACAAATAAGAGAAAAATCCACCGTGTAGTTATGAAAAACCTGGGCACCGGCACATAAAGGTTCCTGAAATAAACACAGTGTACTGCTATGCTCCTATTGGATTTAATGATGATTTGCACGTTGCTTTACAATTTCAACTGTAAGAAGGCTGTACAAAGCGGATTACATCTGTAATACCCCCCTGATTTCCATTTGCACACCATTATCTTGCTGGGGCACTGTTTTACTCCCCTTCATTGGTTTTACTTCTCCACCAATTTTTGTTATCCATCTGAAAATTCACCACACTCTGCATTGGCTCATAGAATATGGTCTCATGTCTCAGCACACAGAAGTAGACCCAGCTGGTCTGCTTTTAGTAATAAGAAATATGGCTCAGCATATTAAACTATTTACTTAATAGTTAAACAATTAAAGGGACACTATAGTCAACTGAACAACTACAGCTTAATGTAGTTGTCCTGTTGAGTACTGTCAGTCCCTGCAGGCTTTTTGCTGTAAACACTTTTTTTTTTTTTTTTTTTTTTTTAAAGGCAGTTTTTACATTGTTCCCTAGGGACACCTCTAGTGGCAGTCACTTACGGCCACTGGAGATACGTCCTGGATCAGTGCTGCACAAGGAGAAGCAATGACGTTTAGCGTCTCCATGCTGTGCATGGAGGAGCTGAGTTTTCCCCAAAGAGACGCATTGAGTCATTGCATCGCTATGCCATGTATGTGTATTCCCAGTGCTAACCTTAAAGGGATACTCTACGCACCACAACATTTTAGATTCATGATGTGGTTTTGATGTATAGATCATGAACCTGCTGTCTCAATGGTCAATTTTCTGACATTTAGGAGTTAAATAGTTTTGTTTATGGTGCACTAGCCACACCTCGCTGCCTGTCAATCACACAGCTTCTCTACACACTTCCTGAAAAGGAGTGCACATTTTAGCTTCCCTCAGTGCACAATTGTTTTTATATATAATTCTTTATTTGAAAGTTTTTAAATTTTCATAGAAATAAAGTGAGATTACAATTTATACAATTCAGTGTTACAACAAACAATAAAATAACTGGTAGGTCGTATTGGCTGTTTCCACAAGCATTAAGTAGGAAGTGCTGTAAGAAGTATTAGACATTGACATTGTTTCGGTACAAGCTTTTATATGTTGCATACATCTTGCTGATTTATTGTTATGAAATGAAATATAAGGGAAAAACAGGAAAAATAATAACAGTAACCTGAGTCTATTTACATCAGGAATTACATGGAAGTATAGGGGAGGGACAGGAGAGGAGTGTTGTAGATTTCACTACTTTGTAGGTAGAGAGGGGTGATGTCGTAGTACATGCTTTGTAGTTGTAGGACCTCGTCGTCATTGTTTGTGATCCGTTGAGGAGTGGGCATGAAAGGTATTATATGAGGTGTCTGACCTACGTAGTGGTTGCACTGAGAGATTGTTTAAGCCCCTAGAGGTGGTCTTCTCCCCTCTTAACATTCAATGACTGCCTAAACCTGTGACTCACAGACATCATTAGTCACTAGGGATGGTTCTGGTTAAGGGTCTGTAAGGCCTGGAATGTGCTCATCTTCAGATCCTGTTGGTTTTCGTGCGTTTTATCATGTGGTCTTACGTGCTCCCAACTAGCGCCGTTACAGTCCATAATGAATGCGGCGGCGAGGCTCATCTTCCTGTCCGCCCGCACCTCCCATGCCTCACCCTTCTGTCAGTCCCTACATTGGCTTCCTATAAAATATAGAGCTCAATTTAAAATTCTGGTTCTTGCTTTCAAATCTCTACATAATGCTGCTCCCACCTATCTATCCTCCCTTATACACAAGTATGTCCCGTCTAGGCCCTTACGATCTGCTGAAGACTTACGTCTATCTTCTGTCCGTACTCCCACCTCTGATGCTCGCCTTCAAGATTTCTCGAGGGCTGCACCGTTCCTGTGGAACTCGCTTCCCTCCTCCGTTAGATGCTCACCCAGTCTCCACTCCTTCAAAAAATCGTTAAAAACCCACTTCTTCATAAAAGCGTATCAATTAAACTGTTAATAGCTCCTGACTGATTCCTCTTCTGCAACTGTCATTAGTCTAATACTATCCTTACCTTTTTGTGTCATTTTACCCCACTCCCTCTAGCATGTAAGCTCATTGAGCAGGGCCCTCAACGCCTCTGTTCCTGTGTGTCCAACTTGTCTGGTTACAACTACATGTCTGTTCGTCCACCCATTGTAAAGCGCTGCGGAATTTGACGGCGCTCTATAAATATCATAATAATAATAATAATGTGTCTTCGGTGAGATGCGTGCACATGTAGTTTGATTAAGTTTGGGTGACCGACATTTCAAGAATTTAAATTGTATTATTTTTTTTTAATGCAGTACTTTCCTGAAATATCTGAAATATAAACAGTTAATTTCCTTCTTCGTACTTTCCATCGAGAGGTTATTCTTCGTCACAAAAACAGAAAATATGAGAACAATGAGAATGGGCAGAAACAATAGTTTGTCCTCACTCAGGTCTCAAGAATGTTTTTGCTCACTTGCGCCATTACAAGGAAAACCTATACCATTTGGATATTGGACTCAATAGTGCAGTTCCCTCTGCACTAAAGATACAGCAACCCCATACGATCATTTTGGCCTTCTTTGGGTCTTGTCAGAGAGGTGTAGATGTGACCACAGGATCCTAGTCTGGATTACCCTTTTAACTTAAGGAAAACATTGAAGAAAGAATCTCCATGCCATCTGTCCACAAACTTTTGTTTCCAGAACCTTGCAGATTATTTAACCTCTTTAGTAAACCTATTTTACTTTCCCAAGACCAACAGTTTGCATGACATTCCTCAGAAATTAGGCTGGTGCCGTCTTCTGTTTGTGATAAGCCATAACATTTCTATTTCACCAACTTAAAAAGGGTTCACATGTGTAAGAATGTTTAGGTCAGACACTGCAGAATTACACCTTCTTTCTATCCTTCCTCTGTAGAGTGATTCAGGAGTCGTCAAGAAGATTGGCCAACATACTGTTACACTTCTCCAATAGTTTTTCACTAGAAGATTATAGGAATCCAGGTCAAATCCCTCATATAAAAGCAAAGGCCAAGGGATTCCCGAGCTCCAATACTGCCACCATTTCCTCTTTTCAACTGGATCAGGGTAGGCCCAATTCTAAGGTGGTGGGTATCTAGGAAACTTTGTGGGCCAAGGAACGCAATGTCAGTGGCCATTTAACAACAAAACAACCCCTGTTTAACCTCCTGACCCTTAGCATCACAACGCTTTGGTTGAGAGAAGGCCACATGTTAACCTGGTTAGAAAATCACTGGGATCATTACCTATTAATATTTTTTTTAAAAGAAGAAACAGATTGCATGTTCCCTCGATAATGTGGTCTCTAGGAGATCCTCAACATCAGTTTTTAAAGACACTTTTTACAATTTTATAGTAAAACAGGCTAATTGAATCAGAATGGCCTCAGCAAGAGAGAGAAGCTCACGCCATAATCAAATAGGCCCATTCTACTAAGAGAGGCAGCAAGAAGTGTCCTTATATAGCATATGTTCCCTAACCAGTGAACAATGGGAGAGGGAATAAGTGTACTATTGTAGCAGTGGCAATAGGGCACAATATGAGTTAAAACAGAAATAAGTTAAAACATCCAAACTTTAACAGCATTATTCACCAAAGTCAGAATTTAAAGTGAATTTCAGCAGCTACTTTGGCCTAAAACTTGAAATTCACTGTAATCCTGTAGATGACTAAAGAGTGTCCCAGTATGCAACACAAAGAAGTAATTGTTTCCATACAGTTTGTTCCCAAATGGAACAATAGTAGAAATATCCCATCTTCTGGTGGCAGTGTTGTATAATTGTTCCAGTGATTAATGAACAAGGAATTTTCCAACATTAAGGGATTCCTGTCTCTCGTAGTCTGCCGGTAAAACCTCTCATTTGTACCATAATAGGGTGTTTTTGCATAGATCTTTAAAAAATGTAAGCTTGTGGGTTTTAAGACGAGATTTCCCATGAACAGCATTCATAATTCTCAATTTATCAAAATATATTTGGTATCGAATTATTAATTCCCTGGGCGTGAAGCCAGGAGCTTAAGGTGACCTGTTAATATGGAACCATCAAGCACTATGCCCTTAGTTTTTTCAGGTGATACAAATGAGGTTATCTGAGGAAAATTCAGTATCTTTTTAACTAAGATGCTTCTCTGCCACATCTCTTTTTCTAAAATTGTACCTCATCCCTCTGTCATCCAGTAAATCCATTATCTTGGAAATATGAGAATGAGAACGTTAAAGGTGGCGTTATGTGGTGTCCATTGTCCCCATTATCTGACGAGAATAGACATATTTTCTTCCAAGACCTTGATAAACACAGTAAAGGTCTGAATTTCCTCCTTTGTTGTATCTACATTTATTGAAATTATCTTGAAAATATGTGTCCTCTGGTGGCAGGTATATCCTGATATCTGTAGTACCCTTCAAAATAGTGGTAAAAGGAGGTTACTTCAACTCACAAAGGTCCTAATGGCTTTTCTACAAGGGTGAAGAATGCAGATTGGCCACAGACACCATATTATGTTTAGGCCTCCAAGAGAACAAGTCTCCTATGTTCTGGCAGTAAACATTTCTACTTTTAGAACCTTTTCCCTATAATGACACTACCATCCACTCGATTATGCTGTGTGCAAAGAGCTCAGCAAGAGTGTGTCTGCTCAGTACACTGGACACTCTGTCCCTGCAGCATCAGTTTTTAGATTAGTAATTTCACTTCACACCAGAAACATATAGTGTCTTATGTGCAGGTTAGTTTTCTCTGCGCAAGACAGGTTGAGCAAAGTCAGTGAATGTTGTAGCTCCTGTCAAAGTCGTTATCATGGACTTTTTACAGAATATTTGGTGGTTTTATACCAAGCAAAAATATATTAATTGTAAATTTTACAATTGCTTTCTTTTCATTGTACTTTTTTTTAAAATTGTTCATACCAAAACTCACAGCAATTTCATCATTACCAGTTGTTTTTCTCTAAAATCTTTATTGTGCTAAATCACCAATACATCTTTTGTTATTTCTCTGCACCTAAACTAGCAAATGCACACACCTAGCCAATAAATAGCGGCAAATCGGACTATCCAATTCCTAAAGGATTCACGGTTCTAACTGTAAATAAAGTTGAATTAAAGCCGACAGTCCGCAGATTATCCTCTTAGTGATTGTTTCATTTCAAATCCAGTTCACTGAGTCACAGATCCAAAACTACTCACGACCCAAATACTTATGGCCTACCCAATTTAATGGCCTTAATCACTTTGTCCTAAATAACACTGAAGATATTCCAAAAGCAAAGTCTGGTTAATTAGTAACCAGGATAAGAATGATTCATGTGTATTTCTGGAACTGGGTCACAGGATTCAAGTTTTTTTTTACCTCTCACAGGATAATAACAAGTTAGCACTTGTCAAATAAAATCTCACCAAATAAACTGACAATTTAGATAGGATATCACAGAAAATAATTTGGCAGATTCAGTACACTGTGAACATCCCTTTGAGGCTGAGATGGATTCTGACAATCTGGATTTGGACAATCAACAAACCAACATAAAACAAATTATGGGGAGGACGACTGAGTTTAGTCGCTTATGTCACATAGCGGTAATCTTGAACACAGGACAGTAAAACTATTTAAGGAAAAAATAAAAAAACAAGTTTATGAAAATGAAGAGGATGTACTCGAAGCAGAAGTGAATAAGACTTCCTAGAGTAAACTTTTTTAGAGGAATAGAGGGCATTGATCGGTTTCAGCGAAGACTTATTTTGTCATCACACATACACCGCATTCTACCATAACTTTTTTGGGATACATAGCTCAGCATTAGCAGACATTGCAGTATAATCTGCTACAAGCTTCATTGTTTAATTATAAAATGAAGGGTATTTGAATAATATAACAAAGTAACTAGGGATATATTTACTATATAATAAAATTTGTATTAGTATAAAGCGTATCAAAATATTTTTAAACACATGCTTGTGGTATTGGATCATACAGTACAAGTAATGATAGGGAGATAAGTTGTGATGGTGTGTCGAATTGTACTGTAAAGTTCAGTGACGGACCAGAGTCCAAAAGATGTGGGGGTGAGCCTTAATAGATGGCCCACTGTAAGTTGTTAAATCGAAAAAGATGTGGGGGTGAGCCTTAATAGATGGCCCACTGTAAGTTGTTAAATCGAAAACAGGACTAATTACTGGTGTGCAGCTAGGACTGCCTGAGTATTTGTTTTGCATCTGCAGCTATTGTCCTGTGTGATGTGTAGCAGAACCCTGTGTGTTTAATAGGGGATCAAAGCCTGTGACTCACATGTAGGTATGTCTTATGGTAATGTGTAATGGGGCTTTTAAGTTCAGGGTGACTTACAGACTCTCCTGCTGATATAGCATTGCTGTATGGGTATTTCTTACCAACACATATATATATTGTAGCTGAAGACAGTAACACACAGTCAAGGTTGTATAAAGGTGACATGTTCACTTTAAAAAAAAAACTGATCAAAGCGGACATTATTTGGATTCCCCCACCCCCCAGTAATAGAGACACAATGTATGATAATCAAAGCATATATTCGTAGAGACATGGACATTCGCATGTAACAGAACAGACATTCTAAAGTGAAAACACATGAATTCCAAGACAGGTGCTCCAACACAGAGAATTGTAGCATTTGGACGGACAAAGTGCAAAACAAAAACTGCTACAGGCTATGAAGAAGGTAATGCTGTGTTTAAGGTTGCAGAATGTACAGAATTGTCAGGCAACTGCCTGCAGAGGGTTCCACCATGACAGGAAGGGAGGAAGACGGAGGAGATAGCTACAGTCACAGCATTGGAACAAAGCTTTTTCATGCATAGGATCTGCAGTGGTCTCCTTTAAAGGGGAACCCGGCACTTACGTGTAAAACCTACACAGCCCTACATGACAATGGGCCTTTCTGAAGACTTTATGACTTTCAACCAAACTGCTACCAGTATGCTGCTTTAGTTAGAATACAGATATTTAATGAATGATTAATGGCTAAATAAATTTGTCCTGTGTATAGATTAAGTCAGGGCGGCCCCCAAGATGTTGCTGAACTACAACTCCCATGATTGCCTGGCTATCTGTTTAATTGAAAGAATCATGGGAGTTGTGGTTCAGCAACATCTGGGGGGGGGCGCAGGTTGGACAGGCCTGTATTAAGTGATCATTAAACCAATGGTTGGTCAAGCTCAGTCTTCAATATTTCCCAATAGTGTTGGTTGTGAGGGTAACATCAAATGAACAATTGTTAAAGAGACACCTCTCCCCTTGTGATATCGCCTTCAAAATATTGGGTGTACCTTGAAAAACCCTTCGATAAATAGGCCATCACTTTCAAGCAAAATTGAAATGGTTGTGTTGGTGGAAAATCTCTATCAAGCCCATCACAAACCAAACAAGATACAATTAATATGCAAGTTCCAGGCTGGATTCAGTGGAGTGGCATATATTTAAGGATGGATTTCAAAAACCTACACGAATAGTTCTTGTGAGACCCATGGTAGATTCTGGGCATGGACATTAACCATACCCAATGTACAACGCTACGGAATGTGATGGCGCTATATAAATAATAAAATAATAATAATTTAAGTGTTGATCACAAAACCGGGAACTCTGAAACATTCCAGCTACGATAGTTAGATTTCATTTAAACAGAATGTCCCAGGTTTTCTCATATTTAAGCAGGGATATGAGAAGATTTCTAGGAGATCTAACAATTAAATTATGCTTTGATCTCCAATCTACATTGGGCACTGCATTGTTTGTAGACTATACACCCACCTGAGAAACATATAAAGTGATTTTAGTATGGTACAAGCCAATAAGATATTATGGTCAGCCTTTCTCATGTTATTGCTAGTTGATAGAGATTGGTTCATGTTCCTAAAACATTAATTGTTCTCTTTACATTTTAAACTTGGATCCTTAAATGAAGCCATCATATATAGAAATCATGTATGGGCCATAACAAAATTAAGAACACCTCATACTATAATTTATTTAATACCTTGCGATATAACTTTATACCTTTTTTTTCTGTTGAATGAAGTAGGACTATAAATATTTATTTTTTCATTCTGTAAAGTTTTTGGGCTTACAGTATTTTTTTATTTTTTTTTACTTGTTTTATAGTTTTTTTTTTTTATCAAGATACAGCAGTGGTGTTTTGTAATTGGAGATAAATCAGGCAGCTGAACACATTAGGAAAGTGTCTGAATGATGTCAGTCCACATCTGCCATAAAGTACAGTAAAAGGAAGAGTATCTGGACCACGTTAAATCTCTGTATCAACTGAATCAATGTAAACCAAGACACACTATTGTAGTTGGAATGATTAAATAAATTTAGAAAGGTTTTATTAAATTAAAGTTGCAATTCTACCTTGTAGGGGGAATTGCCATACTGTGGACAGAAACAATAAAAAAAAAAAAAAAAAAACATGTAAGACAACATTTTTAACAAAGCAGACCTCTCCCATTTGGGGGTTTGTGCTTCGGGTCATTAAGCAGGAGGCGTATCATGCCTGGGTCTCATTTGCAGCAGAGGACACCTCCAGTGATATCACGTACAGCTTCCTGTCACTGGTGCAGGACTCTGTATCACAATAATAAGGCAGCTGCGTGTTTAATACATTACAGACTAGTTTGTTTCTTTAGGGCTCTAGTGTCCATTTTTTTAGTGTGTTATTCTCATTATTCCATTAAATAAAAATAAAATTACAACACAGATTGATAAATGTGAAACTTCCTACGTTACTTTATTCCTCTCACAGGCAAGTAACTGTTTAACAGTCAAGGGGTTTCTTTAAGGTATTTCTACACGGGCTGAGCAGGTGGCACAGGTGAAACTAAAGACAGATGAAATGTACTTTATGTGTCCTTATAAATGCAGTCATTCTAGAGACTGGGTGCAGTGACGTGCTCTGTTCCCCTTTAAAGCAGGCGCTGGGATTGTTAAACAGAGGGATTAAATACTGCCAATGTTTTGCCACCCCTCCAGACACCCTCCCCTTCCCTCTTCCCCCCTTCGTACATGGATCACCCTTACCTATTGGATGGAGGCGTTCAAGACGTCAACACTGCTCAGATAGCTGAGATCAATCAGAAACAGACACAATTACCATGGGTAGAGTGGTGGAAAGTGATGTGATTTGGCGTTAACATGCCAACGGTCAGTTATACCACATGTACAAATTACAAGTATAGATGGCCTGGTGCCCTTAAATAAGAACTCTTTGTGTGGTTCAAGACTGAAACCATTAAATATGGGATTTGAATTTATAATCACTGTTGCAAACCATGCAGGTGGAGTTGTATTCATTAATTTTTAACAGTTACAGTGCTGAATGGCAAAAAGTACTTACAGGGAACACGTTGGTCTCAAACTAATCTTAATTACATTTCTAGCACTAATAAATGTAGATAGAACTCTCTCAGATTTAATGAGAGACTGGAGAGTCTGTGCTCAAATGAAAAAAAGGTTTTAATCGCCTAACCTGTTACTGGTATACCTTCAATGTAAGTACACTCATTAATCCCCCTTTACAATGAATAAAAACATGTTAAAGCTGGACCCAGAAGAAGACATGTAAAACCATTAACTGTAAAAAACTGTGTTTTCAGGAATATTTGTAAATTTAACTTAGTGGAAAATTTATACTAACAACCTCATTAATGTGGTTCATGGTGAGCAGTCTCAGTTTCAGTACTATTCTCTGAAACATCTAGAATTAGGAAGTCTCATTTCCTAACATAATAGAATTCTAGAACCCTTCAATGTTACGTGTATGAACAGTAAATGATGAACCTCAGAGATTAGAGTAAATGTGCTCTTCATGTAAAACTATAGAGCTAAATTCATAGAAATGATTGCCACCTTACTGAGTAGTAAATGGGAGGAATACAAACAAAGTACTGAAATTGGTATTTTTTGGTAAGTGTGACAAACAAGTGGAGTGGTTCCAATATTCTCTGCAGCAAAGCAAGAGGAGATAGCTAGATTTCTTGCAACCAAAAGGAATACACCGAAAAGAACAATTCAGCTCTTATCTGCAAAATACATATCCTTGAAAAATTAAAAAACATTTAGCAAAGACCCCCAATGGGCTTTTTAGGGAGGGGCTGCAAGGTGCAGGCAAAGGCGAGTTTTACTTAACTGAACCTGTCACTCACAGCCACCTCCATCGTCTTGCTGTGGGTTCCAACTTTATGAGCCTAAACCAATGCCAGTCCTGTACACTGTCTGGGAATCAAATGTTGTTTTTCTAGGAGGCAATAGATTAGAACTAGGCATGTGCCTAGGCATCATGCGCTACATCGCAGTAACAACAACAGACATGGGGGTGGGCGGCAGTAGATAAGGAGTACCACGGCTGAAAAGAAGGAATGTAAAAACATAGAATGTGACGGCAGATAAGAACCATTCGGCCCATCTAGAGTGCCCAAATATATGTCATCTTAAACATTTATTTTTACCAGCTTGGAGTTGGAGTGGGGGGCAGAAGGAAACTTACAGTCCCAAAATCACAATGGTTATATTCGAGACCACAGGTTCCCTTTAAATATCATTTAACAGCCTGTACTAAGTAGCCTGTAAACAAGACTGAGTATTGTTTATACAGAATTAATCATTGCAAGTGATTATCTGTTATTTTAGCACCTCAATCATGCACAGCCTCAGATCTTTGTACAAATCATTGACTTCCTGAGTTTAACAATTGACTGACAGCTACAAATGAAATGAAGGAGTCACTCTTAGGAAAACAAAGGTTTATTGAATGAAACACAAAATGTGCTTTTTACAAACGTGACAATGTGGAGTTTAATTTAACCACATTGCTGCTCGTACACAGTTCCAATGGTTGTACCTTCCATGTCTTAAATCACAGGATCCTTCCAGGTGCAAACCGAAAACATCATCATCACACCAATAAACACATTTATTTCCATTTTATTATTAACAATGCAGATGTTTTTGTCAAAATAACCATTGTTTTTATGAGGCGTTGTGTTTTCTTATTTTACTATTATTATATATTTAACGGTCACTTCCGAGGTTTGTAACCTTATGTTTAGATATATATACTCACATTTCAATTATTTATTTATGAAGTGTGCAACATAGAATTAAAGTAGCTTAAGATCCCACGGGGGACAGCTTCAGGTAACTCTAACTCACTATTGCTGCACCACCAGCAGCGATATCACCATCAGGTTTCTTGGCATATTTTGCCTACAGAGGAGAGAAATGAAACAACGTTTCTATTTGTCTTCTTCCTCTGCAATGTCTGCCCTGGCTTTGCTTGAACTGGATTATGAACTGGATAATGACAGCATTTGCTAAATCTTTAACATACATTTAAAAAATGGTATCGGTGATTTTAAAAATTTTCTTCAATGTTGTCATAGTGATAGTTCCCCTGCCAGCACAGTTACCTTCATGTAGTGGGGTTACGTTAATAGTTCCATTAAAATGGCCAAAAAAGTTAGATGGATACTTTATGGCATGAGCTTCATACTTAATATTTGCACTGTCTGACCTTGGGGTGAATTTGCTGGGATGTCCACTCCTGGGAAGATTGGCAACTGTCTTGAATGTTTTCCACTTTTTAATAATTTTTCTCAATGTAGAATGATGGACTTTAAATTGTTTGGAAATGGCTTTATAACCCTTCCCAGTTTGATGGGCAGCAACAATTGCTTCTCTAAGATTATTGTTGATGACTTTCCTCCTTGGCATTGTTTTAACAAATATCCGCATGCTCCAGATCGGCAAACTGCTAAAACTTCGTCTTTTATCGAGATGGTCACACTTGCTGATGATCAGTTAATCAAGGGCATTTAATTAGCAGCACCTGCCAGCTACTTAGCCTTTTAAATCCTATGGAATCACCAAGGATGTACTTGTTTTTTCACATATGGCTTCACCATTTGGGCTTTAGGTTTGTTAACTAAATCATGAAACAGTGTAATATGTCATGTGTTGGTGTTTAGCTGAGGTTGTATTTACCGAATTGTAAGACCTGCTAAGGAACAGATGATTGTTATTATGTCCTGATATGTACAACCATAGAATGCAAAGAGGGTGTACTTTCTTTTTCCCGTGACTGTATAAGCTTCCCCTTGCAAGTGCTCTCCCAGTGCTGTCTGCAAGAGTAGGAGCGGTTTGCTAGCGCACAGCATGTGAGATATAATTTATGCACAAAGTTAACGTGAAAATCACTATAGAGACTAGGAAGATAATGACCCTGTTAATACATAAAGGTACTGTGGGTGGGACAGAAAATCACTGTGGATTAAATAAATGTTTGATTTTGTCTGCATAAAAGTTCCTCAAGTGCAAGTAATTTCATTTAGAAAGGATGTGTAATCAAAAAAATATATATATTATTTCCAGATCATACTCTTATTCACCTAAAAGGACTAGATGGAGTTAGTAGACAAATTGAAAAAGTACCACAATTATAAATACAATAAATATACAGTATGCGCAAAATTAAAGTTCTTGCATTTACTGTAAAACAGCAGTGTTGGCAGCTCTTGCAAAGAGCTTTCACCAAACCAGGAAATCACGGATACTCCCTTAAATCTTCTAGAGAAAAGCAGACGATTTTAGTGCTTTTGGGGTATATCATGGGTTTGTGGGAGTTGTAGTTCAATTGTCGGGTCTTTTTTTTTTTTTTTTAAACTAGAAAGTTAACAGTTAATAGTTAATATGAGTAACTAAAATATTTATCTTTGCTGATTTTTGCTTTGTTTGTTAGTGGTTTGGTTGGTGAATTCTGAAATCTATGTTTCACTTTTTGGAAAAGGTGCAAATGACAAAATAAAATCAGAAAAAGGGGTTTTAGTGCATCTCTGAAAGTGTTCTGGAGGAAGTATGGATTCAGGATATCATTATGGAAGAAAGAAAAAAAATCGGCATACTAAATTATGCATTAGAAAAGCTTTATTATGGAAAATGTAGATGGAGAAAGATCTGGGCCGACTTGTCGATGATAGATTTTATAGCTGTGCGGAATCTCAGGCGGCTGGGAAGGCAAACAAGGAGTTACCATGTATTAAATACTATGTATTCAATATACAGAGCAGTTATGGTCATAGGATATTAAAGAGCTTGGACGGAATAAGAGGTGGACACAGAAGGTAAACAAAACATGACGACGTTTTGATTATTGACCCCTAAGAGGTGATATTATTACTAGCAGTGAATACAATCTTTTGTGGCTTTGTTTCACACACAGAAAGGATGCAATCGCTAGGATTACAAGATAACATAGAACTGTTTTTCTAGATAAAGCAACTAGAAGGGTTGTAACCTTTGAATGGCTGCCCTATTGAACTACTCTCCCAGTTGCTCATTTAATGCCAATTAAACAAATTCTATGGCTTGTGGAGGAGCTCGGAATCCAACCTCCTTCCTAGAAACTATAGACCAGGAGTGCCCAAAAAGTAGATACCCAGATGTTGTCAAACTACAACTCCCATGAAGCTTTGCATGTGCTAAGAATGACAAAGTATCATGGAAACTGTAGTTTTAAAACATCGGAGGATCTGCCTATTGGGCACCCCTGCTATAGGGCTGAAACCGCACTCAGTGGATATAAGGGCGAACCATTCAATTTATAATGGTTGGGATTTTCTATTTTGTGTGGTTGGATTTAATAGACAGCAGTCACATAAAAAAGATTTTTAATATAATAATCCTTTCATCCTTAATGAAAGGAAAGAGTTACTTTTTTTTATCTGAGGGTAAAAAATTAGATAAACCTCATCTTCAATGTGGAATTAATGGAATGTTATTTGGACATTAGTTACAAAACCTTAAACAATGATGATGCCTTTATGGCCGAAGAAAACAGCGATGACTGTTTTCTTAATCATCTTGTCCATGAGTTGGAGAAATACATTTTTCTTGGAGACAAAATTCTAAGAAGGATCTGTATTTTTCTATTTGTTCTGAATCAACAACTATGACTGAACATAATCTAACTTTACAGATGTGTAATCTTTAATCCAATCATCATGATACTGTAATTGCACAAAGTGTAGAAAATTATTATTGTGTACAGCTTGTTTTTTCTTTCTAAATGCAGATCAAACTCCATAGTTAGTCCATCACTAATGGTCGAAATTAGCTGGACTAAATCCATTACCTCGACAGAGTATTGCATGACGCATGGCAGGACCCTCCGCATAATGCAGATGGTTGATCAAGACCACCGGTGAAGAAATCTATTTCTGTTAGTTTAAGAACTAAAGAAACTGAAGAAATGTTAAATGGTATTTTGTTTTTCCATTACAATGCTGAGGAGGGTTAGGTAAAGGCACAAACTCGCTGGAATTAAAAAAGCACCCATAGACATGCTCAGCAAATATCTGTGCTACCAAAGACTGGATATGTCTGGTACTTAAACACAGCTCCAAAACCAATCCATTAAGTCATATTCCCTAAAATGCTGTTGCCAAGACAGTTCATGAAATCTCAGGAGGTCGGACTTCAAGTTCTAGACTTTGCACACAAATTTGCCTTCATTATTTTTAACATTATTAAGGCATCCACCCAGTCATCAGCAGCCACTAGCTGATTCAGTTGACAAATGATTACTTGACAAAGAAAAACAATATATATATATATATATATATATGTATATATATATACACACACACTGTTCAAAACAATAAAGGAAACACTCAAACAACACAATGTAACGCCAAGTCAATTACACTTCTGTGAAATCAAACTGTCCACTTAGGAAGCAACACTGAGTGACAATCAATTTCACATGCTGTTGTGCAAATGGGATAGACAACAGGTGGAAATTATAGGCAATTAGCAAGACACCCCCAATAAAGGAGTGGTTCTGCAGGTGGTGACCACAGACCACTTCTCAGTTCCTATGCTTCCTGGCTGAAGTTTTGGTCACTTTTGAATGCCGACGGTGCTTTTACTCTAGTGGTAGCATGAGACGGAGTCTACAACCTACACAAGTGGCTCAGGTAGTGCAGCTAATCCAGGATGGCACATCAATGCGAGCTGTGGGAAGAAGGTTTGCTGTGTCTGTCAGCGTAGTATCCAGAGCATGGAGGCGCTACCAGAAGACAGGCCAGTACATCAGGAGATGTGGAGGAGGCCGTAGGAGGGCAACAACCCAGCAGCAGGACCGCTACCTCCGCCTTTGTGCAAGGAGGAACAGGAGGAGCACTGCCAGAGCCCTGCAAAATGACCTCCAGCAGGCCACAAATGTTCATGTGTCTGCTCAAACGGTCAGAAACAGACTCCACGAGGGTGGTATGAGGGCCTGACGTCCACAGGTGGGGGTTGTGCTTACAGTTTGGCATTTCCCAGAGAACACCAAGATTGGCAAATTTGCCACTGGCGCCCTGTGCTCTTCACAGATGAAAACAGGTTCACACTGAGCACATGTGACAAACGTGAGAGTCTGGAGACGCCGTAGAGAACTTTCTGCTGCCTGCAACATCCTCCAGCATGACCGGTTTGGCAGTGGGTCAGTAATGGTGTGGGGGGGGCATTTCTTTGGGGGGCCGCACAGCCCTCCATGTGCTCACCAGAGGTAGCCTGAGTGCCATTAGGTATCGAGATGAGATCATCAGACCCATTGTGAGACCATATGCTGGTGCGGTTTGCCCTGGGTTCCTCCTAATGCAAGACAATACTAGACCTCATGTGGCTTGAGTGTGCCAGCAGTTCCTGCAAGACGAAGGTGTGTTTTTCCACTTTAATTTTGAGTGTGACTCCAAATCCAGACCTCCATGGGTTGAAAATTTTGATTTCCATTTTTTTATTTTTGTGTGATTTTGTTGTCAGCACATTCAACTATGTAAAGAACAAAGTATTTCAGAAGAATATTTAATTCATTCAGATCTAGGATGTGTTATTTTTGTGTTCCCTTTATTTTTTTGAGCAGTGTGTGTATATATATATATATATATATATATATATATATATATATATATATATATATATATATACACACACACACATACATATAAAAATAAATAATGTCAATGTACAGCTTCAAAGCCAGGCAATGCAGCTTTAAAAATCCTAATAAATTTAAAAACCTCCTCAATCACAGTGAAGTCATTATAAATACTGCATTTGTCACTCTGGTTCATAAAGATGAGGCTGATGGCAGCTGATGCATTGTAGCCACTTTGTGGCCATATAGTCCCCTTCTTTCTACATACAGGGATGCACAATCAAAGACAAGTAGAATTTTTTTTACATGCATGGAAAGACAGGTGAAAATACTTTGCTATTACAAGAAGCACTGTCACGTACGGGTGTTTGTATCCAGTTTTTGTCCCTGTATACTCAGTAAAGTGGCAATGTATTTTATCCTAATATCATGTGCCATGTGTATTGTAGGTGTTGCGTGCCTCTGAATGGAATAATGTACAATTTGGCCAATGATCTTCATCCTCAGTTCTGCCTCCTGCTCATCTTAAAACTAACCTGGGAGCAAAAAGATAAAATTATATATATTTATGTCCTATTATTAATTTGGCAAGACAATGAGCGAATGGAATACAGATAACACGCTGTTCCTAACCAGAGACAATGGCACTGATGGCGATCCCCGGCACAGCAAGTCTTTGTTGACTAACTTCCCATAATGCTCAGAAAACGTACAGAACTTGATTAATATCATGGGATATTTACAGAGTTATTTACTAAAGATATGAATTTTAAAGTCAATTTTTTATATTTAAGACTAGAGTAGCCAAACTGAAAGTAAAGATCAAAATTTCAATACTTGGCCTTAACTTTGAAATTCACTATATAGTGAATTACCCTGTTAGTATACAAACACTTGCCATACCAGAGTAAGCCAGTAGTAGCAGGCTTCCTGTTCCTGGTTAGACTATCTACAAATCTAGATAAAATGTCAGAAACGGTCTCTGAATCCCCTTATACCCTTTGCTTCTCGTTTTTCAAGCTGATATTGCCCCACACAATCTAATGTTACCATTGTACACTCACCCTGCAGTGCACAGCACCGCCGTCTCTGCGTGCACCCTTTCTTCTCCTCTCCTTCGTCCATCACCATGTGGGGAGGAATTGGGTGGTGTAATTCTGTAGCTAGGGCTTCCCCCATGGCTGCTCTTTCCTGGGGATCCAGAAGAAGGAGGTGAGTTGTGTAGGAAGCCTGGAGGCTGAAGGGCAATGCCAGAACAGTCTGGTGGGGGCAGCATACCAGGACGGGGCCTGGCTCTAGCACTCAGCTCAGGGGAACCATGTCTGGAACTTAGGGGACTTTGGGTGAGTGGGGAAAGACGAGAGGGTTGTAGCACCACCTGATGTAGACTGGGCTCTAGTCTGCGGTGCTGCCTAGGGCTCATCTGTGGACGCGTCCGGCTTTCAAACCAGCGAGCATCCATTCCAAAGGGCCCAGCTTCATGGATGTCTGGGTATGGAAGCACCGGAATTCCCATTCCTTGGCTGGTGTGCCGAAGCTGGCCCTGTGCAGCCAGTTGCATAGCTGCATCTTGCCAAGAAGTGGGGTGAGGTGGAGGTGGGCACCGACTTGGAAGCCGTCCTGCCCAGCCAGGATGAGGTTCCAGGGGTATAATGGCAGCATATGATGGGACCTGTAGGGAGTTTGGTGGTGGGTGTCCACGTGGAAAAGGTGCAGGAGGAGGTGGAGGAAGAGGACGCCTAATCTCCGCTGTCTCGTACCTGTGCTGTACAAACATGGAGGGAGACGGCGGGGCCTCCAAACCTCCAAAAGGGAAGTCAGGGCCACCCCACTGTTCTGGAGAGCGCCCTCCAGTAGGTGTATGTGTTAGGGGAAGTGTACTACTGGAACTGTTCTCTCCATTTTCCTCTGGGATGGGGGGAAAAGATCCTTCTGGAAGCAATGGTGGGGAGGACATAACAGAACTCAGTGGGCTAACTTCCGGCATGTAGAAGGGTGGAGGTGGATCTGAATCACGAGGGCTACTGCTGAGGTAGCCATACAGATGGCCATGATGGTATCCACCAGGTCGGGACTGGCCTGATGCTTGTTGCCTTCCCTCACTAGATGGATGCTGGAAGCGGGGACTGTATGCCGGAGGCTGGAGAGGAGAGTCCTGACTGGATGACAATGGGGTGAGTTGGGATTTCATGCCTGATGGCTCATCGTTCTCCTCATCTGACTGACGAAACTCTGGGTACATGTCTGTCTCTTCAGCAAAGGGGAAACCTTGAATCCTGCGACTCCTGAGAGTTGGTTCCTGGTCTGGACTTTCTGTCACAAAACGCCCATCTGGACCTCTGCTAATCAATTCAATGGGAGTGGTAACCTCTGCTTCGGCCTGGCTAACGCTGTACTTCTTGCTGGCCATGGCACGTTTGGTTTTCTTGTACAATGACAGCTCTTTTTCACGCCCAGGACTCAAAGGGCGTTTGGATGGCGGGCCTTGATCCTCTGATGACTCTGATGGGGCACGGAGTGTCCGTACGCTCTCTGGGCTTACCTTTCCAGAGGACAACCTGCAGAAAGTGTGAGAGGGAGAGAGGACAACAATGTGTAAATACTATAATTTCATAGGTAGTTCTTCGATAACCATGCATACTTCTCAGAATGATTACAAATTTAAAAATACCTTTATACAGTTGATTAAAACTAAAGGACACTGTAGGCACAGTACTTTAACATTGAAGTGGTTATAGTATCTAAAGTCCCCTGGCCAGGTTTGTTTGTTTATTTGTTTTAAATGAAGATTTATAGCATTATTCACTAAAGTGTGAATTGCTGGGAATTTAAAAGTTAGTCAGGAAAGACTTCTCCTAGTGTCTGGGTTTTATTTTTAATCAATGAGACTCTGTGTATCAGAGGTTTACAGGATAAGCAGTTTATTCCCCCCAGGAGTATATTTACCACAAACAAAACACAGGACTGTTAATGCACACAAGCATTGTAAAACTAGTGAAAACTCCCAATCCGTTACAACATTTCTCTATATATTACTGTGTACTTACGGAGACTCCATGCTTTTTCGACAATGAGTGATTGAAAGAGGTGGATCTGTAGAGAAAAAGGAAAACAGAGCTCAAGAATCAAAAATGATCCAAGCTGGTTAGCCAAGTTTGTGAAGAATACGATTGTCACAACTAGAGATTTTGTAGTGAAAGAGATCATGTGTAATATTACTGAAATATGATATATATATGTGATCCTGTGTGATTTATTCAGTAAAAAGGAATTGGGGGCACGCCAGCAACATGCATTTATCAGCAGTGGTGCTGCCATACAGACAAAAATATAGCTTTTTTTTTTTTTTACTCCAGACCAGATTTATTTTGGGTTGAGCACCCTGTCCTTCCACTATTGCCATGAAAAAGTATATCTACCACATATTTGTTTGCAGAGAAAGGTGGTTTTAAATAGACTTGTAAAATGTAAAACTGTATGTTTGTGTGTATAATGTACCTTAATCTGGATTTATTCAGTAAACATTGAACTGCAGTGAATTCAAAACCGAATTACAAAGCTTAGGCTAAGAGAACCAAGCTGGTACTCTGGTTAAAAGTTTTTTTTTCCAGATAAGTAAATGCAAAGTTGCAGTGTAAGCTCCACGCCATGCCAAATACTGCCAAAAATCAGCACTTGAATGAGACAAAGTAGTCCGTAATTTGTCTTTTGTATGTGAAGTTACAACACTGTCAACAACAGCTTTTCATAAAGATTCTAACGTCATGAAAAGCTTAAAGGTGACAGGGATGCTTTAATATGTCAGTAACGATCAGACCATAAATTGGAAAGAAAGGAGGGTTACAGCTTGTTTTAATGCTTGCAATTTGTTTTGTTCACTTGAAGGGTCTGATTATACAAAATCTGATATTTGTGATTTCCCTTGCCAAGAATGACGACCATGCAATAAGAAAAGTTCAAGTCACATAAATAACTTATGAAGTGCACAGTTCAATATATAGCTACACAGCTTAGAAAAGACATGCGTTCATCAACTTCAACCTCACTCATATTTGTTTTTGCTGTTGATCAAAAAGAAGGCAAAAACACTTGCAACAAGCTAGGGGGAAACAATCCTACTTGACCCCAGAATGGCACCCAGATATCTCCTTGACTCACTAATAAAAAATGACATCCATGAATATTTTGTTTTAGACTGTATAGACTGTATAGACTGTATATACTGATAAAAACAAACAACTCTCCACATCCTGATTGTTCTTAGTGTAAAAAACCCTTTCGTTTGCCTTAGACTGAAACTCCTTTCTTCTGGTCTAGATGGCCTTGTGTCCTACGTATAGCCCTGTTTATAAACAGATTTCTAGACAATAGTTTGTACTGGCCCCAAATATATTTGTATAAGGTTATCATATCCCCTCTCAGGCGACGTTTTTGTAAACTAAAGAGGTTTACATTTCTTAACAGCTAAAATGTTCCATTCCTTTTATCAATTTTGTAGCCCTAATCTGCACTTTTTCTAGGGCCACAATATCCTTCTTTAGAACAGGTGCCCAACATTGCATAGGGAAGAATACACAATTTAAAACAGCTTGCATATTACAGGGTGTCTTTTCCCAAGCACCTCGCAGGACCCAGGACTCACCTTTTTTCCTTTTCATTTTACGCTTACGCTGCCTGTTCACCACGCAAGCTGCCAATGTACTGAACAAGACAGCAGCTGCCAAAAAGCAGATGGTTGCCACAATGCCAGCAAGCACTGGGCGAGCAAACCCCTCATCACTCAGATCTGGAGATGGAAAAACATCTGAAAGAAAAAAGAGGAGAGATAATTTACAACCTCAAAATTGAACGGATGTCAGAACGGCGGGGATCGTCATCTTTTTAAGTTCTGGCTCTGACATACTACAAGAGCACATAAGCCCACTCATACAAGACTATATAGCCCACAATACACATACAATAGGGAAGTGGGTAGTACTCTGCACTAAAACTGGATAGGAGGAAGAGTCCGAGCAATGAGCGTCAACATTTACCGTGTAACCTGCAGACTCCTGATTTATTATGATGTCACATAATCCTAACACTGAGCCCTCCCCCCAATAAAGAGCCAACGGCTGCACAGATCTGTGTGTATAACCCCCTCGTCCCACATGGATCATTAAGCTCTTTTTCACCTTTCCATAAACAAGTACCTAAAAAAGATACTATATCCATATATATAGCCCTTGCTTTTAATTATTATTATTAGCTAAGAGGAAGTCCTTTTAAATCAAACTGCCCTGTCGAGTGAGATAACAGAAATTCTCCATGGAATTTACAGATTTCTCAGAAACCAGGTACATGAATGACAGTTTTGTGCTGCAATGTAATCTTTGACCAGAAGAGGGCAGGCCATTGAAGCTAAGGAGAGAAAATAAAGTTTTCCAGGTAATTTGAAAATGACTCTTCAAGCACTGTAATAGCCGATACAAATTCCAATCAGGTTAAGAGATGAATTTATTTTGGTTGTATTATGGTTATTCTTCTGGTGCTGGGTTCACTCAGGAAAATGTAAAACTTCAGCCCATAGATCGGTGGATGTTTGGCATAATATTGATGGTCTATGGCCATTTACACACCTGAACTAGACACTCCAGCGATATTACTGGGCTCACTGATCAGGTCCTGCATCACAGCCAGCACCCGGAACTCATACCACGTATCCTGTAAAGAAGCAGTTCAAAATAGTGAACTCCAGTGCCTACAGACTATCCAGAAAAAGTGACAGATCTAGCCAGAAATCTCATGGTTTATAAAGCAGTTACAGTTGTACCTGGGATAGTTCCTTCGCTAGGATTTCTGTGTCACTGCCCCCAATCGAGTCATCTAGAATCTCCCACCTTTCTGCTAGACGAAACTCCATGATGTAACGATCTAAAGGAAAGCTATGATTGGATGGAGGAAGCCAAGACAGGAGGACTCCCTGCTGAGTTCTATTGGCGATCAGGCAGCGGGGTGAGGTCAATACCAGAAGAGGCTCAGGGGTTGTGGGAAGGAAGGCTTTTAAAATAACACAAAGTAACATGTTCAGATGACATTTATTAAATCCCATGCAAAAACCCAGTTAATCATGCCAGTCTGACATTTGGCAGTCTGAACATCACCAACAGGACATTTGCCTTCATGCTTACATACTAGCAGCATGATACAATGTAAATCCTTCAACTCTGAGAGAATGAAAGTATTAAAATTGTATCCACCTCACCTAGGGTCTTCACTGTGACCACCTCGCTGAATGAACTTGTCCCCAATTTGTTCTGAGCGAGAACACTGAACTGGTATTCTGTCTCAGGATCCAAGGAGTCCACAAGAAGGAAAGATACTCCACCAGGAACAGGCATGGAGACCCAATCATGGGGTCCAAACTGAGCACGCTTGATCCTTCAGAGAACCAGATGGAAACAGATAAAAGAGCGGATTCTTTGGGAGATCATGGAATAGTGCAGATAGATGAAAGACTAGATATTTAAACTCTTGGTTTCACAATAAGAGCAAACAAGTATTGTGACCACCAGTCTGCCTCTGACTCTCACTAGGTCTGCGTAGACCATACTTGGAAATGTGCTTTAATTATTTAAATATAAACGTGATTTATTCATGTAATGAGCATTGGTGTCATTCCAACGTGTCACTGTTTGGCTCAATATCACTTGCATTGACCAGCTATCGTCTGCTTACACTGTAAACCGACATTTTTAACAGTCCCAAAAGTGGGGGAAATCCAACATATTTTTTTAAACAGAACTGGGAGTGTCAGATGTGCAGAATGAAAGTCACTTAATTAAGAGTCCAAAAGCAGACATTGAAAGGCAGAGAAGCTGGAGTGGTCAGAGTAAAACACAATATTGCTAATAAGCAAACAAATCCTAGTTTCCTCCTGCGTAAAAAGATTTTACACTCTTCAAATCCCTGTGACACAAGTATGGTCTATATTAAGGGCAATTCTGGTGTGAAATGTGGAGTAATCGGCAAGAACACTCCACTGGTTTCCAAGGGTACTGCTCTCCTTTTAGAACTTTATTCCAGAATTCCTTTTTTTGTTCAGTATTTCCAATTGGGGAAAGTTTCAATGTTGCCAAAAAAAACCCACAATTTTTTTAATTTTTCTTTAAGATAACTAGGCACGTTGAAGCTGACATCTGCAAAGGGCAATTTAAATCACTATGCTAAGGTCGAAAGTGGCAGGAAAAGTCCAAAACGATCCCCAATAATTTTTTTTTTTTTTTTTTTTAAAGATGCATTTTGCATCTGTATTTGGGTTTTATATTGAAAAAAAACGAGAAAAAAAAAACATTATGTCAGTGGTTCAGGGGTGTGACAATGTAGGAGTATTACATCTCTTAGTTGGAAGAAAGCATTGTAGGGGTTTGAACGGGTCAAGTTAAATCTGTGCTTTGGTCTACGCCTAGACCCATATGGTCATTTAGCAAAAGATAATTGCTCTCACAGACTCTAGAATGGGTTTTCTATATCAGAAATACACGTGTATTCCCCTCTTTTTGGAATTTTGTAAATAGTCGAGACAAAACGTGAAATCTTTTCATTGTTCAATATAAAGGCAAGAATAACATGAAAAGAGTGGATCTGTGAAAGAAAATGATGTTAAAGCAGGAAAGTACGTTACAATTCTAAAACCATCATCTTTTAATCACTGACCTTGTGATTGTAGCCAGATATGATTTACAGTCAATTAGTAGTATTTCATCTCCCACCTAGTAACCTAACCTTTGTAATCCAAATTATCGAAAAATGTCTCACTTTCTTAATATGGACAATGACCATTAAACACATCTAAATACAAATTTTGGTTGCTCAGTTATTCACCCATATTATTTCATCTCCCACCTAGTAACCTAACCTTTGTAATCCAAATTATCGAAAAATGTCTCACTTTCTTAATATGGACAATGACCATTACACACATCTAAATACAAATTTTGGTTGCTCAGTTATTCACCCATATTAAAACCATCTTAACTGGAAAAACTCAGCTATGATTCCAATCGGCTATTTTGACTTAACATTTAAATTCCCCTTGCCTTTAGTAAAAACTCAACAACCAGTTTAGTGAATAAACCTTTCATGTTTATAAAGCAGAAGAGGAGAATCGTAATGATAAAATTATGCGCATCTCCATTACATATCCAAGTGAATTAAAAAATACCACCAGAATACATTAAGCATACATCAAACAGACTTCAAGCACACAGAACATGGAATACATTTTATATCACTGACAGAACTCAAATCAATACCAAACTTGACAAAATCATGAGAATGTCAAGGTTATTTACCAAAGTGAGCATTGTTCGGAAATCAAAAAGTGAATTTCAAATGCAATCCCAAAGCAGTTGATATGGAAGCCTTGCCAATTTAGAGAAGTTTGCCAGTTCAGCTGCTTTGTTGTTGAGTTTGAATTGCTGATAATTCTCACTTTAGTGAATAACAGTGTAAGTATGTATTTGAACTCTATTAAATGACGGAATGAACGGCCACATATTGTATTAGTGTTTCACCCCGTTCCTCAAAATCATTTGTATGCACAGGCAAACCTCCAATTAAATTCAACAGCCCCACCACCCACCTAACCTAAAGTCTGCTTACAGCTCCTGGCAAGCACTCTACCTCTCCAAGCACCCACCATCTCTCATTCCACTACTTATCTCCTTATTTATTAATGGAGAGACGTCATTAAGTGTAACGTGCATTATTTGTAGATTAAGTGTCATTTTGCTGTGAATGATTTTGGGATAAGGCCTTATCAAGTAGATAATGTTGATGTAATAGGAGATTAGACAGACTGGCAGAACAGCGAAAAGCTAATGGACAATGAAATCTCTTTGCATGTATTCCACTCGGAGCCCCAACCTGCAGATACAGATATTCCCAGACATATTTTGCATTCTCACAAAATAATTAACACATTGACAGGGTAAGACAAAATGTAAAGTTCTGTCCTGACGATTAAATGATGTGAAATATGCATTGTTGATGACATTTACATCTGTGTTAATCTCCTAGTAGTGATCCTCTATAAATAATGCACCATGTATGAGCACAGCATTCCGTATATGTTCAAATGTACAGATAGATATACACGTGTATATATATGTGTATACCACATACATATATCTATATATATATATATCCACACAAATATATATATATATATATACACACACACACACACACCCACAGAGATATCCACATATAGAGAATTTTCTATATGTTTCCAGAGGAATGCATTGAGGGGTCAGGGAAGTTCCCCTCTGGCAGAAATGGTGAGCACAGAAAGACGAAGGCGGAAAAGAAGCAGCAAAGCATGCTGGGGGTGACTCACAGAGCGCCATACCAAACAGAGAATGTCTGATCAAATCCTCCATCGTATCCCGCTTCCCACGACACATTCGCCGTATTCATGGACACCATGACTCTGACATTAGAAGGGGCATGAGGGCTGGTACCTAACAAAAAACAAATAATGATACTATAAATATTGCAAACCAACACACAAAAAAAAGGGAAACGGAGTTTACTTTTAACTAACTAAAAATTACCCCCACAAAATTTTTTAAAAATCCCATCAAGATTTATAGGGAACAGATTTTCTTTTTTTTTTAGATATAATTATATTCATATTTAAAACATTTTTAAAAAATCATAAAAGGTCATAGATATATTTAGACAGATCTAACATAGAAAACCAAAAATAAGTAAACAGAAAACCAAAAATAAGTAAACTAATAACTTTTCTTTACCTAAAGTTAAACCATAAAAACTGAGAGAGAGAGAGAGAGAGAGAGAGAGAGAGAGAGAGATTGTAGCCGTATTAGTCCAGTGATGTAGATGTAAAAAACATAACATTTGTATCTTGTAATACCTTTTTTATAGGGCTAATAGAATTTAATGACAAGCTTTCAGGAGAACCTCCCTTTCTCAAGTCTGAAGCATTTCTGAGGAAGACGATACATAGAATTCTAAGTTGAGTTGTGATACAGGGGTTAAAGCGACAGGAGTGCAGATAAGACACAGGTTTGTTAGAAAATAGACACCATTCTTGCAGAGGGTCATAAATATCTTTCTGAAGAGCAGAGTGAGGGGGGAGAGGAAGAAAACCAAACCAAAACAAAAACAAGCAGACAATGCAGAAGGTGGTACACTTTATACATTATTATTATTATTATTATTTTATTATTTACATAGCGCTGTATACATACACAAACACATAAATATGTATATGCAAAAAAACAAACACATGAACACATATACATACAACTAGTCCCTGCATGGGCACTTTCTACATGCTTCCTAAAATCCACAAAGCAGGTAATCCTGGAAGAACCATAATTACAGGAATGGGAACTCTCACAGAACAGGTCTCAGGACTGGTAGAAAATACCCTAAAACCTCTAGTCACCAACACTAACAGCTTCATAAAAGACACAACCAACTTCCTCAACAAACTCAGCCAAATCTCCAATCTCCCTATTAACACCATCCTTGTAACCATGGATGTGGAATCTCTGTACAGCAACATTCCACATACAGATGGCATGAATGCTTGCTTACATTTCCTCTCTTATGCCAACACCCAAAAATACAGCCCCCGAATGATCACAGAATTGGCACTGTTTATCCTCACACATAACTATTTCAGTTTTAACAATGAGGTTTACTTACAAACCATGGACACTGCTATGGGCACTAAGATGGCACCCCAATATGCTAATCTGTTTATGGCAGATCTTGAACAGCGGTTCCTAGAAATACAGCACACCAAACAATACAAATATTATCGCTATATTGATGATATCTTCATAATTTGGACTGAAAGTGAAGAAAAACTGATACAGTTCCATGACTCTTTTAACACATTCCATCCATCAAACTAAAAATGGAATATTCCACTAGATCTGTGAATTTTCTGGACACCACTGTGACATGTAATAATGGCACAATCCACACCTCGGTTTACAGAAAGCCCACAGACAGGTGCAGTTACCTTCACAGCTCCAGCTTCCACCCCTCCCATACTAAACAGGGCATCAGCTACAGCCAAGCCACTAGGTACCATCGAATATGCTCTGATCCTAATGACCGTAATTCCTATCTAAATGTACTCTCCCAATCTATGAGACAGGCTACAAACCAAAGACTATTACCAAACAAATCAACTCTGCTGTAAAAACGACACACACAGTACAGAGAAAAAAAAACACATCTACACGAGTGCCACTTGTGGTCACCTACACCCCAGCTCTTGAGGAAATATGGAAAATCAAAGACCTACAACCAATGTTAACAGAAGAAGAGACTCTGAAAAACATTTTCTCTGAAACACCCATTTTGGCCTTCAGACAACCACCAAACCTCCAACAAAAATTAATCAACAGGAAGCTGCCCACTGATGGTAAGAATAAAGAAAATGGGACCAGTCAATGCAAAAAACCTCGCTGCAAACTGTGTCAGCACATATGCACAGACACCACAGTCACACACAACAATAAAACCTACGGCATTAAAGGTTCATACTCCTGCACATCCAGCAAAGTGGTCTACATGATTCAATGCACCAAATGCCACCTTGGATGCTACATTGGGGAATCCAGCCAGCAATTAAATGGCAGAATGAATATGCACAGACCCTCCATTAAACACCACAAAGAAGGATCGTACTGCACTCCTGTGGGACACCACTTTACCCAGCCTGGCCACTCAATGAAGGACCTAAAAATCAAAGTACTGAAAGGGGTTTTAAAAATACCCAAGAAAGAAAATCTTTTAAAGTCAGAATGATCAAATTGTTTAACAGCAAGAATAGAGGACTAAATATTGATTTGGGTTTCCTGTCCCACTACCAATGCTTTACATGAACACTCCCCCAACATTATCTTACTGTTCTATGAATCAACATTTTAAAAGGCATTTCAATATGTTTATTCTATCAATATACAAAGTACTATGTATAGACATAGGCTTTCCCATACACACATACATATATGCATTCCAATATGTTTATTCTATCAATTTATTATCATCATCATCGCCATTTATATAGCGCCAACAGATTCTGTAGCGCTTTACAATATTATGAGAGGGGGGATTTAACTATAAATCGGACAGTTACAAGAAAACTTACAGGAACGATAGGTTGAAGAGGACCCTGCTCAAACGAGCTTACAGTCTGTAGGAGGTGGGGTGTAAAACACAATAGGACAGGAATATATAAGTACTATGTGTAGACTATGCTTTCCCATACTCTTATGCATGTATGCTTACATATGTGACTGTGCATTTATATTTGTATATATGAGTTCATGTGCATGTATGTATATGTGTTCATGTGTTTATTCGTTTGCATATACATATTTATGTGTGTGTGTATGTATAAAGTGTACCACCTTCTGCACTGTCTGCTTGTTTTTTTGTTTGTTTTGTTTTTCTCCCTCTCCTCCCTCACTCTGCTCTTCAGAAAGATATTTATGACCCTCTGCAAGAATGGTGTCTATTTTCTAACAAACCTGTGTCTTATCTGCACTTTTGTCACTTTAACCCTTTTTAACCCTCAACTTTGAATTCTATGTATCGTCTTGCTCAGAAATGCTTCAGACTTGAGAAAGGGAGGTTCTCCCAAAAGCTTGTCATTAAAAAAATTCTGTTAGTCCAATAAAAAAGGTATTACAAGATGCACATTTTATCTGTTTTTACATATATTTACATATTACAAAAAAGACAGAACACATCACACTTTCACACTTGCATCCAACTGAAAAATAATCCTATAAATATTTACACTTAATGGGAAAATAATAAAACATTAAGCCGATTACCCAACAGAATAATTAGGCAATCACTGTGCTGCTATTTATACCGCCTGCATTGCAGAGAGTGCTATTTGCTGAAATATATACTGGCTTTAGGGACTTGGACTGCTCACCAATAACATGATACATTGTCATTCTTCTACCTTTACTTGTTCACCAGTCTGATAATATAATACAGGGAATGCTGCGATCCAATCTCAACTTACCAATAACCGTGAGATGAGCACTGGCAGTGATGCTTGTTACCACATTGCTGGCTATACACTCCCATTCCCCATGATCTTCTTTACCGAGTGATCGGAACTGCAAGGAGCCGCTAGGCAGCACACTGTGCTTACTGAGGGATGGCCTTCCGACCTGCAACAGTTATAAAAGATCTGTGAACAGCGGCCACCAGGAGGCGACACCTGAATCATGGGCAATACAATAAAGAATGTTCTCACAGACCTACACACCTAGACATTCAGACACCTTCTATCCCAAACCTGTGAGAATATTCAGCGCAGGAAGAGGTGTAAATTAGCTACCTAAGAGAACATTGCTCCCAGTGCAAAAAGCCTGGCTTACATTTAATACAAATATTACAGAATATGATCAGTGTTCTACACAGTAATGTATTCACGTTCTCCTTTTCACATACTGAAAATCCTGTGCGATCAAATGTTCATTTAGATTGGACTGATCATTACTAATTAATTTCATTAAAAAAAGAAACAATGTTAAAAGATATTGAGCCGCACAGACTATCTCCAAGCGGGCTTTGTTTTATATATTAATTACCGGAGAAGGGGGGCTCTATGCCAAGATGATGAACTCCACATTTATAGAACAGGGAGACCGTTTTAGAATGAACTATTTTCTCAGGGGGATGTATCTTATTAGAGGTGGACACCTGGGAATTCAGAATTTCCAGGGCCTGTTGGAAAGTTTTATTTGTTACCAGTAGCAATTGGAAAGACAAAAGGCTCATAAAAGATCTAGTCCCTGATGGAATTGGATATATTGGGGTTTAATCAATAAACCAGTTATTCTGAAGAAGTAGCCAGGAAAGTCAAGCATTTTGGCGATTAAAAAAAAACAACAAAAAAAAAAAAAAAACACACACCACTTGACATTGGCCTACAATTCCCATTTTAGCCAATAAATCTCATTGTGTTGTGAAATGTTTCTAAACAATATGTTCAAGTAAGAACAGATATGAGAACACCAAGAACGAGCTAATGCAATACTTTAGTAGCTTGTGTGAAAACCAGTTTAATTGCACTTGTGCCATTATAGAGGAAACATTTATCATTAGTACATTAGACAAGAGCACCTATTACCAAAAAATACCAGGAACCCTTTCTGCCACAGGATATACAGCCAACATCATCGGTTTTCTTTGGGCCAGCAACTAGACAGAGCCAACATAAGGTTTTATATGTATTTATGGGAATTGACAGCCTTCACACCACTAGGTCAAGGCTTCGCAGCACAGTTAAGCTCTAAGGTGCCTGCAATTAATAGCATTCTAGTTCCACAGAATGTTGAAGAAACTTGTGCTCACATTTGTAGACTATCCTGTGTCCTGCATTTGGACATCAAAATATCCATCTGATGTGACAGCAGCCATCAATTATTTTTATTACATTCTATGGACACTTTTTGTTGAAGCAACTCCAATGCCCTGATTGAACCTTTGTACTCAGCGGGTTAAAACAGATCATGAAATGCAAAAATGCCCTCAGCCAGAAAGCATTGAGACATGTGCTTCATTTTCAAATTAGATCAGATGATAATTTCTATGGATTTCTTGTGAAAACAAGACTCTTGTGGTGGGATAAAGATGGATATAATGGAACGTTAGGTTATATAACAAACACATTGCAGTCCCCTATTTAAAGAATCAGATAGGAACTTTGAAAGACTTTTCACGCTTTCATGCTACACCTACAGCTTGAGCTTTCATTGCACACATGCCCTCCCCCCCTGCAGCCAGCATTTATAGTAATACAGCTTATTTCATATAGTGTTTACATGTCTGAGATGTCCGTCCCTCCCCCAGGAAAAAGTAACTTGGTGTCACCTTGCTGAGAATTCCTGCAGCTTATGGTCAGTTGCTTTGTCCACTGTCATGTGCTACCGCAAAGAGAATGCCAAAAGAGAACCAAATTGTTTTACTTATCCAGTAGCATTTCCCTATCATAATTATGGGAATAACCTGCCCTAGGTTCTTCCTCTTGCAGAAGGAGATGGAACAAAGTTTTATTCCTAAACAAAAACGCCAATTTACAAATCATTCATATTCTGTTAAATAGATCCCAGGCGCACCCATGTCCTTTCCAACCAAATGTACAGTAAGAGTTAATTTCATCCCAAATGCTAGAAAGCTAATTTATGAAATCAAGTGTTTTTTAGAAAGTGTATAAAGTTTACTTGTTCTGCTCAGCACCACTAGAATAAGAAGTTTTACCTTTCTCCATGAGATGGTGGGAAAGGGATCTCCTGCAGCGGCACAAGGAATGAGCAGCTCCCTCCCAGCCTCCTGCCTGTATTCCCAGCCAGGGAGCACCGTAAAATAGGGCGGGTCCTGAAAAAAGTAGTGTGCGTCATTCGCTACCTTTCAAAGCACAGCGTCTGTCTGTCTACCCAACAACTCATCAATCTTATGTCATTTAAACAGTATCTGTGTTTCGAGATAGTGTAGCTCAAACTGCATATAATGTTTTTGTTTTTTGGTTTTTTTTAAATGCAACCATTCATTGCTTTACTAAATCAAAATAAAAATAAAATCAGGAAAAATCTGGATTTAAAAAAAAAAAACACACACACACATACACAATAAAATACAGCGACAGCTTGACAACTGAATACTCCAAATGTACTATTTAAAAAATGGTTTCAACAATGGAAGAACACCTCACTATGGTAAACATTTTCTCGTGGTTGTTATTTTTAGATTTTTTTATTTAAGGAAAGGAAAAACAAAACAAAAATGTATGTGCGTTTGATATAAGTTTGAATATTCAGCATTTATTTTAATGCAAAATTTAAAAAATGTCCAATCTCTACATGTGTTCACAAAAAGTGAAATACTACTAAAACACACAATAAAACCAAATGAGGAGCTAAGTCTACAGGGGGCGCTGTTGTCTGATAGAATCAAAGGAACATTAATTTAAAATCATAATTCCCGGTAAAACAAAATGAGTTTGTTTTGCTCAAATGGAACAAACTATTTTATTGGGCAAATAGTAATATTTGTACAGACTATTACAGTATTGTTTTTTTTAGTATGATAAATCCTTTTCCTGACGTCCAGAAAGTCATGTCTGTGCTATAAAGAACCATTGGTATTACGTTCCATTCCATACCTTCAGCAGCAGCCGTGCAGGAGGGGACTGGCCCATGGTCCCCAACGCGTTGTAAGGCACACAGGTGTAGGTGCCCAGTAATTCATCCGTAGCCTCCTCGATGTGAAGAGAACCATCTTCCAAGAGCTTCCAGCCAGAGAACTGAGGGATAGGTAAAAAGTTAACTTCTTGGTACCCTAGGTAAACCTGAAGGTGTTATTTAGCTTCCTTTCCTCAGGAGGGGTGTCTATGTCCCAAAAGTTTGGGAACAGGAGGTGCACATTTGCCATGTCCAGCCGCACAGACACATTTCTTTCACTGCTCCATTGCAGCCTAGCGTGTGCTGGAATATGACAGATGGTACAGCTAGCCCGGTCTGATTGCACCATACACTGGGCTGCAAGATGCATGGAGAATGGTGTGTGGCAGGATTCATTAAACGCACAAACCTCTTCCTGTTCCACTTCACATAGGATATTGGCCAAAGGCTAGGAAACTGTCACTGCAACGGCAGAAGAAGGCATTACCTTATCTATCCTCAGTGGACGACCATCTTTATTCCACTTCACAAATGTCACAGGGGGCACGGCGTCCACAGGGCAGCGAATGTGACCATGAATACCAACCGGGACATAGATAACAGATGGCATATTCACTACGCGTGCGGGATCTATGGGAATATAGACAGGGCGAGGTGTGTGGAAGTTTAAAAAATAATAATAATAATTCATTCCCTCATGAAAACCTGTATGGTTACAGAACAGAGGCCAGCCCCGGGGGGGAAGGGAGGAGGGTGATGTACAATACAGAGCTCAGCCCGGGAGGATCTTATCTAAAAGTAAAACTTTGAACATTTTAGCAGTGTGGGCATCAAGGGAAATGGATTTGCTGGTCTCTGTCCCCAAGGTTAGGCATACAGCTGGCAGAATGACACTTACATTGGACAGTTAGATATGCTGATGCAGATGGTGAGTGTCCCAGACTGTTGCTTGGTGTGCAGGTATATTTCCCAGCATCCTCTGGTTTGACTCGGAATATAATGAGTGTCCCATCTATCAGAATTCGAACTCTCATCTTCAAGTCACTGCATGAGGAAAAGAATGGCAAGTCCGTAAAAATAAATAAATTATATTTCTAGGATTGTACAGTAGTGGATTTCAACCTATATTTTTAAGACGATTAGCAACTTAATACAGGTCTCCGTTTAGTGGGTAATCTCTCAACAATGGTTTGCTTTATTTCCAAATTGGATCTAACATTTCATCACAGAATCATTGCTTTAGTTAAGCTTAAAAAAAACAACACATTTTTGTTTTCAAAATGTAAAGATGACTTTGCAGTAGATGTGTTGTATCTCATGGAACTGAAATTTAAAAAAATGTGATTTTCAGACTGTCCAATATGTGACAGAGAGCAACCAGTGAAGAAAGAAAATGGGAGTTAAATAGCTTAAAAGAAGTCAAAAGAAAGAATGTTGCTATGTCACAGAGGGAGAGAGAAAAAAAAAATAGATCACAAACAAGTGAAAAAAATTAAAAGTCAGACAGAACTGGGGTACAGCTTAAACAAATGTTAACCAGACGTACAGACATTGTTCAGGGTGTTGATAAATGTGATGTTTTTTGTCAGGCTTTAATGTGGGAGTTAGTGAAAAAAATTCGGTCATTGCTTACTTTTTAAAGAAGACATTCTCTTCTTGCCAGTACCATGTGTAGGTAAGGTTCCCTGGATAGGCCTCAGCCTGGCATGTGAACAGAGCATCCTGGGAAATGTTTACCGTGATGTTCTCCGGAGGGGAAACAATGAAGGGTGACCCTGGGGAAAGGAACAAAAACATTACCTCACCTGCCCAAAACAGCCCATGCTGTCACCTAGAGCTCAGCCAGGAAGGGCCAGGCCCAGGGGACCTCAGAGCTTGCTACGGTCTCACGCTCCCTGGCCTCCCTCTGCGAGAGCGCCTAAGTTCACAAGGTAACAGAAAGAGCAATTAGGCACCTTGTACGAGCAGTCGTGTGCTGTGGACTGCTTCTCCCTGAATACTGGTAGCACGGCAGGTGTAAGATCCTCTGTCTTCACGTCCAATGGAGGAGATGGTCAGACTCCCATCATTCACCTTAATGCAAACAGAAATAAAAAGAAAGTTTTGGCACTTGGACAATAATCTTGCCAGATGTCTAGGGTTTCACCAATTAACATGAAGTTTTATTAAGCAACATGCTAAGTACTCGCAGGAGAACATTCACCTTTAGAACACAAAGCCATGGTGGTGATGGGGAAATTACAACCTATTCATTCACAATAACAGTTACAAGCATTTCTTCAGCCAGGTCCCATGATATTTAGCAAACTCAGGAAACTAGGCTTAGCAAATAAACTTCTTTCATGGTCCTACAATGATTAACCCCACCTCCCAGCTATTCCCCTTTCTCGTATCGCTAAATACAACCTGCTACTTGCTTCATTTATTCCCTCTTCTCCCCATTATCTAACAATCCATGACCAAATTACTATTAACAGATTTGTATAATTGCACCTGATTATTGATCGCTGTCTATATAACCATGCATCTCTTTTAAAAACACCTGCACCAGTTCACTATAGATAAATATTGTAATCTAACTATACAAAATGACAAGCACTGCCTACACATTAACATACAAAATGTTATATATATATATATATATATATATATATATATATATATATTGGAAGGCAGGGCCTGAAGTTGTGGGAGGGGCTATATCCCTTTAAAAGGGACTCCCCCTCCTACCTCATTCACCGTCTGGTCCAGATGCTCGTTTGAATTGCTGGTTCCCAACGTGGTTTTCAGTTTCTCCTGACAGCTGCATTTTCAAAGTTTCTGTTGCTCCTACTGCCGGTTTCCCTACTAAACAGTGAGTTGGCAGACCGGTATCATTGTACCGGTCTGCAGCCTACACATAGCCTGACCCGCCGAGGTCCACGGCTACAGTATTGTGGGGGACAGAAACCCCCTCGCCAGGGCTGATTCGGCTTGATTCCCGCCGGGGGATCAGGCCTCATGCAGACCAGCCCTCCCTCCCCCTCCCCCCCTGCTGCCGCTCACTGCACAGCAGCCGGTTCAAGTTATTCTGTAACCCAGCTCCTAACCCCCCCTCTCACTACACAACAGCCGGTTTATGTGTCACCCGGGTCCTAACCCCCCCCCTCACTCCACAGCAGCCGTAGGACCCGGCTACTAACTCCTCTCCCCCTCTCTCCAGGAGTGGGGAACCCCCCCAGGCTCATGGCAGGTAACGGTCAGGCGGCTAATACAATCAAGACCCCCACGGACCTAATTCACGGGGGTCCGCGATTTCTGCCACAATAGCCGCACCAACCCGCCCCCCACCCCAACCTACAAGTGCCCTGTCACATAAACTATTGAAAAAAAAAAAAAAAAATACATTTTTAAATTAGAAGTTACTATATTTTGCAAGGCTCCTTGATACCCTTTGGGGTATCAGCAGCTTACAAATCTCTCCTCCCCCCCCCTCCCCCCTCCTCTCTTACTTACCTACAGACAGGGGTTCACTCACACGGGCAGAGCTCCCTTCACAGCCTCAGCCAGAAAGCATGTCAAAAAATTACAGCAATGCTGACGGCAATACAAGTTGTAACCACTAGATGTCGCCCTATAAATAGTAATGTTACCTGGTATATTTCAAAGTCTGTGATATGTGTTAACAATGGCAATATTAAAAATGGTCAGATTTATATATTACGTTAGGAATAATAAAGTATTCATTTAATTCATGCACAACCGGTTACGTATAGATTTGTGGAAACAACTGTTTAAAGCATATAAGTCAGATATAAGCTGTTCTCGGGCACTAAATTGTGAGGTAATTATGTGACTAATCTACCTAATATGTGGATCTATGTGACTCAAGAATATATACCATATACTCACACCACGGTTTCAATTAAATCTTCAGAATTACTTGCGTGGTTATAGACAAATTGCAAAGTTCAAGAATATTTTCCCTTTATTTGGTGACCTGGTATACTGATTCCCCTGGCAGGGTCAGAGACCGAGACAAAGACAAGTATTATATTACTTCCTTGGTATGTACAACATATGGGCGACGTATGTCCCATTAATCAGACATATGACACTCAGTACATATGCTCACAAATGTATGCCGAGTGCACTTTGTGCCAAGCAGATATTTGGGACACTGCCATAACGGTTTAACATGTGTTTACAGTCTCAAGAACCAAACTAAGACGGACTTGGCCTTCAGAACCTACTTGCACTCAACCTACAACCATAGGTATGTGATCCTAGGACATTTCACCACAAAACGTGGGGGGGCAGGCTTCAGTTACAAGATAGCAGTACACACTTATATGTACCTTATGCCTTCCATTCTGTCATCCAGCACCGGGTTTAGGCCATCCTCCCTAACAGTAAACAAACTACTACAGGACTGCCAGGCAAACGTTGGGCACTCAGGTAAGTTATCTCGGTTGCAGCAACCAGTATAAGAAACATCAACATGCCCACTTAAGTAATTCTCCTCCCAGGCACCTTCTGCCATAGGGTTAGAGGTCCCGCGAGGCCAACTTCCATCCTCGATGTAAGAGGTATTAAACCCCCACGGGCCAAATCATAGCTAGACGCCTCGCATGTTGCATAGCTAGGGCGTCATCCGTCATAACCCTCAATTAACGATAAAATCTCCACTGGTAAAACACGTACAACAGATCAACCCCACGCGCCAACCATAGTTAAATCCTACTAGCCACTTGGCATTTAATAGGGACTCACCTGCCACAAGTTTAATGAATTATTTCGCCACTTTGGCACTAGTTAAACATTTTACACTCTCCATAATGAAACTCACGATTACATACGTATATATTTCAGTATGTCCCAAGTTCATGAAGAAGGAGATGAACTATCAATGCCTAGTACACCGACCAGGACTGCCACCCCCACACGCAAAGGGGACATAGGCAGCCCGTCATCTATTAGATCATGGACCATCCCACGGATCACGGCCGAACTACGCAAACGTAGTATTCCTTATCCAGCTACGGCCCGCAAGGCAGAATTGTACAGGCTTATGCAAGCCAATCAGGACAATTCTGACGCCAGGGAAGGCACTAGTAATTCAAGCAATGCTAATCTGCATACCATGGTCACCTCACTAGTGTCTTCCATGGGGCAGATAAACGAGAGACTGGAAAGACTGGAAGCTCGTAGCGGTCCAGTTGTGACACCAGAGCCACCTGCTACCGATATCCCAGGGCCATCACAAGCCCAACCTGGTAATCCTAATACCCCCACTATCCTTGGGTCACAAGTGATCAACCCAGCCCATATGGTACCAGCAAACCTTAAAAAAGACATCCTGGAGGGCAAGGATGTAAATCTAGTCTCTCTGCTTATTGCCTCCCAGGACAGAAAACCGCGCATATACGTATGGCGATATTTCTGTGGTCCTCAAGGCCAGAGATCCTAGACTAAGCAAAAAACTAGCAATCCCAGACTTCGTTATCGCATTCGGCATATACAGGGACGTACTGTGCTCAGTTTACCCACAGAGAAGGGAAGAGTTAGACCTGTACATGCACAAGCTGGTAGACCTGGGCAACAAATACGGTGGGTCATCATTTTACGATTACCACCGTTCTTTTTCAACTAAAGCGGCAACAGCTCTCGCCCAGTACAACGCAAGAATGGATTGGAGCCTAATGGATACAGAGCTGTTCCTCAGGCACTTTGCCGGGCTAAGGTCTCCAGCTTGTGCAATATGTGGGGCTACCACGCACGCTGCAAATCTCTGTCCTGTCTCCACAGACGATGCCCCAAACATTGCCACACCAAGCACTTCCAGGGGGGAGAAACAGGGCAGAGACAAGCTGGGTCGCCCTATCGTGTATTTGGGCAAGTCACAGATCTGTAATAATTTTAATGTTGGGGCTTGCTCCTATAGTGCTTGCCGTCTACTGCATATCTGCTCCCATTGTTTCAGGGCACATGCAAAGGCTATGTGCCCTAATAAAATGCACATTAAACCCTACCTAACTACTGTGAATGTTGATGTTCTGGCAGGGCTTCTCTCCAAGCACCCTTCTACACATCTTGTGGAGTATTTGATTGCAGGGTTTTCTAAAGGGTTTCATACTGGCCTCATTCACATACCAGGGGGTACATGGGAAGCCAACAACCTCCAGTCCGCCCTTTGTGACACAGACGCAGTAGACTACCTACTACAAATTGAACAAGACCAAGGATTTGTCTTAGGTCCATTTATTGACCCGCCGTTCTCTAATTGGAGAACAAATCCCATTGGACTAGTCACTGGGAAAACATCTAACAAACAAAGACTCATTATAGACCTGTCTGCTCCACATGCTTCGGTGATACCCAGCCTCAATTCCCTGATCCCGTCAGAGGCATTCTCTTTACAATACACCACCATAGACGACGCCATATCCACCATCATCTCAGCAGGCATAGGCGCATGGTTGAGCAAAACCGACATAGTTAACGCCTTTAAACTACTCCCCATACACCCGTCGCTGTGGCATTTGCATGGTATCAAATGGAGAGGCCAGTATTACTTCTTCACAAGGCTCACCTTTGGATCCAAGAGCAGTCCTAAAATATTTGACACTTTCGCAGAGACCTTGTGCTGGCTGCTCCTGAATACCAGCAGGTGCCATAGCGTCATTCATTACTTGGATGACTTCCTTTTCATAGAAAATAACGCTACCCCCCCTAACAGTTTACACAAAGCCATGCATTTATTTAACACCATTGGGGTTCCAGTATCTCCCACCAAGACAGAAGGTCCAGATACAATCATTCAGTTTTTGGGGATACAACTGGACTCCATAACTATGGAAGCCAGCCTCCCTAGAGATAAGATTGACAACACCACTCAGACCATTGAGCAGTACTTGTGCATAGGCTCATGCAATAGGAAAGAGCTTCAGTCACTGATTGGCTCGCTAAATTTTGCCATTCGTATTATACCCCAAGGAAGAGCATTCATTTCCAGACTCCTGTGCCTTCTTCCGACACTAACGGACGAACACAAACGTACCACTCTTGATAGGCAAGCCACAGCAGACTTACACATGTGGAACTTGTTCCTGTCAAACTGGAATGGCAGGAGCATGTTCCTCCCCCAAGTCACAGAGGATTCCCCTACCATTTGGACTGACGCAGCAGCCTCCACAGGTTTTGCAGCCATTTTTGGGGACAACTGGCTATGGGGTAGATGGCCGGAAGAAGTTAAGCAAATAGAAGACTTTTTTAGGAATTCTGCACTCTTTGAAGTGTACCCCATAGTAGCAGCAGCAGTCACATGGGGACAGTCTTGGGCAGGTAGACCAGTTCGATGTTTTTCTGACAACTTGGCGATTTGCCACGTCATAACAAAGGCCGGTCTACCTCTCTAACCATCATGAGTTTTATCAGACGTCTTACGTGGTTGGCGGCCTGTCATCAGTTTCATCTAGTATGTTACCATGTACCGGGTATCTATAATACAGCTGCTGACCAGCTGTCCCGCTTTCAGTTTCAGGCGTTCAGGGAGTCTCTACCAACAGCGTCACCGGTAGCCACGATCGCTCCCCAACTCCAGGATCTAATCATGGACTAGAGGAATTATTACAACACAGCAAGATACTTACAAAACTCGCTCTCGCAAAAAACACGCATAGCGCATATGATAGAGCTTACTACCTATACAAGAAATTCATGGCAGACCATAATCTCACAAATTGGTTTGACAATGTAACATTGGTGGCTTTTGCCACTTTTTGCCACATTAAGTTAAAAATGTCGCATAATACCACAAAACTATACCTCACAGGTATCCAACATCATATGTTCACAGAACATCCTAACAACCAAGGGTTTCTCACCTCCTACCCCATTAAAACCCTCCTTAGGGGTATGCTCAAATCGCAAGGACCTACACCGCAACGTAGGGAGCCTATAGACATTCAACTGTTTAAACGTTTGTCAAACCTACTAGATACCACACCGTTCGAACCCCTTACTAACACCACTCTTAAAACGGCCATATACTTGGCTTTTTACGGTTTCTTACGACCCAGAGAATTTACCATTACTAGGCAACACGAGTCCAAGCATTGCCTCCGGTATTCTAACTTGTACAAAAAACAGGACCACTACGTATTAAGCTTACCTTCAACTAAGACCAGCCAGATGGGGCACGAGGTTCTTATTCAATACTACCCCACCAACAGCGCATGGTGCCCGGTGAAAGTTTTTAACAACTATCTACAGTCATCACCTACACGAACCTCACTCGCTCTCCTTTCACTGCACGGCACAGCACTCACTACCGCCAAATTTGTGATGTATATTCGCTTACTATTGACCAGACTCGGCTTAAACGCCGCAAACTATTCTGGGCATTCATTCCGGATAGGGGCAGCCTCCACAGCCTCAGGCCTAGACATCCCGGTTCACATCATAAAAACCTTGGGCCGCTGGAAGTCATCCGCTTACGCTGTTTACATACCACAGCCAACACAAGAATTAAGGCATGCATTTGTGAAAATGTCATCGTAAATATGCTAACTCCATGTCTTGTGGTTTCGTTAATAAATATCTTTGATAACATTATATGGGTATTCCTTTTTGCCCTCTTATTTACAGGCCTACCACACACGTCGGTTTCGGCACACCTCTACCGACTTTTAATTATTATGATAAGTATACTCACTAGCTATTTCATACTATACTGAAATGGCCCCGAATACAAATTGGAAGGCAGGGCCTGAAGTTGTGGGAGGGGCTATATCCCTTTAAAAGGGACTCCCCCTCCTACCTCATTCACCGTCTGGTCCAGATGCTCGTTTGACCCACCCTCCTCTCCCTCTATTCAAATACTATTTAAGGTGGGCCCTCTTATTTACAGGCCTACCACACACGTCGGTTTCGGCACACCTCTACCGACTTTTAATTATTATGATAAGTATACTCACTAGCTATTTCATACTATACTGAAATGGCCCCGAATACAAATATATATTTATTAAATACCAAGGGTTGTGGTGGAGAAAAAAGTATGGACGAAAACCCCTTACACCTGAAGTAAGTGGATAGTTAATATGTCATATGGCTTGACTGGTGTGTATATTTGTGTTTAGTAATGACACACACACACCCACACCCCGCACTCCGCAGGATTTTTTCAAAAGTATAATGTGAAATCAACGTTTCAACCCTCCGGGGTCTTACGAAGATTAACTTCAAACAGTAATGTGCACAAATCTATAATATAAAATCTGTAACAAATTAGTGACTTACCAAAGGTGAGTGATTGTGTTCCCCCATCCTTCCGAACCTGGAAGTGATCCCACAGGATATACACACACAATTTTCATATAATCAACAAAAGATAAAATGTAACTCTACTTGTAACCAATCCTTATAAGACAAAGGACTGTTCTCATACCAGGCGCCCAGGGATACACAAACAGCACGATAGCCCTCCAGTACAAACACAAACAAAAATTCCACGGAACAAAACACAACACAGAGGGAAAATTACAAGAAATTATCACTTCGCTACACAGTTGCAACATAATTATAAAAAAACAAAATAGACCGCTATTAGGAGACATTGTGTAAAATCCTGACTGTCAGCATGGTATGTTCTTCCATTCACCCACAAAGACTGTCTCACTGCCACACACAGCCCAAGGAATCCTCAAATTACCAAACTGAGATTATATTTTAGAAATGTCACTGCATGTGTTGCTTTCGAGGATTTGTGAGGTTTGCTCTGTAGTGGGAGGTGTGCGATGAGTAAATACACTCCATAGTGGCATCTTACTCATTCTATTCCACCTACTCTACATAATTTATCACTTTACAACTAAATATAACATTAAGAACATCACCCACCATCTTTTTCTTTTTTTTTTTATTACCAATGCCTTTAAATAAATCAATTTTTCAGTACATCAAAGTCTTGACAAATCACATGACAAAACGAGGTTCTGTTCTAGCATAAAGTAAACACGGTCAGGTTTAATCACTAAAATGAGAATTTTAAATTTAAGGCCAAAGTATCTGAGCAGGAGTATGGGTGACTAAAGCTACTTTTTCCCAATTTCAGTCGCAAATTTGAAATTTACTTTGATTTCCCCACAATTTTGTGTGTGTGTGTGTGTGTGTGTGTGTGTGTGTGTGAATACAGTTGAGAAATGACACATAATATAAACATTCTGTGGTGCTGTCACCTGTTTTAAAAAAAAAATGGTTTTTTAAAAAAAGAGTGTTTAGCTCCAAGAAGTGTTGGAATAATATAGACTTGCAAGACTATTGGCAGAACATGGGTGATCAGGATCTCATTCTGCCACATTTTAAGGGACACTATCCCTATTTGTATGCTCATTCTCGGTTTTCTACCGGATATTGTGTGCTGAGGAATTCAGAGGTTTAAAAAGTGGATGCATGAAGATCGGTCTCCAGTAGCACAGATTTCGGTTTATCGTGTCTCTGTAGCTGCAAACTTTGGGATTTAACACTCCATGTGGCAAACAGTCAATAACAGTGATTCAAGCAAGAAAGATCTGTGGTATCAGACAAGGTGGCCCCAGTCTCAGCCTATACAAAACATGAGATTATGGTCCAACACAGATTAAATCTTACCTGATATTTTGAGGTTCCTGCCAGGAACTGTCCCTCCCGGAACCACGAGACAGTGGGTTTGGGGTTCCCAAAAGCAGTGCAAGTTAAAGTGATACTGGTGCCTTCTTTTACCTCCAGATACTGGGGTGGGGTTTCTGTGAAAGTAGGCGGTGCTGAGGACAGACAAACATAAAAATATTCACATTGCAGGACACTTGCCTGGGTTATGAGCCAGGAGATTTGTGGTACCATAACCACTACAGTGACCCTTGAATAGGTATAATATGAATTTGGGCTGCATTCATCATTCAACATTACCTCACAAGTTACAAAATAAATTGTGCTCATTTTAAAGAGAGTAAACCACACTCTAACCAATAGCGGGTTAAAAACAGAAAGTTCTGCTTACAGATTAAGCATTTCACGAACACATTAAGCACAAAGCTAAGTGGAATAAAATGTGACATAAATACATATATGACATTAACAGCCTAAGACATGTTATGGAAAACCATACATTTATTTCATTTTTCTTTTTTTTATTGCCCCCATTGTAATAAACATAAAAAAGTGAAAATATTACTCAAGTAAATCATTTAAAAAAAAAGTCATCCTTTATTCTATATTTTTGTTATAATTCTCACTATATACTATTATATTTTCTTTATCAACTGCCACTATATTCAATATAATCCACAGTTCGTCACAGTTATTACAGGGTCACCTCAAAAGTTCGATATCATGTTTTCTTTTTTGTTTTGTTTTATGTACCAGTTAGTGAAAAATCACCCACCGTTCACTGTGAGATGCACCCAGCTGCCATTGTGAAATGTGTCGTATTGCTGCTCCAACATTAGGACCTTGCACTCATACCAGCCCTGATCTTGCGAACGCACCTGGTCGATGCGCAGGGAAGCCTTGTCATGGAGGGTTGCACGGCCTGGTGATGAAGGGAAAGTAAAATCAGGCTTTAATCTTAAGCAGTTCTCAGCAACTGCCCAGGGGTATGAACAATGCATCCACAAACATTTAATTCTATGGCAGCTTAGCGAGGTCCCACATAAACACATGCCCACTATTTCCAACACTGAAAACCAGAAGAGACTAAAGAATGGCTGTGCAGTGTCAAATTTCTGGTTTCTGTGACCACTACAGAAAAATTTGTTTTCTGAGAAACCTGGGGACAGAAGTAATTATTGTTTTATTGCATTAACTATTTTTATTTAGTAATTAATTAAAAAGTCAGGTTCACCAACTGCCAATATGCTCCAAGTTGAATATTCAACTACTCTCGCGAACACCATGCTAAACACTGTGAAAAAACTTGGGTGGCAAGTCCTGGCGTAGACAAGAGTTTTAGCAAGAGAGTATTAGGCTGGCTGAAAACTGTGGGATTTGAAGTTCAATAACTCCTACTATCAACACCTACTAAAGAATGGCTCTTTAAATATTTACTGGTTTAGGTAAGCAAAGCATTGCACGTATCAAAACACGTGCGTGACGTGAGACTTTGTCAGCTTCACACGACGACATCGCTAAGGTGTCTGATAAGGAGGTGTGTTATATCACAGGTATCAAAGGTTGATATTATTTTAGTTTTTTAAACTTGTATGTATTGAAAGAACGATGTCATGCATGGAAGAAGATTAGACTTTTAGGACGTAGGAACTGGCATCCCACGTATTACTTGCCTGCATATTCTGGGTCCACGTGAGGAGGGTAGAACCCAAATTTGATGAAGATGGGGATGGGAACGCCAAACTTAAACCACTCAACTACATATGGTGGGGGCTGTGCAGTGAGAGGGTGGATCACATCGCAACCTAATATCACGCTTTCTCCAGCACGGGCCGTGACAAACTGTGGCTCTTCCCGTGAGCCTACGGCACCTGAAAAACAAGAATTAAAGGGCATATTAATCATATGTAGTAGGACTTTATGACCACGTATTAGATAGAAAATCCGATACAGAATAATACAGCATGAGCATTTTTTGCTAATCTTTTTAATTAGCGCTTTTTTCTGTTCTATGAATTCCTTGGTACCCTCAACGAACTTTCCGCGATACCAAAATACCATCCTATTATTTCTGTATGGCATCAGATACAAATGCATTAAACTTGATACAGTGAAAGAAAAAAAGTATTTGATCCCCTGCTGATTTTGAACGTTTGTCAAAAAAATGATCAGTCTATAATTTTAATGGTAGGTGTATTTTAACAGTAAGAGACAGAACAAAAAAAAATGCATGTCAAAAAAGTTATAAATTGATTTGCATGTCAATGAGTGAAATAAGTATTTGATCCCCTACCAATCAGCAAGATTTCTGGCTCCCAGGTGTTTTTTATACAGGTAACAAATGGAGATTAGCTCATTACCTGTATAAAACACACCTGTCCACAGAAGCCTAGCCAATCTCCAGACCTTAATCCAATAAAAAAAACTGTGGAGGGAGCTGAAGGTACGAGTTGCCAGACGTCAGCCTGGAAACCTTAAGGAGTTGGAGAGGATCTGCAAAGAGGAATGGGACAAAACCCCTCCTGAGATGTGTGAAAACCTGGTGGCCAACTACAAGAAACGTCTGACCTCTGTGATTGCCAACAAGGGTTTTACCACCAAGTATTAAGTTGAAGGGGTCAAATACTTATTTCAATCATTGACATGCAAATCAATTTATAAAGTTTTTGACATGTGTTTCTTTTTTATTTTTTATTCTGTCTCTCACTGTTAAAATACACCTACCGTTAAAATTATAGACTGATCCTTTCTTTGTCAGTGGACAAACGTTCAGAATCAGTAGGGGATCAAATACTTTTTTTCCCCTCACTGTATAAAAACATTTTAAGCATTTTGTCAGAGCGAGGCAACAAAGATCAACTACTTTAACCAGAAATATTGTAATAGAAAGTAAAGAATGGGTGCTGAGCTGGTTTGTAGTAATGGGAGTTTCCCCATAAAAAGATGTCAGTAGATAGTTAGCATGTGATTTTCTATATTATTATAAAATTATATAAAATTATTATAAATTATTGTTATATATAAAACTTGTCATATTGTGTCCGGCAGAGCCTGTGATGTAACTCTAACCCAGGAGATGGTGTAACAGACTAGGATATTACATGCATATGACTGAAAGAGCATGGACTAATATCCATACTGAGCTGGCATGATGACTGTGTAAAAGGTAGCCTGATTCACCCCAGCAGAGCTATCTTTGCACTAACTTCCTCCTGCCTGCAGAGTCCTGCGCTACTCATTCCCCTCCAGAGCCTGTAATTACCTAAACGACAACAACCCAAGCTACTTACACCTGCAGATAGCTATGTAATCCCTAAACAGCACTGAGCTATGTACCCCTCTGCAGAGAATTTAGCTAAATATCACTTTCTGCAGAGCCTTTACCTAGCTACCTCCTTGCTGCAGAACCTGTTGCTACTTACATCCCTTTACATGGCCTTTACCTGCTTATACATCTGCTTAACTTTTTGCTACCTTCATGTCCTTGCATAGTTTTGAGTACAAAACTATGCAAGGAAATGTAGATCTTTTTGTCCTCTTCTCCCACTCTGCAGAGCCTTGAACTATTTCTATTTCTCTGCAGAGCTCTAGGTTGTCTCCCCTCTCTCTGCAGAGCTCTATGTTACCTCCTCCCTCCCTGCAGAGCATTGAGCTATCTCAATAACCCTGCAGAGTTTTGTGTTGCACCCTCCATGCCTGCAGAGCCTTTTTTACTTAAGACCCAAATAAACCTGCATTGGACAGATGACAGCCCATATTGCTCATTATAGGCACGTTGGGTAACAGGAGATAAACATATACTCTATAACTTGTGTGCACATAATTACTCTGCAAAAGGTTAATGCAATCTGTTCCGCAGACACCAGATTATTATATACATTAATATTTAGAATTTGCAATTAATGTTAAATAGGTTACAAACTATAATGCAATGGTTGGTAGCAAACAGATTCACGATGTATAGATCATTTTAGCCAACCTGCCCCTCCCCAGAAAAGAAATGATTGCAGAAACTGCTCTGCAGTAATAGAAGAGATCAGGTAATAGAAGAGATCTTGTTGGCACATCCAGGCTGCAAAGTTCTGCTCTACTAAAAGCAGCAAACTATGTGCACTCTGCATTCTAAGAAAGCAAGGCAGAATACGTAATTCCAGTACTGAAAGGGTTACAGGGGAGCTGAGAGTGTGTACCGAATATACAGCTGGCACTGGCTCTCTGATTGGCTGACGGTGACATCACCAGCTCTGGGGAGTGATAGCTGGGATATTTCTGACACATAAGAAATGGCCAAGCAAAAAAGGAGAGAGCACTGACCCCAAGTGACAGGATTAACACATGCAGACCCCACGAGCATCCATCACAGAGGACATCGGGGCATGCAATTACAGCTGGTTTATTCCACATGCCATTTAAATGTGTGTGTGTGTTTATATGCCAGTGGTTCTGTACCAATTGTTTGTTTTAGTGTGTGTGTATTCTATACATCTGTAGAGGAATGTGAGTATTTCTGTAGGTGTACATTTATGAGTGTTTAAATATGCGTGTGTATGTATATAGGTGTGTGTTTTTGCATATAAAAAAAAAAAATGTATCTTTATATATATATATATATACACACACACACACATCTTCTGCTATGGATATCTCCTATGATCCTCAGCCATACTGCAAATTGTCACTTCATAAAGTCAAATTTTCTATACAGCATTTAGCAGATCCCACATTTAGCAAATTAACCTCTTTGTTGCAGATTTTCTTATCAAGGTTACATCCGGTATGATTTGGGGATTAGTAAACAGCATTTAAATAATTAGACCCATTTATGTGTTTGGAGTCTGGTGGTGTAATTTATGGGACTGGTACAGCTGGTTCAATATACCTCACCCTCTGGTCACACAAAATGGGTGTTTAAGAATCATTCTTACCAAGCCAGTGTATAAACTGGGGCTGGTAGTGAATGTGTTACGGGAAAACAGGGCACCGGCTGAATAATGGCTCAATGATCCGCCATGTCTCCGAGGTTATTAAGATAAATGCAGTAACACACACCTGCACGCAGACAGCACTGTAGATAGCCATTCAATGCCAAATAGCAACACAACAGACATGGAAGGGTGAACCAGCAGCAAGTGCAGGGTTACACAAAAACAAGGGAACAGGGGGAGGGGGGTAACCAGAGACCACCAGAGACTGCTGCAAAAAGAGACAGATGCCAAAATACAACAAAAGCTAGTGACAGCAGTCATAGGAATGACACAGTGTGAGGCAGCTGTGAGACACCATCCAAAATGTATCCGAATATCCTTTAAACAATGTATAGACCAGCAAAGATACTAAAATAGACACAAGATTGAGAGATGAACAGAGAATGGAAATATAAGTTCAGAGACAGATAAGGATACAATCATAAGATATTAAACAAAGAGCTGAAATGTATGAATCCCCCAACATTCTGGGGTTTACTCACTAAACAGCACATTGTCAAGTGATAAACTACATTTTAGATTGTAGGCACGTTTACTATAATTCACCATTTCGTTTACATTGCAATTCAGTATTTAGCGAATAAACCCCACCATGTTTCAAGGGTAGAACATTACCCAGCGTAGTTTAAAGAGACTGCTAACATTTCCCGAATCAGAGGGAGACAGGGAGTCTAAGTGATACAATGATTCTCCTCTCTAAAGAGGAAATATTGGAACATAATACTCTTCATTATGTTCCTTCTCTAATGGAACTACAACTACTGCATGTGTTGCAATTCTTCACAAGCCAGGGGTTAAATATAATAATAATTAAAAAAAAGCCAGGCTGTGATCTGTATCAAATCCTACCAGTTACAATGTTCCTAAACAATGCTGAGAGCTGTCCCAGGTCCTGAACTGAGCTGGCCATAGGAAGCCAGTGCTGAACGCAACTCATGTGAGTCACAGACAAAAAGCATCAGAAGGGAACAGGGCTCCCAGCCGATGCCAACCCAAAAAAAAACAGCCTTTCACGACACTCTAGAGAGAGAAGAGAAAATACAGGGTAGCAAGCCAAACACGAAACAGAGTTTCAGTTCCGTCCAAAGGAAGGATAAACAACTCCACAGCTAGGAAGAAATCTATTATTTTGCAATGAAAATTCCATGTGCAGAAAAAGAGGTATATTGCCTAAATGGAAACTGCAGACGATTGCAAAACTCAGGCTAAACAGGCAAGCTTTGAGTATGAGCTGTGATGGAGAATGCTTCCAAATCAGCTATTTTAAATTAACATTTTCAAATCAATTTTAAATTCACTACCTAGTGATTAGAAACAGAGACATCTGCAAGAACTAATACTCAGTCAGACAAAGCTTAACATGATTTAGGATACAAGTCAAGTCAGGAACCCTAGACAAGGTCCATACAAATTGCAGCCAGTGCTTCCTGACCATGCAGATTTAAGCCATGAATTAATCAGTAAAACATTTAATTCATACATATTTTTTGAAGGGACACTCCAGATAGAGTTGATCCCTCCTTACACCATAACAACGTTTCTCCTTATTATCTCTATGTGACGAAGTGCCCTTTGCCACTTGTGCCTGGAGAGGACTAATTGCCAGCCTCCTGCCCTGTAACTATGGCCCCTGGAAGATTTTGCCCTTGAAAAATGTTATTTGGGCATATTGGATTTTATTGTACTCTGTCTGCCCCTTTAAATTATATTGGAGCAGCCTGCAGCTTTAAATTGTGAAGAAAACCCCTGTTTTATGGACTTAGTTTGACTGTTTTATTCCCCCCTCTTAGAACACCAGTTTAAATCCTTAATAACTGTCATATATACAAACTCTGTCTGACCCTTTTAATTGTCATTTTGTTTCCCTCTGAGGAGGAGTTGTTTTGCTGCATGAGTGCTGTTGCTTTTGTGTGCTCATTAAACAGACCTGCTTGACCCTTTCTTGAAGCCTTGGCTCGTGCTTGGGGGATGGGATAAGTCTGCAGTGCTGATGGTGTCGGTTGGAGTGCTTGGAGTCCTCGGCAAGCACTAGGAGCATCGATTGGCGGAGGTACTCGGTTGGAGTGCCAGCGGATCTGTCACATTTGGTGGCAAGCAGTGGGATGGAGTCCTAGTGTGAGGAGAAGTAGCTTGGAGACACTGGTAACGTTACGGAGCTACAAGTGAGGGTGACGCTAGCACTCATGCAGCACCCCTGTCTACAGCGGAGTGCTAGTGGCCCAGAGTGGGGCCAAGCAAACATGACGTTTTGTAATGAGGGCGATGCTTACATTGCAGAGGTAAAGAGGCGGCTAGCTGGGTATGGCCCAAATCCTTCGGAAGTGGTGATCGTCCGAATCATGCACGAGTTGGATGAAGGGAACCAAGCAGCACGGGAATGTGAGTTCAGATTGTGGAGATTGGGGCTGTGGACAACTGATATCTCCCCCCAGCAGCGGCCTGAGTTCCAGGAGGAGGTGATGGTCGATCCCTCCACCTTATAGCAACCAGCGTCCTGGGGAGTGGAGGCAACCGGCCTCTCCCTCCAACAGCAGCCAGAGGTACCCGAGGTAGCGGATCTCATAGACTGGTTCTGGGAGGATCCCCAACAGGCAGATGGAGATGGGACCAAGGTCTCTCTACCGGCCCTACAGGGATGCGGGCAACCGGCCCAGATCCCCAGTTGCAGCCAGAGCTACAGAGAGAGGAGGCAGGTGGTCCTTTTTCCCAAGTCCTCGGGGACCTCATAGACTGGTCCTGGGAGGACCCCCAACTGGCAGGTGGAGATGGGACAGAGGTCTCTCTACCGGTCCTACAGGGATGCTGGGCAGCCAGCCCAGATCCCCAGCTGCAGCAAGAGCTACAGAGAGAGGAGGCGGGTGGTACTCATGCCCAAGTCCTGGCGGATCTCATAGACTGGTCCTGGGAGGATCCCCAACAGGCAGGTGGAGATGGGACCGAGCTCTCTCTACCGGCCCTACAGGGATGCTGGGCCACCGGCCCAGAACCCCAGCGACAGCTGGAGTTACAGGGAGAGGAGAGCAGCGACCTCCCTCCCCAGCGGCAGTGCACCGTGCAGAGGGAAGAGACAACCGGTCTCCTTCCCCAGCAGCAACCAGAGGTACCCGAGGTAGCGGACCTCATAGACTGGTCCTGCCCCTGCCCCAACAGGCAGGTGGAGATGGGTCAGAGGTCTCTCTACCAGCCCTAGAGGGATGCTGGGCAGCCGGCCCAGATCCCCAGCGGCAGCTGGAGTTCCAGGGAGAGGAGACAATCGATCTCTCTCCCCAGTGGCGGCCTGAGTTCCAGGAGGAGGAGATGGTCGATCCCTCCACCCTACAGCAACCGGCGCTCAGGGGAGTGGAGGCAACCGGCCTCACCCTCTAACAGCAGCCAGAGGTACCGGGAGAGGGTACTACTGGTCCCTCACCGCAACTACAGGGGGATAGCAACCCTAACCCCACCAGCGCAGATGGGACCGCGGTCTCTGTGCCAATTCTACAGGGACCCTGGACGGCCGGTCCAGATCCCCAACCATCCTCGCAGGAATACCTGGAGGAGGTAAGCGAGCCCTCCTCTCCCCAGCTAATTCTCAACCCAGTCATGGGGGCAGTGGATGGGTCTGCGATACCCACTGAACCCCTTCCGGCAGAAGAGCTGGCATCCGGGCAGAGCGCGGTCGGCCTCTGCCCTCCCTTGCCCTCTTGTTCAGAACCTGAAGGCCCACTGGCCAACGCAGCAGAAGCACTGGAATCCGGGCAGAGTGCCGCTGGCCTCTGCCCACTAGTTCCCCTCAGCAACCTGGGACATAAAAGCCAGAGCCGGACACCAGAAATCACCAGGGGCAGTGCTCATATATATTGTAGGTGGGGTACTCTGTTAACTGTTTGTTGTAGGTGGGCTACTCGACTAACTCAGGTACTGACCGACAGAAGGTCAGGTACCTGGTTAGTCTCCCCCCCAATGGGAAGATGTGTGACGAAGTGCCCTTCGCCACTTGTACCTGGAGAGGACTAATTGCCAGCCTCCTGCCCTGTAACTATGGCCCCTGGAAGATTTTGCCCTTTAAAAATGTTATTTGGGCATAGTGGATTTTATTGTACTCTGTCTGCCCCTTTAAATTATATTGGAGCATCCTGCAGCTTTAAATTGTGAAGAAACCCCCTGTTTTATGGACTTAGTTTGACTGTTTTATTCCCCCCTCTTAGAACACCAGTTTAAATCCTTAATAACTGTCATATATACAAACTCTGTCTGACCCTTTTAATTGTCTGAGGAGGAGTTGGTTTTGCTGCATGAGTGCTGTTGCTTTTGTGTGCTCATTAAACAGACCTGCTTGACCCTTTTTTGAAGCCTTGGCTCATGCTTGGGGATGAGATAAGTCTGCAGTGCTGATGGTGTCGGTTGGAGTGCTTGGAGTCCTCGGCAAGCACTAGGAGCATACATTGACGGAGGTACTCGGCCGGAGTGCCAGCAGGTCCGTCACACTCTACATTTGTAAAAGTATTATTTAAAGGGATACTCCATTGGGAAGAAAAACAAAGAGAAATAGAGGAACAGATAATGATTAAAAATGACTATGTACATACATTCTTAAGTCCATCTAGCAGGAATTGGAGGATTTGGGGGATAAAGGTTTGAGGGACTCCACATACTAAGCTACCAATTTATAAAAATGGCTGCTTGTTGGCATGTGTCGCTGGGAGTAGTGTTATTGTATTTAAACAAATTCTTGTCACATGCCTGAAGAGACCAGCGAAGTCCCCGGTCTGACAAACTGGACGCATAAACTGAACTTCTGTGCACGGGCGGTTTATCTTCTCGCTGGACTTTCTGTTCCATGATTAGCTTTTAACATCCCAGAAGTAACTTGTACCAAAAAGGCCCTCATGCTATTGGTAGTTTAAGGAATCCATGCATTACATTGTAAACGCACATAGATGAGCACATGTCACTCTCTCTTTAAAAAACAGCTCAGAAAGGACAATAATTATGGCCTCTAATTAAAATATTTTCTGAGTGTACGCAGTTTTAAAATGATGTTATTATGTAAAATAGGTATACTAATGAGCAGAAAGATGGCTTTACCCCTCAATTCACAGCTCCTGCAATAGAAAGTGATATGCTGTTACCACAAAGTTGAAATAACATATGAGCGACAAGACGCAATGTATCAAAACATGTGTGGGTTGGTGTGCGTGTGGGCGTACCTACACCCTGACAACGAATTTATTTCGCGCTGGCCCGAGTTGCAGACTGGCACTGTAATACTGGAGTATTTCTTATATACATTATAAAAAACAAAAAGAGAGAAATGTTTAGGGCAGTCTCACTTGAGATTGGCTTGTAGAAAGAGAGAAAAAAAATCAGAAGTCCAGCATTATTGAGGGTAATTATGATAAGATTAAAGGGACACTATAGTCACCAGAACTACTACAGCTTATTGAATTTGTTCTGGTGAGTAGAATCATTACCTTCAGGCTTTTTGCTGTAAACACTGTCTTTTCAGTGTTTACATTACAGCCTAGTGATAACTTCACTGGCCACTCCGCAGTTAGCTGTTAGAGACCCTTCCTGGGTCATGGCTGCCTAAAATGCATCCAAACATTCAGTGTCTCCTCCCTCTGCATGCAGACACTGAACTTTCTTCATAGAAATTCATTGATTCAATTCATCTGTATGAGGAGAGGCTGATTGGTCAGGGCTGTGTTTGAATCATGCTGGCTCTGCCCCTGATCTGCCTCTTTGTCAGTCTCAGCCAATCCTATGGGGAAGCATTGTGATTGGATCAGGCTACCACTTCTGATGATGTCAGCAGACAGCTTGTTTTTCTGAGGCAAACAGCATGCAGATCTACAGCTTCAGGCTTGAATACAGTAAGATTTTGCTATATTTATGGAGGCATGAGGGGCCCAGGTGGGGTAGATGGTGGTTTTAACACTATAGGGTCGGGAATACATGTTTGTGTTCCTGACCCTATAGTGATCCTTTAAAATGTAAACAACAATTGGTCAGAGAAGATCCCCACGTCACCCATCCTTTCCCCAAACTTACATAAATGTTGGAACTTGGGTCTACAATCTTTTAACACAAGCTCCTGCACAGCTATTCAAGAACTACAAGTCCCAACTTACAGTGCAGATAAGAGTGTATTTTAGCCGCCCCATTTAAGTGCTGATATTGTACCATGTTTAATATGGGATTATTAATTTTATATTCACTCCATGGATGTCCAAGGTATACAGTGTTTATTCATGATTTGAATCATTAACATTTTCAGTTTATAAATAAATCTGCAGTAGCTGCAGGCTTGGCTATGATATAAGCTCCATTGGTGTGGAACCCAGAGACATGCCTTACAGCAAGCATGTCAAAATCGCGGCTCACAATGAACATCTTTGCGGCCTGGAGAGCCGCAAGTACATGCTTACTGTTAAGGCAGAGTGGGCACTTGCTCTCCCCACATTGAAGGTGCCTAGTCTGCTAATCTTTACCCGGCCGGGGGAGATGAAGCTGGCGGCAGCGAGCACAGTCTGTTCTTCCTGCTCCTTACTGGTCGCGTGTGCCCCCTGTGGTGATGCCGGATTAGGACGTAATTCCGGAATCACTTAAATGCGTGTGGGGGAGCAGTGAGGAGCATGTAGGGAGATCTGCAGACATCCTCACTAGACCCCAGGGAGAGGCCCCACACCAGCTCCCAAAGGTAGGGAGCAATCAGCAATAAATAAAATGATTTGTGAGCGTGTGCAAGAATGTGTAAATGTGTGTGTCTTGGTTTTTAAACAGGGGCAGGAGTTTAGTAGAGGGGGGGCAGCTGGGTTTTTTTTTATACTGAACTTTTCAAAATAAACATAAGTTTCTATGAATTTAAGTTTTAGTTTTTTTGTGGCACACATAAATTTAAACCTTGTTTATTTGGACCCTGCTAGCCTTTGAGTTTAAAATGCTTGCTTTACAGCATGTTTTGAGAATCTTTGGTTAAAGGCTGGTCAAGGATCATGGGAAATGTAGCGCACAAATATCTTGAGCATCTAAGCCATCACCGGTTCACAAATGTCAGCTTCTCCCAAGAAAACGTTAACTATACAGATAGAAGATGGACAGGCCCATATTTTTCCTTGAACATTCCGGCAGGGATAGCAGCTGAAGTCTGAATTGTTTGAAATGCAAAAACAACTATGGATGAAAATTGTTAACTGAAAAGTCAGTTAACTTAAAGGAGTCTAAAATCTGAAATTCTGTGACTATAGTGGATTTGCTGCATTTTAACATCATCCTCTGCTTCAGCCTCAATACAAATCGGAGAATAAACCTCTCTGAATTGAGGACTGTTACCCCGCTGATTGAGCCTGTCCACGTTGCTGATTAAAATCTTTTTTTTTTAAATGCATTCCATCTTCTATTTACCAAAGCGATTGATGAATATGACTGTACTGACAGTTGTATAATAGCACAATAATACAACCAGCAATCGCCATCCACCCTGTGCGCCATGCTCTGCCTTGCTCTAAGTCACTTGTTCGGCTTAGATAGTATCCTCATTACCTCTCATAACCCTCTCCACACGATTATTGCTACAGCAGGTCGAACCATGTATCAAACCATTAGAGGACTGTCGCTATAAACAGAACACTACAGGCCGCACTGCCGAGAGAACACAGGTAAATCCCATTGATCAGAATCACATCCGGACTTTAATGGATTCAATTAAATCAGGGTTAATGTCCTGCATCTCGCTAGCACTTAAATACACAAATTCCATTATCCTCCCCCGACCAAACCAAAGAGGCATTTTAGTGTCCAAAGAACATGGAAAGGTCACTTTTCTTGAAAAAACACCAATGAATAAAAAAATCAAAAAAAAAAAATCAAAGAAAACACTGAAAATTGCCTAATTGCATTTTTCATGCAGTGTACAGTTTTCTTTTAACTGTGTATTAAAGGTTTAATGAGGGGGGCGGAGCTTTCCAACTGACCTGGACGGAAGCTTGATTGATGGGCTCCGTAAAAATACATTATTCCAGCAATTTTAAGCTACATTAGCACCTGGAAAATGCACTCAGCAAGCTACTATTCACCATGGGCCACAAAACAAAAAAGCAGAAACCGGACTAGTCCAGGTCAGGCATTAATACAGGAGATCATCTCTGGCAAGCGCAAGGTGTGTGTGTGGTCCCCAAGATGGCCGCCAAATTCGAGGATTTCTCTAACTCCTTTGAGGATCTGAACGGAGGTATTAGCAGGATGCCACTTCCACCACAATCACAGCCAGCCCCAAAAACTGGAGACAACGAACCTGTGACAGCTCAGAAAGATGCTGGGCAGCCTCCAGAGAACACTACAGGCGGATGTAGCTATGCTCCACAATGACCTCACAGGCCTAGTTGACCACCTGGGAGTAGTGGAGAACTCCATGGACCAACACACACAGACCATTGTGGACCTCAAACTAGAAGTGCAAAGAAGCAGCAAGTGGTATCTGAGCAGCAGGTTGCCACAATAATCTTACGGTCAGAAGAGATTCCCACAGCGGAGCTTGCGCACCGGATACAGAGACTAGTGGGAGCACTACTAGCCCCAAAACAAGCCAAATATGTCAGCTTTTGGGGGGCGGGGCCGGGCCGCCGGGCCGAGTGGACGCCATTAACATGAGCTCCTGCACTAAGCGGATAAAAAAGGCACTAAAACACTCACCCCAGACTGCCTAACTATGCTATACTCTGCCAGATTCAAACAGAGAACGGCACCAGCTTACCCCCGATACCTGCACGATGCCCACCGCAAGCCAGGCAAGCAGAGAGGGCCGGGACCGGCCTACACGAGGCAGAGCGCCAGAATACCGGCGGCCATTACAGGCAGCACGGCGCTGCGGAGCAGAGAACAGAGGCATCCCGCTATAGACACCTAGACAGGGGGAGATACGCGGCCCGGGGCACGGCCCTGCCCCCCCCCCCTTTTTTGGCCGGCGGGGGATATCCCGGCTTCCAGGTGGAGGCACGGGTCGCAGCGGGAGTCCCCGTGGGGTCCGGATGCCGACCGCCTGCACTGGCACCGGCTGCAAGACACTCAGCCAGCCAGCAACATTGGAGGTGCCCGCGGAGGGGCTGAAACACTCACCCGAGGAGGCACCCAGATCGGTCCAAAGGAGATGGAACACAGAGGACTAAACAAGGGAGACTGACTGAGGCACCTCGTACAGGCCCTGGCGGTGCCGGGCACCGGACAGACCCCCCACGCTGAGCTCCCGACCACTAGTGGAGCGGGCATCTGAGCCTCTGGGTCTGTGGGGTCCCCGGAGAGCTTTTGTCCCTGATGCCGCGAGCCCGGTGGGGCAGGACCAACGCTGCCCTCCCGACGGACCGGTGGGGATAGCCACCAGCTCCAAATATGTGGCCGGCACCGGGTGAGACAGCAGAGTGCGCGCTCGAAGTGGACTCACGTGTAGCTGGGGAGGTGCAGGGAGCAGACGACCCGCGGATTTTGTGGTTGGGTCCAAAGGACGATTCATGCTCCTGAGTGCCCACAGTGCAGCGGAGGGCCCAGCTGGCGGGCGGGGGCCGGCTGGGGGAGGACGAAAGGAGGCCTGGCGACCCAGGGACAATATGATGGAGACGCAGTGAGAGACTCCTCACAGACGGCCATGCAGGCCGACATGATGATTCAGCAAGGCATAAAAGTTACCTCATCAAGATGTGCTTTCTTACCTCCATATATGATGTTTATGTTGTTTTATGTCCCGTATATGTTAGCACCCGTTAAGACATGGGACGCAAGCACTTAATGACATGTTATTTTTATGAACCAAATCGCTAGTATAAATTAATCTGCAGTAGGATACAACATGGGGAGCAGCCGCACCTAGGAGGACTCGCCCTTTATGTTTTTAATACATTATCCCGCTGAAGTCAGGCGTTAATACTATACCCGCTCACTGTTTAAAGATATACATTAATAACTTGAACCAAGTAATTATTTACGCACGGGCCACATGTCGCTCTTAATAATACTGTAATAATTATAAACGGAATAACGGGGGCGTAATGGCTGACCGCATCATAATAGGCGGTATACTACCAGGCCCACACTACACTTAGAAAACACAACGCCCTTTGAGCTACGTAAAGTTCGGTGCTTACTTAATAGCAGACTAGTACTAAATCATGCCCACTTATTAAATACACAGCGCTCTACTCGCAATACTAACACTTATTACAAAAGTTGGTAGTCCTTACATTGATAACCAGAAACTTCACGAAACATTTCCTGCCGCACATGAACAGTGCGCAGTATTGGAGTTCACATACTGGACACAAAAACAATTATACCATATCACGGCCTGTAAGTTAGTGCTACATATATTAACAACATATGAAATATCTGTGATTTATTTCTGGTTACACGTTTTAGACTCCGTTAGGTCCTTATAGCCTGACCGTTCTGTTAATGCTATAATTTTGCAAGGAATCTTTAAGTGCATAGTACCCGACTTTACAGTGATGACTTAAGTTTCAGATATCTACTTATTTAAGTTTTTCCATAACAAATGCATTATTTACGCTATCTCCCCTGCGTGGGAAAACTGCTTGTTATATCGACCTTAATAAAAACAGATTTAAAACAAATATGTCAGCTTTTGTATATGTCAGGATTTTTTGGGTCCCGAAACAGCCCCTAGAAACCTAGTGGTGAGGTTTTGCAACAGGGCAGACAAACAAGCAGTGCTGTTTGCCTTTAAGGGGAATACGTCTTACTCCTTCGAATAGATGTCCCTAACGTTTAATGCGGACCTTTTGGGAGATAACCTACAGTGAAGAAGACACATGCAGCCATTCACTGACCTTCTCAGGGGCCACAGCATACAATACAGATGGCCCTCTCCATGAGCATTACAAGTCATGTAAGGGGATGCTATCCATTGAATATTTGGCCTTCAAGGAGCGACCGCCCTTCTGAGAACGCTACTGGAGGACTCTCTGCCTCAACCTGGATCCTGGGGAACAAAACAGACAGCACACAGCTGAGACCCGGGATAGGTCATACGGTTTGTGCTGCAGAAAGCCTTGCCAGATGCCTATATCGCAGCCACCACCTGAGTCAATGGAACTGACACTTGACACCAAGCTTTCTCAAGTCCAGGACTGATGGTTACTTGCGGTTCAAAGTTGATCTATTCTTATTTTCCAAACATTTTTATTTAATTTCAGCACCAAGGATCACTCTGCCCGTATATACCCTGGCTGACAACCAGGTGCTCTGCTCCCCCTGCTTCCCCCCATTACTCGAAGTAAGACCAAAACCCTTCATAGCGGAGCCAAGGGGTGTATCCGAGTAAACACGAGATTACGTTTGGGCACTGTCGTACCCTATACAATCTGGGGACATAGTCCTCTGTATAACAAGGCAGTGACCAAGGTGGGGATTTATTACCAGCACAGGTCTTTAGGCCTAGATTCTATCATTTTCGTGAATGCCTCAATGAAGTGGTGTGGGTGCCACGTGCCCGAACTTTCAACCCTGCAGTTGAAAACATTACTGCTCTGAAGGGTTAACCATATGACAGCCACTAGAGGAGCTTCAGTGAAATAGAGAAAATGGTCAGGAAACCATTAGATTGGTGCAGTGGTGTTTTGCCACGCGTACACACTAGCATCACAGTGGATTGGCTCAGATCACCAACAAGAGCTGAGGAGAACAGTGTAGCGGGGGGGAATGATGAGCTATGACAGCGCTGGAAGAACCACCTAAACGGTGACTAGGGCAGTACAGCATTAGGAATACATATTTATGTTCCCAACGCAATAGTGTTCCTTTAAATGGATCACTGCTTTTGCCTCCAGTAAAACACTAAAGCGGCACTGTCATCATTAGGGGACATTACCGAATTCACAAAGACTCCCGAATGATATCACTGATGGGGTCTGGTAGCTGGCAGAGGGGCGTGGGGGGGGCAGGTAAAGGTGGGATTTTCTTACCCGAACCTGGCTCTTGCAGATGTCGTCTTCTTTGCCAGTCTGCTTGTCTTCAGCATGCGCGAGAGTACTACATTGAGATCTGTAGGATCCTCCATAGACACATCCAATTCCCTGCAGCCATGACTGGTGATGGCTGTGGAGTTTGACACAGACTCTGCCCCGAGTCTACGAAAGTCAGGCAGAGGAGAAATAGAGACAAAGTGGGGCGCGGGTGTGATAGTGCTGTTTTAAAGGGACACTATAGTCACCAGAACAACTACAGCGTAATGTTGTTGTTCTGGTGAGTATAATAGCTCCCTTCAGGCATTTTCATGTAAACACTGCCTTTTCAGGGAAAAGGCAGTGTTTACATTGCCCCTAGGGACACCTCCAAGTGGCCACTCCTCAGATGGCCACTGGAGGGGCTTCCTGGGTCAGGGCTGCACAGTAAGCAGCCCTGCCATTCAGTGTCCCCACGCTCTGCATGGAGACACTGACTTGTCCTCAAAGAGATGCATTGATTCAATGCATCTCTATGAGAAGATGCTGATTGGCCAAAACAATGTTTGGCCCCGTCCCTTTGCCGATTTTAGCTAATCCAATGCTTTCCCCATGGGAAAGCATTGAATTGGCAAAAGAATCGGCACATTTGATGATGTCACAAAGGGAGTGGGGCCAGCACAGGCAGACAGGAGAGCTGGAAAGAAGGTGAGTTTTAACCCACCCTGAGGAGGCAAGCCACCTAAATGGTGTGTTTTCACTATAGGGTCAGGAAAACATGTTTGTGTTCCTGACCCTATAGTGATCCTTTAAGATTACATGTAAAGTACTGTTTTTTTTTTTACATTATATTAACTCTTATAAACGTTTACATGTGCAGTATATAATAGGTCTCTTTCTAATAGCATTGATACAAAGGGGCCCTTTAACCATTCAAGCTCCATCAGCATGTGCATGTATTTGGCACTGAATTGGTTAATGATGGGGGATTTGTAATGGTCTCACAACAAACACTAAAAATCACAGCTGACTGTACCTCGGAGTAGACATTCTAACAGATTAATTGGTATTATTATTATTGCCATTTATGGTATCTGTCACATTACTGAGCAAGATAGAGATACAATACCATACAACAGGATAACAACGCGGGTCTGCAAAAAGAGCACTCTGGGACTAAAAATTCTAAAAGTGCAGCAATTAGCATCGACATTCCACTTGTTTCCATGGTGACTGCTCTTCTTTTAGGAACACCGATCTCAAATTACCCTTTATATTTCTTCCCTGATGTGAACTGTCACCACACAGAACCTGAATTTGGTTTTAAATGGGAACTACAAACCTCCCAACATTTCATACTGACAAAGAGGGGCACTTTAACTTTAGGGTTGTGGTCAGACACTGGGCTGTTCTGAGAAACTATTTAGGACAGAAAAGAAGGTCAGAGGGATTTAGATCCAAAATGGGGACTGTCCCTCCTAAATAGTAACACTTGGGATTTACGGAGCTGCCACTTACCAAGAAATAAAACACTAAAAGACTAACTTGTGTGAACCAGTTTTCATGTGATCTTCCATTTCCTTTCAAATGTATATTAAACATTTAGCAACGGATGTCACAACAGAGTTTAGTCTCGGCACAGCCAGGATACAACTTGCATTGGAACATTGCGTCAGAGTATACGTAAACGGGAACTAAAGGGCAGAGCTTATAGCAATGACAGACAGGGAGCCAAGATGGACTCGCCCAGTTCTAGGATATAGTGAAATACAAAAACTATGTCCCTTTCTATATTTGATTCTTTTTCAGACCACCCAAACACATTTGTTAAATTCTGGGGATAGATAAACAAACAATCTCTATGAAGTTAGTTTCCCCTGAATATTTCTAAGCTGATGCAGAGAACGTTTGTTTGTTTTTTGTTGGACAGCAAGAGTCTTCGTTTTCACTTTGCAAACCCCTACGGCGTCAAATAATCACAGGCTCAGCGGCCTCTCTCTTGTAAGGGGAAATGCTGAAAAATAAGTTATGGATGAATTTTAAAATGATTCTATGCTAATTAGTTGCCTTATTACCTTAATTACACACGGTGCAACCTATGCCGCCACAAGTCACTGTTCACACTAATATGTAGTTGGTGGTCACAACTCGTTGCTCAGAAGGCCTAGCTCCCATTTTGTAGAAGAATAAAACAAAGTGAGGTTTGCGGCCCCATGTTTCAAGGAAAAAATTTCATAAAAATGAACAGTGTGAGAGGAAAAGTTGCATTAAGATACATCTACCTAATTTTCAATAACCGATCCTTAACTGTCGAACTCCCGGATAGTGAATATAATTGCACAACTGTGATAAATTGTCACATGATAAATGTCACTTGCACAAAATGGCATGTAAAAAATACGTATGTGTACTTTTAACACGCTATCAGCCAAGAAGCAAAAATAGTTATAATTTATCAATATGTCTGGCTGTTCTGAAATGCAAAAATTATTTATGAACTTTTTTTTGTACTTTTGGTGTATGCGTCCCAGAGTGCTGAGCTATAACAAAATGACGGTTAGTGATAATTTTGGCACTCCACGTTCCAAGAACAGAGCTGAGAGTGATTCTCCTTTTATAAAAATCAGCAAAATAAGTGCGAGAGAGGGGTGAAACGAGGTGAACTCTGCAGGGAGCGGCACTGCCAGGGAATGGTTTAATGGGCACGCTGTGATCATATTAAGGCAGGAAGCTGGTAGATGCAGTTGAAATCAGAGAGACAGTGTTCCCAAAGCAGACAATTCGCGACTGTGCCCTTTGGACAGTTTTAATTCAGTCACCAGCCCTTTGTGCCAACCAAATCCTGGGGGACGTACTATTGATCCCTTGTATGTTAGTGATACACAGCTAGAGGACACACATGAACATACTGCAATGCACAGCGAGACAGAACACAGACAGAATGAACAAACAGGAGTGACTCAAGCAGTAGAAGTGGATTTTCTATACAGGGAGTGATGAACAAATTGGGATAGAGATACAGGTTCAGGGACTGGATTTAACTAAGCTTGAAGGAACACTCCAGCCTGTTATTTGGGGGGGGGGAGGAGGGGGTGACGTCAAGGGACTTTGTCCTGGCAGCTGGTTGTTTGCCAGCCCGTTCAGCCCCAGAGGTGACTGGCTGACTGAGATCGGAGGTGGGCGGCCGGCTCATGGAGGCAGGCGGGCGGCTCTTGCTCTGCTCCCTTGAGTTCCCCGTAGCCGGGGGGCCGGAATAGGACGCAGAGTTGGACCGCAGGAAAGGGTCCACTCCAGCTCTCCCAAATTAAAATCAAACAAATAATTTGTGATCGGGTGTGAAAATGTGTGTGAGGGTTGCAGTATCAGTGAGTGTGTCTGTTTTATCAACAAAATTAGTGCAACTCAAAATACTTATTGATCCGGATTATTGGAATGTTTCATATTTCTAGTGTTGGGATTAGGTTAACCCCTTCATCTAGGATTTCAATATTTTTTTAAAGCTATAGTACAGATATGGAAGCAGTGAATTATTTTAAATCTAGACCTTGATGAAATCAAGCTCTCTTACACACCTTTAAGGGGGTTAGGGACACTTCAACTAAGCTACTGCCAGACAGGGAAGGAAGATCCCAACAGACCATCATAGAAGAGACAATCTGGGCACACAACATAGTATCCTTAAAGGAACATTCCAGTCACCATAACTTTAATGTGAATGCACCTTTACTTCCCACAATGTTTAGGGCTGTAACTCCAGCACGCCACAAATTATAGGATGCTACACTGGTCCATCTTCAGGGTAACTAATTAAAATGTAACTTAATGGAAATTCAGTTTCAAAATGTTAGGCTAACCTAGCTAGCTTAAAACCATAGCTGGCTTGAAGACTTTTTCCAAATCGGCTATTTTTGCCTAACATTTTAAATCTACTTTGAATTCACAGCAATTCACACCTTAGTGAATAACCTTGTCAGTATCTACAAACTCCAGAGAGAATATATAAATGTAGAGTAGTGCTCGCTTTGTTACCGGCAGCGATTTAGGAAAACGTGAATTAGATGAGATCATTTTTAATTAGCTATAAACAGTGTATTGCAAGGAGTGTCAACCTGTCTCCGGAACAACAACTGTATTCTTACACTGTACGACAACAAAGCAGTGAGAGAACATATTAGTTCTTTCTTCGAAGAAATGACATGCCTAATCTAATGTCACATACCGCCGACAATGTGTCTTTGCAAAAAGAAACAAACATTGAGGATAATATCACCAGCGGAATGATCCGCGGCATGTTATATGTGACATTCGCCTCTGATGATCATACGTTACACCAAGACTTGCTCCAAAAAAAATAAAAAAGCACATTCATTCCATGGTTTTAAATGTCATTATTTTCAATCCGGAAAGGAATCAAAACCTTAAGAATGTTTCTGCAACACAGAGACTTTGATTTTCTAGACTAGAGATTTCTAAACACACCAGGGTGATTTATTAAATGAATTGTCAGTTATTCAAAGCGCATTTAACATTTTTAACTGACATTTTATACTGACTTAAAATCACAAATCCCCTTTCTTATGCACTAAAGTGAGATTCAAAACGATTTCACAGTGAATTTCAAGTGTAAGGCTGGAGTAATCAAGCTGAAAGCTTAGTTAACTTAGAGAATGTTTCCATTTCAGCTACGTTTGCCTTAAATTTGAAATTTACTTTGAATTCTCACAGTCAGTCTCCAATACCTCATGGGGTCCTACTATACCAATCAAGCTACTAACAGTGTCTGGGGAATTGGGGGCCTTGCAGATATGATGGCAAGGATGGGGATTATTGGTAAATAACAGCACGCATTTTAACACTCTATGATTTATTTGGTCATATTGTTGCCTTGACGTCTGCACGGTCCGTATAAAGATCTCTGGATAGTATGAAGTATGAGAAGTGAGGGGGGCAGAATTTTTTTTTTTTTAAATCTTCTATATTCTCACACAGTGTAAATGAGGCTAGATAAAAGGATGGTTGGGAGCTGTAGTGCAATCTAGTCATCTAAACGCACAGCGCCATTTTCAATGATTTCTAGGCTTTATATGCAAATAAATTCCTGAACAATAATAATAATAATTTTTTGGTGCATATAAGACACTGGTAGCTAATTCGGTTAGAATTGCCTTATTTCAAAGCGTCCGCTGTCGCAGTCATGCTGAAATTTACAGAGACATGTTGATACATAACCCTTTTTTTTTCTGAAATGTACCAAGCGGTGAATCCAGATCGGGGAAATAAGTCAGCGTGCGTCAAATGACAAGTCCTTCTCATAGCAAGTTTAGTAAATGGATCACTAAAATTTACATTTAATTATTTGAGTGACGGTAGTGCCCATTATGTACATCTCTGGCACTGAAAAGGTTAATAGAGCAATACATTGACATTTTAGAGCAATTTAAATAAAATATGTTTGTTGTATTTTTTTTAACTTAATTATTTTTTATTTATTTTTGTACAAAAATATTTTTCTGTCTGTCAAGTCCAGGCAGAAAGAATTACACTTTCTGCAGCTGCAAAAAATTCTTCCGATTCATCCTCTGGAGTGACATTGAAGCAGAGATGTTTCAAACTTTTTTGATTTATTGTGTCTTTAATGACCAATGATGTTTTAGGTTCTTGCATGCTCTCAAGTCGTCTCGCTGAAAGTCAATCCCTGAATTAACTATAAGGTATGAAAGCTGTATACGTAAAAAAAAAAAAAAAGTTACATTAAATAAATGGTTTAATAATGGTCTGACAACTTACTTGGAGACCACTCGTCGCCATCTTGCCAACTTGTCAACTGTTCTTAAAACAGTTTGACTTCTAACTCTGGCAGGGATCCAGGGCACACTTTCCTATGAGAAAGCATTGGGTTAGCTGAGATAGTCAAATTTGATGATTTTAGTAAAGGAGGTGGCATAATGCAGAACCAGCTGTGACAAGACTCGCACGGAGCTGGAAAAATGGTGAGATAGAAACATAGAATGTGACGGCAGATAAGAACCATTCGGCCCATCTAGTCTGCCCAATTTTCTAAATACTTTCATCAGTCCCTGGCCTTATCTTATAGTTAGGATAGCCTTATGCTTATCCCACGCATGCTTAAACTCATTTACTGTGTTAACCTCTACCACTTCAGCTGGAAGGCTATTCCATGCATCCACTACCCTCTCAGTAAAGTAATACTTCCTGATATTATTTGTAAACCTTTGTACCTCTAATTTAAGACTATGTCCTCTTGTTGTGGTAGTTTTTCCTTCTTTTAAATATAGTCTCCTCAAATTAAACACCTTTTAGTTTTCTAACAGGGAGGCAGCGGACCAAAACTATGTTTTTTCAGCTTTAGTGTGAGGAATGCATTAAAAGGGACACTATAGTCACCAGAACAACTACAGCTGATTGTATTTGTTCTGGTGAGTAGAATTAGTCACTTCAGGCTTTTTAGAGTAAACACTGTATATTCTGAGAAAATGCAGGGTTTAATTTACAGCCTAGGGATACCTCCACTTGCCACTCCTCACATGGCTGCTATAGGTGCTTCCTGGGGCAGTGCTGCACAGTATAACTGGCATTCAGTGTCTCCATCCTCTTCATGGAGACACTGACCTTTCCTCATAGAGATGCACTGATTCAATACATCTCTATGAGGAGATGGTAATTGGCAAGGGCTGTGTTCGGCCCTGCCCCTGATCTGTCTCCTTGACAGTCTCAGCCAGTCCTATGGGAAAGCATTGTGATTGGCTCACAGAATCAGTTCTGAAGATGTCAGCTAAGCAGGCAGATCAGGGGCAGAGCCAGCTCAAACTTGAATACAAGTTAGATATTACTATATTGAGGAGAGCAAGGGGTGGGGCGGAAGATGGTGGTTTTAACACATACAAGTTTGTGTTCCTGACCCTATAGTGTTCCTTTAAGTGTGATTTGTCAGTTAATCAAAGTGAATTCAAAGAGAAATTATAAATAGCCAAACTGGAGGGAAAAAAAACATACATACATATACATATATATACATAAATCAATAAGGGGAGCAGGGTCGAAACGTTGATTCTCTTTGCACAGAATTTGTAACATGCTTTGGATACAGTAAATACTTTTTGCACTATATTGAAGTCCTGGTGTGCTCCCCTTATTGATTTATGTATATTGGGACGCGGGATTGCACCCAGGCATTTGATTCACTACAAGAAGAATTTTAGGAGGAGTGCCTTGCTTATTCATTTTTTGTATACATATATTATATAATTTGTATTAAATATATATATAAATAACACACAACTATTTTGGCCTGGAATTTGAACTGCAATTTTGAATTCACATCAGTGCTCACTTCAGTGAATAACCGCAAGACTAATCTGACCATTTCATCTCCCCATATAATCTCCGAAACATATTAAAGTATGGGATTCAGTGTAAAGATAACAGTTACAGTCCTATAGCAAAGTCATCTCCCCATATAATCTCCGAAACATATTAAAGTATGGGATTCAGTGTAAAGATAACAGTTACAGTTCTATAGCAAAGTTATAATAAACAAATAAATCAAATGAATGTTCCAAATGTTTGCGCTGTTCCTTATAAATTATCCTCTTGTGATTTAAAACAAGCCAGGCTGTTTAAATCTCCACTATATACAACTTTCTCATGTGCCTCAATTGAATATTTTTGGAAAGCTTTTCAAATAAACTTAAAATATTTTTTGAGATTCCATTATATAATTAACACTGTAATAAATATGTATCATTTTGGATGAGCTATTCATAAGATTTAATAAAACAGAGAGAGATTCTGATTAAAAAGACCCTGATAGATGGATCTCGTAACAGATCTGTTCATATGATGATCCCATTGGCCAGCCTGACATTGGCATTTAGTAGTAAAGTTAATTTTCTAGACAGGCGTAGATTCAGTGCCTAGGTAAGCTCAGCAACGATACTTGTAACATCAGCAAATTAACTAATGGTTTCTCTGCTAGCAGCCTTACACATGAATCAGATTTGAAATACAAGTCGGAGTACATAATACATAAATCCATAAGAGCCAATCAAATGAAGATTTCTGTAGTGCAATGGTTCCTGAATTGCTTGACAGGGAATCTAATTCTGTACCCGGCATTAACTTAGTCAAGCCGTTCTTCAGATAGCTATATTATATATAGACTTCTCTCCCGTGCAACAGGAAATGTCATTACAATGGGGACGGCAAGGCCAAATCAAATTATTTTGGTTATTATGTAGCTTAAGTAACATGGTCTGCCAATTCTCACCAAAATCGACCTGCATTAAAGGGCTACTCCGTAAAAAAAATTTTTTTAAATAACAGTTTAAGCATGGTATAGAAATCAGTTAATGTGTGGAGAGGGCTAAAAGCCTAACATTTTTTTATAACCCACAGCAGCTGGTCTGTTGGTTAATGTAGTTTTTGGGTGGTGAGTAATTTAACTTATTTTTTTATTTTTTTTAAATGGTTTGGTCAACTACAAGGTGTTATTAAAGATTAGTTTTTATTTATTTCAAATTTAACAGGTTCTGCATTAAACGCCAGCTTTAAGTATGGTTTGTTTCCACCCCCCACCACTCCCCAATAATTTGCCCAATTTGGCGTTGCTATAGTAAAACAGGAACTGCTTCATCTTACATGCCTTGTTTCGGCGAGAGCTGAAAGGCACAACCAGTGGGATATTTCCCCTTTCTACAAATTATTTTGGCTACCACAAAACCTTCTACTTGGTCACTTTCTATTATGAAAGCATTCTGTGTTTCTTCATTCTATTAAAGTTCCTACATTCCTCTCTCCGTATATTTGTTGGTAAATTATAACATCGTTCTTGGTATTATTATTGGGCATTATTGCAAACTACATTATATTTACGATTGTACTGTATTTGCTAATGTATCTACTTTTAATGTATTTATAGAAGAAGGGGGAGGATTGACATGGGGGGGGGAGTGACATATTTGTTACTGCATATCCTTACAATCTCCAACAAATGTTTCCAAAATAATTGTTGTGTGGTTGGAGTGGCTGGAGTAACTGTGGAAAGGTTGGAGTGTGGTTCACTCACTCTACAGCAAGGGCCGAGAAGAACTTTCAAATCCCTCGAACATTCCACCAACTGTCAACAGGAACCAACAGATTTCAAACAGGGCAGATAAGAGCTTTAAATCTTTTAAATCCCTTGAACATTCCACCAACTGCCAACAGGAACTAACAGATTTTAAACAGGGCAGAGAAGAGCTTTAAATCTTTTAAATCCCTTGAACATTCCACCAACTGCCAACAGGAACTAACAGATTTTAAACAGGGCAGAGAAGAGCTTTAAATCTTTTAAATCCCTTGAACATTCCACCAACTGCCAACAGGAACTAACAGATTTTAAACAGGGCAGAGAAGAGCTTTAAATCTTTTAAATCCCTTGAACATTCCACCAACTGCCAACAGGAACTAATAGATTGTGTGGTTGGAGTGGCTGGAGTAACTGTGGAAAGGTTGGACTGGGCAGAGTAACTTTGTGGACTGTTTGGAGTGAGTAACGATAGTAAACATTACACTAACCAAATGATTGATCAAATTTAAAAAGTGCACATGGCAAGCTTGATAGAGTGAGAAATGCATTTCAACTTTTATTTATTTATATAGCACATTTACTTGCAACGTTGTTGCCCAAAGTGCTTCAGTTACATTAAAACATACATTTATAAAAACATTGGCAGGTGTACAAAAGGCCCTGGCTATGACATCACTTACTGCTCCAGACTGGCACAGGTCAGAGTATTTTGGCAGTTGCCATCTTCAAACGGTTGCAGTTTAGAAATTGCCCTTCAAATTTGAGCTGGCTAGAGTGGAGTTTCAATGAATGTCAATGGACAGCATGAGTTGCAAACAAATGGTCATATTGTGAAAACTATCAGGACTATGGCTTAGCCGTGGACATGTTTAGTGGCAGCAGGGATAGCTGAACATTTTGATATAAGATTTGTGAAGGTGGGCTTGAAAACGAGGTAGTGGTGGCAGTTTAGAAATCATGTCCTGATTTTTCAGCTTTTGCTAGCTCCCACTCTAGTATTGAACATTTTGCCATTCATTCCTATGGGACCAACTTCGCCACAAAAACGACGATATTTCGTGAACCATTCCGTGAAACGTTCCACAAAGTAATAGCACACCAATCGGGAACAATCCGCACGTTTCTGTATATTACTGTATATGTAGTGTAAAAACTGTGGGAGGAATTAGGGTGGTAAATTTGGCTATAATAAGAATATATATGTGAGATAACATTAAGTGGTCTTGCTATGCAAGAACACTTAACTTACATTGCTTAAACAAACACTATAACTTTACTGCTGGCTGGCTTTTGTCATCAGTTACATTGCATGTTACTATAATTTGATGAAAAGTTTAAATAAGCCTTCAGATTTTGCTAAATTGTATTATTCTGTGAGCAAAATGATGACAGACCTACTTTTGGATCTAGACTGCTTGGTTCACTTCTGGTGGAATATACCAATTCAGGATGAGAAGAGGGGCCCATTCTTACATAATCACATTCTCCAACCAGCTCTTGTGATTAACACAAGCAAAGGACTGCAAGGGCTCTGTTGTAGTATTAATAGAAAGATCTGCAAATTTAAATTCCCTTGAAACGTCCGCGTCAGTTGCAGTGACATACATACATAAGCTAGTAAAGGCCAACCATTCTTCCCCTTCTTTGAAAGAGATTAGAGTAAAACTGAAATCTCCCTGATCAGATAGACACGGGGGCAAGATCTGCCTGCAAATCTAGTCTTTCACTAGGCCAGGGTAGTCAGCCTTGGGCACAGATGTTGTGGACTTTGATAGCATTATTGCTGTAAGAGCATTGTGAGAGATGTAGTCCACACCATCTGGAGTGCCTCCTCCCGGAACTATGCCAATATTTGGAGATGCTGGAGAAGTTGCACAGTCAGTGAGGTATGGAGGACTCTGTGAGCTCAGTAGTTTTTCATCAGCTTTCAGTCACTCCCTGATCGCTCCTATTGACTTTACCACCACTCACTGGAATCTGCAGGATACGGAGCCAACAGGGGCATAGGACAATGTGGCCCTTTGATCTCATATGTGAATATGGCAATGCAAAAATTAATCTTGATAGTTCCCAGGCATGCATAACCCTGCATAAATCTAGATCCAGAGTGATACCAACCACTAAGAAGAAAATTTCCATATATTCTATGTTCTCTGTACAAAGACCCCTCAGGTATTGCAATTGTTCACGTGCAAGTCTGCAAAGCGTTTCATTAATACACATCATCGCCGCAATATTTTCTACTGATAACTGAATTGTGGCAAATAAAGTAATATGAACTAATCCTAATACAAATCTGGCTCTATATAACCCTGTCGACTTACCTCATCCCTGTGGCTCCTGAGGGATATCCCAGCACTTTCTATCACCTACCTTCATCTGGGACTGACTTGAGCCCACTTTGCTATGAGCTCCTGCATGCAATATAGTGACGGTGAAAGACTCCACGGCGCATGTGAGGCCTGGTCCCTGCATTTAACAGCATCTATTCAGCCTTTTAGCTAAGGCAACATGAGGATCCCCGATTGAAGCACACAGATGTTGAACATGAAGCTGTGTGGGGCATCATTACCACTTGCCCTTGGCCAGATAGCACCTCAGAGGTGGATCACCCTGGACTGCTACAGAGACCTTCGTATTCCCTGAGAGTTTAAAATGCCAAAATTGGGAAAGCTCAGTAGGCTTGACGCATATATGGGTCCAAAACAGGAGATGAATGAGACACCAGAGTGGCACCTGCCTCCCAACTGTGAAAGGGACTGTTCTGGGGCAAGCTTGTCCCTATGCACCGATACCTGCATGGAGCTCCCATCTGCTATACCCCTGGGAAGCCTGGAGGCAGTCTCCATTGGGAACACCTGGCACATTGCCGGAATCAGCCTCACAGAGGGGCATCAGCTGAATTACTTACCTTGCTTATCATTTCTCGCTTATGCAGCATTTTCTGGGACTACTGCCCAATCATAGCATCCTGGACATACAACCCACCTGTGGACGGATTTGCCAGTGCTCAGTCCTAGTTTCAGGTGTTTTGTCAGCATGTTTTTCACATTTTATTATTTTTAAACTTCTGCATCATATGCTTTACCGTAATAGTTTTCAAATCTAGAAAATCGTAAGCACACTAGCATAGTCTGTCAAGAATGAGCCTTATGTCAGTAATTCTCAAGGTTTATTCATTGCATATTCTGTCTCACACTCACCATAACTGACTTCTCTCCTATCTCGTATGTTGTGTGTTTCAAAGTATAGGCAAGTTAAGCTAGCATGAACAATTTTCCTTTTCTTTCATTACTTTAAAAAAAAAAAGTGTGATACACTTATGCCTTACCCAATACTTGCAAAGCTAAACTCAAGAGGCAGCATTTGTCCAGAGCACCTGTCTTGAAAAGACTTCTAATTAAGCTGCATTGGAAAGTCTGTGATTGGGCAGCCACAGAAAATCTGGATGGGATTAGAAAGGGAGAGCTTCTAAAGGCTGCAGACAAGAGATCTGCAGCTTTTGCAAGCTGTCTTAGATATACCCCGTTGGGGAAGAAAAATGCATAATTAAATCCATGCATGTTTTCATTGAGATTATATCTACTAAACAGTGATTAATTTTTGTATTTGGCCAGTGGAGTGTCCCTTTAAGCACGTTACCGCTTATTGTGCGAGACAACCGTAACAAACTCCAAATGCCACTAAATGTAGATCTGTTCATTTTCTTGTGCCTTCTAAAATTACAAAAATTACAAAAAAATATATACACACACACTCCTTTCAGATTTCCTCATCGCGTTGCATCTCCAACCTTATAGCGATAGATTACCTCAAAGGAGAGCATTCAATGAACTTCTTTTGAATCTCAATTTATTTTAAAAGTTTGGTCTCTTTACAGCAAGCATTTCAAACTCAATGACTAACACAAACTCAATGACCAACTTAAATTTTCATTTAGAACCAGGAGGCGTGAACCACTGGACACCGGTGTAAAAAATTGGCCTGGAGCTCCCACTGATGTGTCTCACTCTCCTCCCCCCCCACACCAGCCCCTCCATGTGTTTCAGACATGTGTCTCTGCCCCACTCACACGTGGTACCTGCTCGCTGTGGTACCCTTCTGTCAGGAACTGCCCTCTTAGTGAGCACTTCCTGTAAGACTGCTTGGCCATGCTACATACAGCGGCAAAAGGGGAGCAGCACAGCACTGTACTCCCTTCCAGACGGTAAACTGGAAACCGCAAGGTCCAGACCGCAGTGGCAGGCGTAACTAGACCTTGTAGATCTGTTACTAAGACATGGTATAATGAGAAAAATGACTGGGACATAGCAATACCAGGATACTCTTTGTATAGAAAAGGCAGGGAAGGCAAGAAAGGGGGAGGAGTTGCCCTGTATGTGAAGGATAGCATAAAATCTAGCATAATAAAAGTTAGTGAGGTGAACATAGAGTCCGTTTGGCTTACGTTAGAATTTGGTAATCACACAGTAACTCGTGTAGGTGTGATTTTTAGGCCCCCCAGGACAAATAGAAGAGTTAGATAATCTACTAGTTGAGGAAATAGCTAAAATGACAATGAAGGGGGAAGTTATAATCATGGGTGACTAATCTTCCTGATGTAAATTGGAAAAAACAAAATTAGCTACTTGTGTCAGGAGTACACATATTCTAAACTCCCTACTGGGATTGTCTCTAAAACAAGTTGTTGAGGAGCCAACTCGTAAAGAGGCCATACTAGATTTAGTGTTAACAAATCGAGATTTGGTATCAGATCTTACAGTAGGTGAACTTTTAGTAACCAGTGATCATCAGTCAGTGTGATTTAATACAAGAACAGTGACTGAGTCACACCACACAAGAAAAAAAAGTTTTAGACGTTAGAAAAACAAACTTTTCGAAAATTAGAATATGTGTAAAGGAGTCATTATCAGACTGGAGCAGTTTAAATGGAGTCCAAGAGAAATGGGATTATTTAAAAGTTACACTGCTAATGGCAACAGATTGCATTAGGCTTATCAGTAAAAGCAAAAAAGTCAAGAAACCACTGGGGTACTCTGCAGATGTGGCCAAAATAGTAAAAAAAATTTAAAAAAAATAAAAAATTTTTTTTTTTTAAATTAGCATTTAGTAATTATAAATAAATAAAAAAACCCAGAGTGAGGAAGACAGAATGATTTATATTTATAAGATTATGCAGAAAGAGGTTAAGCAAGTTATAAGAGCTTCTAAATCACACACAGAAGAGAAAATAGCACAGTCAGTAAAAAAGGGGGGACAAAACATTTTTTAGATACAAAAATGAAAAAAGGAAAGTAAAACAAGGATTAGTTAGATAAAAAACAAAAGAAGGTAGGTGTGTAGAAGAGGATAACGGTCTAGCTGACGGCCTCAATAAATATTTATATTCTGAATTTACAGATTAAAATGAAGGAAAGGGGCCTCAATTAGGAAAAAGGACAAATGAGGCATTTGTTACATGTGAGTTTACAGAGGAAGAGATTCTATTTCAACTGTCAAAAGTAAAGACAAATAAGTCAATGGGACCTGATGGAATACACCCAAAGTTATTAAAAGAGCTTAATGGCGTACTAACAAAACCATTAACAGATATATTTAACCAATCATTGTTAACAGTAGTCCCAGAAGATTGTAAGTAAGCGAATGTTGTGCCCATTCACAAGAAAGGTAATAGGGAGGAGTCGGGTAACTATAGGCCAGTAAGCCTTACTTCAGTAGTGGGGAAAGTAATGGAAACCATGTTAAAGGATAGGATTGTTGAACATCTAAAATCACATGGATTTCAAGATCAGAGACAACATGGGTTCACTTCAGGGAGATCATGCCAAACTAATCTTATTAATTTTTGTATTTTTTTTATTGGGTTACTAAAATAATAGATCAGGGTGGTGTGGTAGACATTGCTTACCTAGATTTCAGTAAGGCTTTTGACACTGTTGCACATAGAAGGCTTATCAATAAACTGCACTCTTTAAGTTTGGATTCCAATATTGTTGAATGGGTAAGGCAGTGGCTGAGTGACAGGCAACAGAGGGTTGTAGTCAATGGAGTATATTCAAAGCTTGGGCTTGTCACCAGTGGGGTACCTCTGGGATCTGTACTTGGACCCATTCTCTTTAATATTTTTATTAGTGATATTGCAGAATGTCTTGATGGTAAGGTATGTCTTTTGCTGATGATACTAAGATATGTAACAAGGTTGATGTTCCAGGAAGGATAAGGCAAATGGCAAATGATTTAGGTAAACTAGAAAAATGGTCAGAGTTGTGGCAACTGACATGTAACGTGCATAAGTGCAAGATAATGCATCTTGGACGTAAAACCCAAGGGCAGAGTACAGAATATTTGATAGCGTCCTAACCTCAACATCTGAGGAAAGGGATTTAGGGGTGATTATTTCTGATGACTTAAAGTTAGGCAGACAATGTAAAAGAGCAGCAGGAAATGCTAGCAGAATGCTTGGTTGTATAGGAAGAGGTATTAGCAGTAGAAAGAGGGAAGTGCTCATGCCATTGTACAGAACACTGGTGAGACCTCACTTGGAGTATTGTACGCAGTACTGGAGACCGTATCTTCAGAAGGATATTGATACTTTAGAGAGAGTTCAGAGAAGGGCTACTAACCTTGTTCATGGATTGCAGGATAAAAATCTTACCAGGAAAGGTTAAAGGATCTTAACATATGAATATGATAGAAACATTTAAATTCATAAAAGGAATCAACACAGTAAAGGAGGAGACTATATTTAAAAGAAGAAAAACTACCACAACAAGAGGACAGTCTTAAATTAGAGGGGCAAAGGTTTAAAAATTTAATTTAGGAAGTATTACTTTACTGAGAGGGTAGTGGATGCATGGAATAGCCTTCCAGGTGAAGTGGTAGAGGTTAACACAGTAAAGGAGTTTAAGCATGCGTGGGATAGGCATAAGGGGATCCTAGATATAAGATAAGGCCAGGGACTAATGAGAGTATTTAGAAAATTGGGCAAACTAGATGGGCCGAATGGTTCTTATCTGTTGTCACATTCTATGTTTCACTCCCCAGCAGCCGTGTGCAGTACAGGTAGCGGAGGGTGTCGTCCTTCCTCCCCAGCAGCAGAGTGTGTTGGTGGGAGAAGAGACGGTCGGTCTCACTCCCCAGCGCAGTGTGTGTTACAGGGAGAGGAGACAGACTGTGTGTGTCCCCCCCCCAGCGGCAGCTGGATATACCATGAGAGGAGACAGTTGGTCCCTCTTCCCAATTACAGGGGGACAGCACCTCTGACCCCAATGGTGCAAATGGGACAGTCATCTCTGCACCAAACTTACAGAGATATTGGATGGCCGGTCCAGATCCTCAACCAACCCTGCAGGAATACCAGGAGGAGGAGGTAGGCGATCCTCCCTCTCCACATCAAATTCCCAACCGGGTACTGGGGTTAGTGGATGAGACGGCCGCTGGCCTCTGCCCACCAGGTACTCACGGCTCCATGCCTGGAAGCACAAGGGAAGTCGGGGTTGACAGACACCCACTCAGCAACCTGGGACATACGGTACAGAGCACCAGGTCAAGTAGATGTGTATGGGTGGGCTACTCGACTAACTCAAGTGCCGACCGACAGAAGGTCAGGTACCTGGTTAGTCTTTACTTGGGAGGGGGGGGGGAGGAAATGTTTAGAAATGAACCTCGTCACGGGTGCTTGGAGGGAACGCTAGCTCCCTGGCGGCCATTTGCATGGACCAAAACCACGAATAGACTTCAGGGAGACTTAACCGCGAATGCCCTGGAACTATTTTTGGCATGAAGACTTCACGGTTCGCAGTAAAAACCATGACTTCCAGGAAATTCCTGAACCCCTGAACTGATCTGGGTGATTTATGGATATGTTTGTCACCCAGATCAGAGCTATCAGTGGGATGTAACATTTGTGGGATATTATGTATTTTGGGGTACTTTTGAGACTTTATAGAAACAGGTGTTTTCTCTGGCTGGAGATAATTGGGATAATACACTGTCTGACTCAATTATCTCCCAGGCAGAGGGGAGGGATTGTATGCTGTGTGTGGGAGGGTCAGGCATTGGAATATGGTTCTTATTGGTCTGTGAATATTGTAACTCAGTTCCCCACAAGGTCCATGTGGGCGTACCCCTTGCATGGGGATGGTCAGATAAGGCCAAGTGTGGCACCATTAAAATCAGTTCCTCTTCACCCTCAACATATAGCCTCGTCTCATGTGTGGAGGGGACAGCTATATTCACTCTGGGTGTTGCTATATCATAATCCTACCCTGGGTATAATCACTAGCTCTTATTAGAGCTGTTCCTGCTACGCTTTCTGGAGTAGGAGAGGTTCACCCACTGGAAGCTAGATCCTGGTCTTGGGTCCAGAGTGGGTGGAGAACAGCAAGACCCTGACCAAGCAGTTTGGGGGTCTACGGGGCTAATTGTGTCTGGTGGAGTGCTTGGAGTCCTCGGTGAGCATTAGGAGCATCAATTGACAGAGGTACCTGGTTAGGGTGGCAGGCAGTGTGTCACAATTCCCTTTATGTATTTAAATGTTTCTATCATATCCCCCCTGTCTCGTCTTTCCTCCAAGTTATACATGTTAAGATCCTTTAACCTTTCCTTGTAAATTTTATTCTGCAATCCATGAACCAGTCAAATAGCCCTTCTCTGAATGCTCTCTAAAGTACCAATATCCTTCTGGAGATAACGTCTCCAGTACTGCATACTACACTCCATGCAGGTGTGCACACTTCCTTTCAGTCACGCCAGAAACCGGAACCTGAAATTGAAGTTACTGTACCACGGTGTGCGCTGTTAAGCCGGCCCACGCTACAAGACAGGTAATTTATTATTGGACAAGGGAAGGAGGGGGGGTTAAAAAGAACACTTGGACAAGGGGAGGAGGGGGATTAAAAAGAACACTTGGACAAGGGGAGGAGGGGGTTAAAATTCGCTATGGGACAGAGGAGGGGTTAAAATTCCCTATGGGACAGGAGAGGAGGGGTTTAAAGATCACTATGGGACAGGAGAGGGGAGTGGGTGGTAAGGAACACTATGGGACGGGGAGAAAAAAAATAAATATAAATATATATATATATATATATATATTCTGAACAAACTGTCCCATAGTAAGAAAATATTTTTTTTCCCTGTGTTTCCTCCTCTAAAAACTAGGTGCGTCTTATGGAGCAAAAATACAGTATTTTTGTGTAGTGTTGGTGTTTGAATGCAGAGATTTAGGCACATACACAGAATGGCACTCATACATACACTGACACACACAGATACACAGGGGACAAACATGCAGATACAGAGACACACATACACAAACAGTCACACATGCAAATACACAGTTACAAAAAAAAAGACAAATAGATACACAGGCAAAATGAACATTATTCAGCCACCCTCCCTCCTGTTTCCTATCTTTAGGGTACTTCCCTGGGGTAATATCAGCTGGATCAGGATGTTGGGAGTAAAAGGATCTCCCATGCTGCACTCCCCTCCTCGCGGTCTTCCTCCCGCATGGCTCTTTGATAGCTGCGAGGAAGTGGCCAGCTGGCTGACACTTCCTCCCAACAATGACATTATAGGGGCCCGGTCGCACTCTTAAAGCACCGCAGCACAGATCGGGTCCCTGAAGACACATTGCCATCGGATGGCCCTATAGGCATGGGCCACCCGATGGCCCGCCTCAGACTTGGCTTATGTACAGAATTTAAGGGAGCTCTCTTAATTGACTGCGAAAAGACAAAACGTATCAGTTGCTAAGTTTGGCTCCATGCTTTTACAAATAAGTAACATATGGACATAGTAACACTTAGATAATTATTTGGGGTTTTTTTATTAGTAAAATCTGTTATCAAAATCTCTACATGCAGCATTTATTCAGGTTTCTGAACAATAGACCAGTTGTAAAATTATTGTAAGGTAAAGAAGACAACACTTTATCTTATAACCTCTTCTGCTGTAGGCTCAGTAAGGATACGTTCAAGCAAGGGTTCCCAACCCATTCTTCAAGTACCCCCTACCAGTCCAAGATATAGGAATTACCCTGTTGTGTCTAATTTATTTATTTTTTTCCCCTTCTTCAAAAACACCTTAGACACAACAGGGTAATCCCTAAATCCTGGATTGTTGTTAGGGGGTACTTGAGGACTGGGTTGGGAACCACTGCATTAGAGTATTAATTTCACTTATGCACTTTTCACATCCCACACTATAGGTAACTTGACAATTGGCCAGCCTCAACCATCAATCAAGTTACACTGCAAGGAAAGGCATTTCAAATCTTGATATTGCAACTAGGAAGAAATATCACGGAAAGAAATATAAAGTAGTATTTATGCACCAATAACTTAATATAAAAACAGATTGACTGGGGGGGGAAATATAAACAAAGCCAAATAACAGAATTTTATCTGCAATACAGAATAAAAAAAAAAAAATAAATAAAAAAAGTTTGTGAAAGTATTCATGGTAGAGATCATTTTTGGGAGGAACATGAGATTATTAGCTGGAACTCCCCCTTGGAGCTGTCATTTTTGCACATTCTAGTCACAAATTCACTGCTGCATTTCTCTGGTATGGAATGGGGTATTCAATGTGCACCATTCATTCTAGATTCTCACGATAAATACATCATTACCTCATTTTCCGGTCAACACATCCCACTTTCCCAACAATGCATTATCATTTCCGCTACAGCCATTTTTATCCCACTTAGCAGAAGCTATTGTTAACATATCCTGTTATACATTAAAAAAAAAAATCTTGTGTTTTAGTTCAGATCCACGGCTTATTTATATACAACTTGTCGACACCTTTTACAATTATCCTTGTGTTTCAGGCATGTGGATGGGAATTTTGCACTCAGAGTCACCTTAGATCAAGACGAATCTCTGCAATTACGGACAGGAACTTCAAGTTGTCATCGATCAAGAGCACGGGAACCACAGCCTGGAAATTAGATTGCAACGCCCGACCTACATCTAGTTAACCCCTCTTCTGCAGGCACCTGCAGAACCGACAAGGGTTTTCACAAGATATCCATCAAATCTGAAGAGAGGCACTGTAAAATGAATATCCACATACAGTGAGTTTGTGGCATTTGAAGTGGTTCAAGCCCTGACCCAACGAATGCCAACTTGAGTGAGAAGACTGACAGGGTTAAATACCCCCTCTCTCCAAATTAGGAGGAGGGATATAGTCCATACTAAGTGCAAAACTGAGCTTACTTTACCAGTTCTCACTTATGAATAATGGAGCATGGACCCCTACAGTCCAGAAATACAACAATCATAGTTAACTGGGGCATCATCTAGGGCAGCGAAACACAAACCTGAAATCTACCAGTTCCCTGAATAAATCTAAAACCAGCTGATGTGCTGTGCCCTTTAAATACCATGTGGGTACAGCAGGACACAGCTTGGTGCTATATACTGCTCTAACACCCCAAGTGTTAAACTCAAACATATGCTAATAAATGCACTGTGAGTGACGTATCACTCCAAAAAAAAAAAAAAAACAATCTGCCACTGGCACAGCTAGTGGGGCCTGTTCCAATGGGGTTCATTCTTAAATTCAATTCACATACTGTCTTCTACTGTTGTCCCTGAATGGTGAGCGACCTAGCATCACCATGGACAGCTCTCCATCATTTGGAGGGAACAAGAACTTTATCGGATTCACACCACTCTCAAAAGGGATGAGGTCTGTGTTTTGGGGAACACTCACCCCCTTTCATAACCTTGCCAGAGATCAACTTGCCCACCCCCTGAACCAATTACATCTAAGGTGGCTAAATAAATCCCTGCACTGGCCTGCTGCTATGTTAGTACTATTGTGAAGAGTGACCTCTATATTACTTTATGAGATACCCCCCACATTACAGCGTCTGAATGATTCCATATGGTACATTCACACCTCCACGTAAAATTACATACTTGTGTGAGTAAATCCTACCACACATCTGTCAGAAATGGAATGAGTCTACTTACAAATCATTAACCCTTTTAGTGCCACAGAGTAAGACTCTGCCCTCTGACAAGGGAAATGTTACCTACGAGGGATATAAAATTGCACCTTGTCCTATCCTATCTATAGCAACATTCCGAAACTGAATTAAACAAATGTATCATGTCCTCATTTGCACTTAAAAAAAAAAAAGAAAAAAAAAAAAAAAGAAGAGGCATTCCTGCTCAATAAACAGCTCATTAAGTCAGCCAGTCTCGTCCGCAACAATGACAGGCAGCGGGTTAGCGGGTGACAGTCGCCCCCTGGGCCAGTGCTTCTATTTATAGTTTATACTATTATCAGAAGCCACTTATCAATCATGAACTGCATGAAGCCAGTGCCTGTGAGTGACCCTGGAGAGAAGCATTGCCTTCTGCTCTATATAACTGGATGCACAGTAAGAGGTAGCAAAGCAGGGGTGGTCAGAGGGTGGAACTCCAACTTCTTTAGAACTAGAATACCCATGATGCTTTTACAATTTGTTTCAACCATTTGATCTTCCCTGTAGTAAGATTGGCAAGAGGTTCTATGGAAATCCCAGTCTACAGACATTGAGATAGGAGTTTAGCAATGGCATGAATACAAATGAATCAAATGCAACAAACCCTGTAATGGGATGGGGCATTTAAAAAAAGCATTAAGGATAAACCATTCAGTTACATTTTTAACTGCAGGATTTCTAAAACATTGTACATTTCTCCTCATAACCCTTCCTGCTTGCTAGATTAAAAGACATTTCCAATACAATATAAATGTTGGCTCACCCTACAATATGACCCTTTAAGAAGGAGGACATACATAAAGCAGTAAATCGATCTTCCCAACATGTCTACAAATGACAATGATTAAAAGCAAAATGCAGAGCTAGGAGTAGAAAAGGCAACTTGCGGAAGTTGGATTGTGCTTGTACAGCCTTATTTTACATTGACTGCTCCTGCTATATAGCCCTAACTGGAACAGGCTGGTGCTTGTGACAATTAGTTGGTACTGATGGTGTTGCTTTGGGTGCTGATGCAGATAGGAGTGATGATGCAGGGGATAAGGGAGATAGTGTGTCTGTGGGTGCAGAGGATAAAGGTGCACATAAGATACTGAGGAGCTGATATGGGAGGTCCCTATGGGTGCTAAAATCACTGAGGGTGCTAATGTGATGGTGATGCTGTAGGTGTTGACAATGTCCTTATGGATGGTGAGGATACCCCTATGGGTACAGATCATGTCCCAATGAGTGCTGTTGACGGGGATGCTAGGATAACAGTACAGCGCTGGCTGGCCCCTCTGGCCCCTGTGTGCAGTACAGCGCTGGCTGGCCCCTGGGTGCAATTAAGCGCTGGCTGGCCCCTGGGTGCAATTAAGCGCTGGCTGGCCCCTGGGTGCAGTACAGCGCTGGCTGGCTCCTCTGGCCCCTGGGTGCAGTACAGCGCTGGCTGGCTCCTCTGGCCCCTGGGTTTAGCATAGTGTCCCCCACCCCCCGGGTTTAGCACAGTGCCCCCCACCCCGGTAGGTGCCCGCAGTAAGCTGCACTTGACTCACCTTGAGCAGCCGGCAGTCCCCGCAGTCCCCGGGCGCTGAGCACACTGACAATCAATGTGAGCACATAGCGAATCATAGTATAGCAGAGCACCAGTCCGGAGCCGCATCATAGCCCGCCCGCCCGCCCGGCCAGCCCCGGCTCGGTGCACTCAGTGCCGCCCCATGTCCTTCTCATTGCCCCGGCTCCATGTCAGCCCAGTCCGGGCTCCAGCAACCGGGCGCAGCCTAGCCGGCTCTATACAGCCTCGCCCCGCCCCCGGGACACGCTGATTGGCCGGGCGGAGCACAGTGGGCGCTGATTGGCCGGGGCGGGGCGGAGTGGGCGCTGATTGGTCGGGGGAGGTGCCAGTCGGTAGTCGAAGTCCGACTGACCCGTTTCAGGTTAGGTTGCAGCGCGCGGTGCGCAGAGCCGCAGTATCATTGCGCAATGCTGGGGGATGGAGGCTGCGGGGACCCCCAAACCTGGGCATACACCCCCAAACCTGACAGAGGACCCCCAAACCTGGACATACACCCCCAAACCTGACAGAGGACCCCCAAACCTGGACATACACCCCCAAACCTGGCCGGGGACCCATAAACCTGGGCATACATCCCCAAGCCTGGCCGGGGACCCCTAAACCTGGCCGGGGACCCCTAAACCTGGGCATACACCCCCCAAACCTGACAAAGGACCCCTAAACCTGACAAAGGACCCCTAAACCTGGGCATACACCCCTAAACCTGACAGAGGACCCCCAAACCTGGGCAAACACCCCCAAACCTGGCCGGGGACCCCTAAACCTGGGCATACACCCCCAAACCTGACAGCGGACCCCTAAACCTGACCGGGGACCCCCAAACCTGGGCATACACCCCCAAACCTGACAGAGGACCCCTAAACCTGGGCATACACCCCCAAACCTGAGCTGGGACCCCCCCTAAACCAAGAGCAGGGAACCCCAAATCATACCTTGGCATACACCCCCAAACCTGACCAGGGACCAAATAGCACCCATACACATGAGCATTCAGCATACAAACCATGTACAACACACTGCACCACCAAACCTGGCCATGGACCACACAAACCATGGCTTGAAACCCCAAACCTGGCCATGGACCACACAAACCATGGCTTGGAACCCCAAACCTGGCCATGGATCACACAAACCATGGCTTGGAACCCCAAACCTGGCCATGGATCACACAAACCATGGCTTGGAACCCCAAACCTGGCCATGGATCACACAAACCATGGCTTGGAACCCCAAACCTGGCCATGGATCACACAAACCATGGCTTGGAACCCCAAACCTGGCCATGGATCACACAAACCATGGCTTGGAACCCCAAACCTGGCCATGGATCACACAAACCATGGCTTGGAACCCCAAACCTGGCCATGGATCACATTGCAACTTAAACGTGGAAGTGGAGCTCACTGCCCCCCAATACCCTGGCAAGGATGCCATAATCATGCATAGACCTTACTGTACTCTGTAACCTGAGCATGGAACCCCAAATGCAGCATTAACCTTACTTACTGCCTTCCCAAAGCCCAGCATGGATCGCACTGCAGCAGCAGCCAGAAACCTGGGCTTTACCCCTAAATGGACCTCATTGCTTCTTAAAACACTAACATGGGCAGCAAAACCGTGGAATGGACCCACTTCTCTGAAAGCTGGACATGTACCCTAAAAGAATGGACCTTACTTCCCACATCATCTTCTGAAACCCTGGAATGGACCTTAAAACCATACATGGATCCCACTGTCCCCTGAAATCTTACTTCCCCCTAAACTCCCGTTGCATCCACAAACTCCTGTTCGCTAAAGCCCTGCTTCCCGCAAAAACATTGTGTAGATCACTCCCCCCACCAAGCCCATTGCACCCACAAACTCGTGTATGAACCCCACTGCCATCTATTCTCTCAATGGATCCCAAACTACACCTTCAGCAAGTGCACCCCATTGCTATCTTAAGCCATTACATCGCACTAAGTAGATTAATAGCTTCCCAAGTCACTTTGCTTCTGCGCCCCACTCTCGACTTGTCCCTACATACAACTTTTTGAACCTGAGCTCACCTACTTAAATTCACACTCCCAAAAACCCTCCCTGAGGCTGCACCCCACAGCACCCTAAAACCCGCCTTGGGATACCAGCAGTGCATAGAGGATAAGAAGGGGGAGCTCCATAACTCTATATATCCATCATCCCTAAACCTACTTGCACGAATGGAAACATGGCTCTCTCCCTCTGATACTGTTACCATGCCTCACTATCCTTTGGTGGTTTTCACTTCACCCACAACCAAAGAGTCTGAGAGTAAAGGTGGTGGTGTAGGATTTCTGCTTTCACCCCACTCCTTTAAAACTCTGCCTACCCCCCACCCCCCCTTCCCAGCTTTGAAATTCACTCATTTTGTCTGTTCAAACCCATCTCTGCTAACATAGCTGTTCTCTATCACCCCCTGGTTCCTCTAGCCTATTCCTTGACCATTTCTCTGCTTGGCTTTCATACTTCCTCTCAAGTAATATCACTTCCCTAATTCTCAGGGATTTCAACATTCCCATTAACCCAACCCTGACCTCAGTAGCTTACAAACTCCTTTCTATTACCTCATCTCCACAGTGGGTTAATACTCCCACACATGTAGCTGGTAATACACTCCATCTTATTTTTTTCTAATGCATGCACTCTCTAAACTCCACAACACTCCATTTCCTCTCTCAGATCACAATCTCTTATTTGTTCTTGAAAGCTTCCTCACTCAACAGTCTCACCCTTACCCCCCTCAACTTAAAAGGGACCTGAATTCTCTTGACCTCCAGCAACTCTCAGCTGATCTCCATTCCAAACTCTCATTCATCCCCACTTTCTCCTGTCCCTCTCTGGCTATCTTCTAATATAATGCTACCCTCACCTCCGCCCTGGATGCTGCAGCCTCGCTCCAAAGATGCGCCTTAAGGAAGACGCGCCCTCAACCATGGCACACACTAAATCGAACCGCTACCATAAGAGATGCTCCCGTTCAGCTGAACGCTGAGTTCCTCCATTAGAAATTCATTCGGTGTTCATATAGCACAACCCTCACCCTTGCTAAATAATCCTACTTTTCTTCTCGTTAGTTCATGCTCATGCAATCCCAGGTGTCTCTAATACCTTCGACTCTCTCAAGCCACCCCTCAAACTGACCTTTCAGCAGATAGCCTTGAATGCTACTTTGTCTACAAGATTGAATAGTTAAGGAAAGAATTTGCTCCCCTTTGCTCCTCCCTCTCGCAACCACACATGGACCGTACCTTTCCTACCTTTCAGGCCTTCTCCCCAGCTACAGAACAGGGGATAGCTTCGCTTCTCCTCTCGTCACACCACCTGCCCGCTTGATCCTGAACCTTCCCAGCTCATCAGATCTCTCTCACCCTTGTACCATTATTAACACACATCCTAAACTGCTCTTTCATGTGGTGTTGTCCCTGCTCCCCTTAAGCATGCTACGGTCTTACTCATCCTAAAAAAAGCCATCCCTAGACCAGTCTTCCCCTTCCAACTATCGACCCATATTCATGCTTTAATTTTCTTCAAAACTTCTAGAAAGACTTTACTGCTTTCTGAAACTCTCTCTCTAAAACAGAGCTTCTTATTCCCCCCTCCCCCCCCCTCATAATGCCGATCCTCCTCCTTCGCTTTTCCTGCAAGTCGATGGTGCTTGTATCAGTCCATCCTTGCAAGCTCGTTGTCTTGGTATTATCTTTGATCCTGGCCTCACCTTTGCGCCACATACCCAGTATGTTGCTAAAACATGTCAATTACACCTTAGAAATAATCACCCACATCGGCCCCTTTCTTAAGCAAGAAGCTGCCAAAGAGCTTGTTCATGCTTTGGTAATCTCTCGCATGGACTAGTGTAACTCTCCTAGTTGGTCTCCCCAAAAGCTGAACTGCCCCGCTACAAATTGTAATGAATGCTGCCGCCAGGCTGATCTTTTTCAGCCGTCACTCCTCCCATACCTCGCCCCTCTGTTGATCCTTACACTGGCTTACTGTATCCTATAGGTGTCAATTCAAAATACTAACCCTTACCTATAAAGCTCTAACCAACTCTAGCCCCTCTTAAATTTCTTCCCCGATTCATAGATATGCCCCTTCTCGGTCTCTCTGCTCTGCTGGTGACCTTCTCCTGTCTGCTTCTCGCACCCTTACTGCTAACTCGCGCTTGCAGGACTTCTCGCGAGCGGCTTCCTTCTTTAGGAACAGCCTGCCTACCCCCGTCAGACTCTCCCCTAGTCTTCAATTATTTAAGAAGTCCCTCAAAACATCTATTTAGAACTGCTTATGGACTCCCAGAGTAACTTATCTATACTTCTCCAGATCTGTCTCTCGCTCTCCTAAAAGAGCCATACTCCCCTCTCACCTCCAGCTTTGCTACTTTTCCACCTTGTTTGGTGGCGGTCACTCTTGCTGCCCTGTTGTGTATTTGTACCCCAACTTCTCTAGACTGTAAGCTAGTTTGAGCAGGGCCCTAATACCTATTGTTCCTGTGTCATTGTCTCATTTATTGTAAATTTCCTCCTTTCATAATATTGTAAAGCGCTGCGGAATTAGTTAGCGCTATATAAATACCAATAACAACATACCCTACACATTGTAAATATACCCTATTACACATATATACACACACACACACACACACACACACACCATTAGGAGATGTCACGAACCGTCCGCGAACTTCTCGCGGCGAACTCCGGTCAGCTGACACGTCCCGGCCAATTTCCAGCAGACCCTCCCTCCCAGACCCTCCTACTTCCTGGACAGCATCCATGTTTCAACATGGATGCTGTCCAGGAAGTAGGAGGGTCTGCTGGAGTTTGGCCGGGACGTGTCAGCTGACCGGAGTTTGCCGCGAACAGCTCGCGGCGAACCGTTCGCAAGAAGTTCACGGACGGTTCGCGACATCTCTACACATCATATACCAGGGTTAGGCAACATATGGCACTTGAGGCTGCCAGAGTCAAACAGGGTCTGGCCTATCAGGAGTCCCATTTAAACTTCAGATATTTGCCAATCCGAAAAGGTGGTGAAGGAAAATCCTCAATTTATGCATTGCAGCATGTAGAGGAAGTGATGTCAGAGCACTGCCTCCTAACACTTGTGAATGGGAATCTACACTGGAGTAGAGCAGCCCACAGCTGCTATTGCAGCTCCTGTCCTTGACCTGGTCATCATGGTCCCCACTGCACTCCAGGGAAGCCACCCACACTGCTAGATACACAGAAATGCACAATAACCCGCCCTCATACAAATAATATAAACAGCCCACATACGAACATACACAATCGCAACAAAACTAACAATCCACATACATGCACACAATACCACATGCAGGGTCTCACATGCAATACCCCAAACAGCCCCACACATACACACAATGTGACATTTCCATCCACACATACAATTCCATAAGCAGTCCCCATACACAGCCCACATTCATAGGGACACAATACCACTAACTACACATGAACATATACAATATAATAGCGCATATACGCACAAATACAATGATACAAAGCAACTGCAGTATGAATAACAAGCAGAATACGGCAACATACACTACACATTATAAATATGCCCACATACACTCATCATATACCCTACACATTGTAACTATACCCTTTATATTATACATATAACACACACACACACACACACACACACACCATGTAGAATGATGTCATCCATCTAGCTGCATATGCTGAGCAAAAGTGAATGTTTAAAAACATTGAGTAATGCGAATGTATGTCAAGTGTGATCATGGAATACCATGAGTTCGTCTAATATATTTCATATATTTGTCAGTATCAGTAGTACCGATCAATGACTGATCGATATTGTATCTGATTATCAAGTAAGAAAAGAAGAGCCAAATACAGGTGATCACTGAAGATACTACAAGGCAGAATCAGGAATGATCAGGGAGCTAGCTTGCTGAGTTGCTTAAAGGGACTCTCCAGTGCCAGGAAAACATATCCATTTTCCAGGCACTGCAAGACCCTGCAGTGCCCCTCTCCTTCCCAGCCCCCATCCCATGTTGCTGAAGGGTTAAAACCCCTTCAGTGACTCACCTGAATCCAATGCCAATGTCCCTCGGAGCTGGGTCAGGCTCCTCCCACGCCGACAGGAGACCTAATGTGCATGCGCGGCAATGGCCGCACGCGCATTAGACCTCCCCATAGGAAAGCATTCTTCAATGCTTTCCTTTGGGGATTCCCGCAACACTGGAGGTCTTAATGCATAGTGATAGACAGCCACTAGAGGAGAATTTAACCCTGCAAGGTAATTATTGCAGTTTATAAAAACTGCAGTAATTACACTTGCAGGGTTAAGGGTGGTGGGAGTTGGCACCTAGACCACTCAAATTTGAAGAAGTGGTCTGGGTGCCTGTAATGTCCCTTTAAGTTACCTAATGAACACTAGAAAAAAAAAAAAATGAAAATGAATGTTAGCTTCACTTGGATATTACCTTGAAAAGCGTGCAATATATACCAAAAACGGTAGGAGTATTTTAGAGTAAAACAAAATTATTTCATCACAATCAAATCAACAGCACTGACTTTAGATATATATATGCACCTCTCTAGGACATAAATACCTCTGTTCAAGTTGCTGTCCTTTATAAAACATGTGCCATATTTTGCTTGCCCTGCATAATAAAAATGTATTGTCTTCGGCAGGTAATCAATAAATGATGATGCAATAACTGATATTCATTATTAATGGTGCAACTTGCTCTAAAAATTGTAAACAGCTCTAAAAGTGAGCAATTACCATGGAAACCAATAGACTAGAATTTTACCAATGCTCTACATATAGAACTTTGCCCCAGCATTTATCTATCTATAAAAATCACATTGTCATGGAGAGGATCGCTATATGTTGTTTCTGAAATGAAAATGCAGTGTCTTGTTACGATGTATTACTGTATGCAATGTATTCATTAGCAGCTACTTTATACAGTGAAGTGTTTAATATAATCCCAGTAGTTTTTCTTTGAATTAGGTAATGTGATCAGCATCAAAAAAAAAAAAAAAATTGGGAAAAATGGTTGCATGACACTAAATCTTCCACTTGCTAATTAGGTTTGCAGTTACATAACTTACTAAAACTACAACATTACATAATTACGAAAACAGTAAAAGCAAGTTTAGAATATCCTATTTTCTTGTAACAAAGCCATTCTTGATTTATGCCCTCTTGCATGAACACTAAACTTTGCACTATCCCTTGGTAGTTGGCATTTTGCAGAGTTCAAAGGGCTTTGAAGATCTGCTATCCAGACTGGCTACGAAATTTTTCTGCCTTGGTCCAAGGATCCAACTATGCTTTCCTAGTAGTATGGCTAATGCAATTTTCTACCAGCACTGCAGAATTATTATTAAAGTGGCCGGAAAGGATATATCACTGATATAAACAAACATTTAAAGGTAAACTGGTGTTTCACAGCATTCTTATGCTTTCTTATACCCTAGTTTTAACATACATGTGTTTGTGAGATCTTAATAAAATTAAATGTAGAGATCCGTAACACTGCATTTACCTCTGCCCTGCATCCATCTTGGCTCCCTGTCAATTATTATTAGTAGCCTTTCTACAGCGCCAAGATTTTTTTCAGCACTTTACAATTATACAGAGGGGATAAATAATTAGTAATTTACATGGAAAATAATGTTGACAGATCCAGAAGGACCTGCTGAAATGAACTTACATCTACATTTTGCTTCTTAATTGTGAGGGTTATAGGTTACCATACTGACCACACAGAGCTCCATCTCAGAAAGTAAGCGATGAATAATGAACTACGCACTATGATTTGATCTTATGTTAAATGTTACCTTCTGATAAAAAAAAAAAAATAAAAAAAATGGAAAAAGGGAGCCATAATCTTTTGTTGGTACCAGTTTCTCTTCCTTCAAGTTAAAATACCCCGTGTGCAGGGAGACCGGGACAGGGGACCTCCTTACACCATAACCTTATAGCTGCAGTTATAATACACTGTGTGCAGGGAGACAGGCGACCTCCTTACACCATAACCTTATAGCTGCAGTTATAACACACTGTATGCGGGGAGACAGGGGACCTCCCTTACACCATAACCATATAGCTGCAGTTATAATACACAGTGTGCAGGGAGACAGGGGACCTCCTTACACCATAACCTTATAGCTGCAGTTATAATACACTGTGTGCAGGGAGACAGGGGACCTCCTTACACCATAACCTTATAGCTGGAGTTATAATACACTGTGTGCGGGGAGACAGGGGACCTCCCTTACACCATAACCTTATAGCTGGAGTTATAATACACTGTTGAAATGCAAGTCTACTAGAACAGCCTACTGGAGCACAGACCGTTAACCAGAATCTTGCAACGTACGCATGCATCCATAACATAATTAAATTAAAATTTACGTTCTAATCAGCTTAGTACAGATTCTCCTTCTGACCTGAATGTAACTAACGCAATTGATGATATAATCCTGATAAATTATTCCAAGTGATAATATTTAGACATTAGCAGCTGATCACCAATGAAAGTTGAAATGTTACAAGTTATTCATGAATTTCTTGGCAACGCTTTGGATGGAAACATTCAGATTTTCCCCACACACTAAACACATGTCCCTGATACAAGTCCACTTAGTCATGTCAAACGCCCTCTCCCTGTTGAAGCGTGATAGGTACTTTGTTACTCACTCTCTTTTCAAATAGATCTTCACTGATCATCGGGTGTCTCACAGGTTAACATCTGTGTGTCAGAGCCGGCAGACCGGGGGGAGGCAGAGAAACTGGAAGAATGGAAGATTGGAATCGCTTTTTATCCTCGCTGTGACACATTCACTATTTTATTCTAACTGAATACCATACACAGAATGCCGTAACAGAATGAAAGACATCAGCTAATACCAGACTTGATGTAAAATGGATAAAAAGATTAGTCCCTGGATGTGGGTTTATTTACTAAACAACGAATTGTAGATTGAAAAACTGAATAGTGAAATGTAAGTCAGTGTGATTCTGAATATATCACCACGTTAGCTATTGCCAGAGATTGGCTAACTTAGTCTAATTTTGCAATTCAGTTTTTAATGCATCAGTTCACTGGCAAATAAATCCTCCTAAATCATCTTCTGTTAGGTGTGATTTTCACCCGGCTCAGTTTAAACAATGTTGGATGGATTCTGGATGTTCAAACTAACAATTCATGTTGCTTAGTCAACTGCGTCATCCAAATGCCAGGATTCCATGTTGGAAATTCTACCATATCCCCCTGGCTTGCACCCTGAAGTGTATTTGGCTATGTTTGGTGTGATTAGTAGTTCTGAAAATTTCTATTATCATGAACTTGGCCCATTTTGACTGTAATCACTCTCTTCCTACCCTGAGCTCTGCCTAAATTTACCTTTTATGCTGTCTTCTAAATTACTAACTTTATTGGATTTGGATTTTGTCTTGGTAATTGACCCCACAGAAGGTATTAGTGTTTAAATAGATACTCCCAGAACCATAACCACTACAGTTCATTGTTTTGGCTATGGTGCTAGTGGGCTACAGGTGCAGTCCCACTGGTATTTCTTTAGCTGTTTTCAAGCATAAATGAAGCTGAGAATTCTCTGACACCCAAAACTCCAAAGTGGTTAGGATCGCATAGCGCTCACTCGAATCCCCAGGCATTCTCTACGATGAACGCTCAAGCAACATGGAGTTAACAGGGACACTGAACGGCAAATTCACTAGACCAAATCCAGATATTAATGGCGAATTCCCCAGACCAAATTCAGCGCATAATGATGACAAATGCTGATAAGGGAGTTTTACTGTGCACAAATCATAAGGAATTCCCTAGACATGTGCAATTCGTTTCGTTCCGAATGTCCGAAGTGCCGAATTTCAGAATGCCGAATTTCGGAAATGCCGAAGTGCTTCATATTTCTGAAAAGTGGCAAAAGAGGACAGAGTTGGGGTAGGGTAACCCTAACTCTACCCTACACTTACCCGAACCAAATATTTTTCCCATGCACATCCCTAGAATTCCCCTATGACGAAGACAAATCGAAGTTAAGTTATGCGATATATACACACACACTTACCTCTCCATGTTGCCCTGTTGTGGTTCTAGTAACCCAAGAGTGTTCCTTGTAGTTTCTACTTAGTTTGTTTACTCAAGTCTCCTGATCTCTGGCATCCTTTGATCATGACTTGTTACATTGTTCATCCGTATTTCTATTGTCTTTGACCTCGGCATTCTCTCCGACTCCCCTACTTTTAGCTCTAAGGACCGGTATATGGCTTGTCTATTTGTTGTGTAATAGTTTGCACTAGGTTCTACGCCATACCCAATATAAGTCTACCCCATGGCTAAATCCATGATAAAGTGTACATCTGTTGGCATGACATGAACACACAACAAGAATATATAATGATAAAAGAGAAATAAGCACTCTATCTGGTGTAATAGCTGCAATTCACCAACAAGGAGCTCCCCCACCCTTGTGAAAAAAACAGATCAATACAAGGTGAACAGCGCTGGTACTTCCAGTTACTAACGTATAGGCAAAGGACGGTATCCAAAAATAAATATCTTAAAGAAAGGACACAATAATAGTGCAGATTATTAACACAATAGTGCTAAAGGAACACACACACTTTATAGAGCTTTATAAGCTCTATTTAATGGGCCTGGAGAGAATAATCCCTGTCTAAGGACCTTTGTAGAGAAGATATAATCCTTTGCCTGTAGGAGCCCATTTGGCATGGTCAGTTCACTGTTGACACTTAGCATTGTCACTGCAACCCCTCTGTTGGAGACCCCATCCAAATATTTGTTCAGTGTATTCCCACCATCCAATAATGGGCTATAATGTTTTGTCCTCACCTCCTTGTGTGTTTATCCTAAGCCCATTGTATTGCTCTATTAACCCCGTTAACCTCTTGTTTGAATTTTAATGGGATACTCCACAGTCTAAATACATAAGAATAATGTAACCCCTTTTTTATCCAAACTGGGCAGTAGCCTTTCGAACTCAAGGGCCACTGCATGGGCTGGAACAGGGCAGGTATACTCTGCAGAGGTTAAGAGAGATTGGTATACCTTCACATTAAACATTGCCTCCATCCAATGATCAACATAAATTGGTATACACCTTCCTAGCACTGGGACATGGACGACTCTGGAAATAAACCCACAAAACTTTACTTCCAACTTGGTGGAAGAATAGTTATTAAACATCAACTAGTGAGAGTGCCACTCCCACATAATACATCATCCTATATCCCCCTACTCCCAGATAATACAGCCTCCCTATATCCCCCTACTCCCAGATAATACAGCCTCCCTAATAATACAGCCCCCTATATCCCCCCCCACCCAGTGTGCCCATCCTTGCTGTGCAGTAGTCTGACTGGAGATGATGGATTGTTGCTGCCTTTCTGGGGGTAAACTCTCTCTGTTTCGCCTCAGAATTTCCCGCCAAAGAGAGGGGGCGGGGCTACTTGGAAGAAAGCGATAGGTAGCTGCTCATGAGGGGAAGGGGTGGAGCCAGATCTAAAATGGGCGGGGCCAAGTCAGAGTCTCAGGAGAGCCACCTGGTTACAACACAAATCACTATTTACATATCATCCCAGTGACAACATGAATGTAACCCCTTAACCCCCTAATAATAATAATAATAATATCATCCCAGTGACAACATGAATGTAACCCCTTAACCCCCTAATAATAATAATAATAATATCATCCCAGTGACAACATGAATTTAACCCCTTAATCCCCTAATAATAATAATAATATCCTCCCAGTGACAACATGAATTTAACCCCTTAACCTCCTAATAATAATAATATCCTCCCAGTGACAACATGAATTTAACCCCTTAACCTCCTAATAATAATAATAATAATAATATCCTCCCAGTGACAACATGAATTTAACCCCTTAACCTCCTAATAATAATAATATCCTCCCAGTGACAACATGAATTTAACCCCCTAATAATAATATCCTCCCAGTGACAACATGAATTTAACCCCTTAACCTCCTAATAATAATAATAATAACCTCCCAGTGACAACATGAATTTAACCCCCTAATAATAATAACCTCCCAGTGACAACATGAATTTAACCCCTTAACCCCCTAATAATAATAATAATAACCTCCCAGTGACAACATGAATTTAACCCCTTGACCCCCTAATAATAATATCCTCCCAGTGACAACATGAATTTAACCCCTTAACCCCCTAATAATAATAATATCCTCCCAGTGACAACATGAATTTAACCCCTTAATCCCCTAATAATAATAATAATATCCTCCCAGTGACAACATGAATTTAACCCCTTAATCCCCTAATAATAATAATAATAATATTCTCCCAGTGACAACATGAATTTAACCCCTTAACCCCCTAATAATAATAATATCCTCCCAGTGACAACATGAATTTAACCCCTTAATCCCCTAATAATAATATCCTCCCAGTGACAACATTAATTTAACCCCTTAATAATAATATCCTCCCAGTGACAACATTAATTTAACCCCTTAACCTCCTAATAATAATAATATCCTCCCAGTGACAACATGAATTTAACCCCTTAACCCCCTAATAATAATAATAATATCCTCCCAGTGACAACATGAATTTAACCCCTTAATCCCTAATAATAATAATATCCTCCCAGTGACAACATGAATTTAACCCCTTAATCCCCTAATAATAATATCTTCCCAGTGACAACATGAATGTAACCCCTTAACCCCCAATAATAATAATATCATCCCAGTGACAACATGAATTTAACCCCTTAATCCCCTAATAATAATAATAATATCATCCCAGTGACAACATGAATTTAACCCCTTAATCCCCTAATAATAATAATAATATCATCCCAGTGACAACATGAATTTAACCCCTTAATCCCCTAATAATAATAATATCCACTCCCAGTGACAACATGGTTTAACCTTAACCTCTAATATCATATCCTCCCAGTGACAACATAGATTTAACCCCTTAACCTCCTAATAATAATAATGTATCCTCCCAGTGACAACATGAATTTAACCCCTTAATCCCCTAATAATAATAATATCCTCCCAGTGACAACATGAATTTAACCCCTTAACCTCCTAATAATAATAATATCCTCCCAGTGACAACATGAATTTAACCCCCTAATAATAATAATATCCTCCCAGTGACAACATGAATTTAACCCCCTAATAATAATATCCTCCCAGTGACAACATGAATTTAACCCCTTAATCCCCTAATAATAATAATAATAATAATAATAATATTCTCCCAGTGACAACATGAATTTAACCCCTTAACCCCCTAATAATAATAATATCCTCCCAGTGACAACATGAATTTAACCCCTTAATCCCCTAATAATAATATCCTCCCAGTGACAACATTAATTTAACCCCTTAATAATAATATCCTCCCAGTGACAACATTAATTTAACCCCTTAACCTCCTAATAATAATAATATCCTCCCAGTGACAACATGAATTTAACCCCTTAACCCCCTAATAATAATAATAATATCCTCCCAGTGACAACATGAATTTAACCCCTTAATCCCTAATAATAATAATATCCTCCCAGTGACAACATGAATTTAACCCCTTAATCCCCTAATAATAATAATATCCTCCCAGTGACAACATGAATTTAACCCCTTAACCCCTAATAATAATAATAATAATATCCTCCCAGTGACAACATGAATTTAACCCCTTAACCCCCTAATAATACTATCCTCCCAGTGACAACATGAATTTAACCCCTTAACCCCCTAATAATAATCTCCCAGTGACAACATGAATTTAACCCCTTAACCCGTAATAATAATAATCTCCCAGTGACAACATGCATTTAACCCCTTAACCCCCTAATAATACTATCCTTCCATTGACAACATGCATTTAACCCCTTAATAATAATATACTCCCAGTGACAACATGCATTTAACCCCTTAACCCCTTAATAATAATAATAATAATATACTCCCAGTGACAACATGCATTTAACCCCTTAACCCCTTAATAATATACTCCCAGTGACAACATGCATTTAACCCCTTAATAATAATATACTCCCAGTGACAACATGCATTTAACCCCTTAATAATAATATACTCCTATTGACAACATGCATTTAACCCCTTAACCCCTTAATAATAATAATATACTCCCAGTGACAACATGCATTTAACCCCTTAATAATAATATACTCCCAGTGACAACATGCATTTAGCCCCCTAATAATAATGATATACTCCCAGTGACAACATGCATTTGACCCCTTAATAATAATAACCCCTAAATAATAATGATATACTCCCAGTGGCAACATGCATTTAACCCCTTAATAATAATATCCTCCCAGTGAGAACATGCATTTAACCCCTTAATGATAATATCCTCCCAGTGAGAACATGCATTTAACCCCTTAATAATAATATACTCCCAGTGACAACATGCATTTAACCCCTAAATAATATACTCCCAGTGACAACATGCATTTAACCACTTAATAATAATAACCCCTTAATAATAATGATATACTCCCAGTGACAACATGCATTTAACCCCTTAATATCCTCCCAGTGAGAACATGCATTTAACCCCTTAATAATGATATCCTCCCAGTGAGAACATGCATTTAACCCCTTAATAATAATATACTCCAAGTGACAACATGCATTTAACCCCTTAACCCCTTAATAATAATATCCTCCCTAGGGACAACATGCATTTAACCCCTTAATAATAATAAAAACACCTTAATAATAATGATATCCTCCCAGTGAGAACATGCATTTAACCCCTTAATAATAATATACTCCCTGTGACAACATGCATTTAACCCCTTAATAATAACAACCCCTTAATAATAACAACCCCTTAATAATAATGATATACTCCCAGTGACAACATGCATTTAACCCCTTAACCCTTTGATAATAACCCCTTAATAATAGTGATATACTCCCAGTGACAACATGCATTTAACCCCTTAATAATAATATCCTCCCAGTGAGGACATGCATTTAACCCCTTAATAATGATATCCTCCCAGTGAGAACATACATTTAACCCCTTAACCCCTTAATAATAATATACTCCCAGTGAGAACATGCATTTAACCCCTTAATAATAATACTCCCAGTGAGAACATGCATAAACCCCTTAACAATAATATCCTCCCAGTGACAACAAGCATTTAACCCCTTAACCCCTTAATAATAACGATATACTCCCAGTGACAACATGCATTTAACCACTTAATAATAATAACAACCCCTTAATAATATTGATATCCTCCCAGTGACAACATGCATTTAACCCCTTAACCCCTTAATAATAATAACCCCTTAATAATAACGATATACTCCCAGTGACAACATGCATTTAACCACTTAATAATAACA